CCAGGTTGTGGGCTTGGGTGGATGTGTGTTGCGTAGATCATGAGCTACTTGCTTTTTCAAATTCGGCATTAAGGTTGACGTCCGTTTGTCGTTGATGACCGATGGAAGTTTTTACAATGGAGTGCTTTATAGGTAACAGTAGCGGTGGTGCTACAATCTACTTTCTGTACTGGCAAATGTGTATCATGCCCGAAAGCATCAATTTGAGTAGAACTAGATGATAGCAAATCTGCCTGTGTATTACCTAGGTCAACGTCTATGGTTACAAAGCATTGACGAGAGTTATCATTTCTTTTGACACATCCAAAAGAATAGATATCAGTAGGTACAGATGGTAGTGAGGCTACGTGTATGTTCGGGTCTTCTGACTGACAGTTCCGAGCAGGGCATTTGGGTAGTGTGGATTCAACCACACCAAGAGAGCTGATGTCTGATCTTGTATTGAGATCCAGTGTGGCTTGTTAGGTATCCATAATACCTGTCTCACAACATGTACTACTGTAAATATCCCTAATAAAATCACCTGTTACACAAGGCGGTGAAGATATAATAATATCTGACCTGCTCTTAGTTAGCTTCTGTGTCAGATCAGGGGAAAGCGTATCACCATGCTTTCTAGCCACGCTAGACTTATGTCTTTTGCTGAAGTTTTCAGCCGATAATGAGGCATGACGCTTGGATTGCTTAATTAGCATTTCGTGTAAAGTTACCAAAGAGCTGCCGGACTGCAAGTGTGTGAGTCTTAGGTTGTTTGATGCTATGTCAAAAAACAATTGTAATATGGGCACCGAAAGTCAGATACTCGATGTGGTAATACCTCAAAACGTAGCTTGAAGCAGGAGGAATAGTAAGGGTAATACGCAACGGCTAGAAGGGCAAGTTTGGATGGAATAACTATTACTGTTTATGACAGTAATCAGCAATACTGAAAGTATTACCGAAAAAGTCAGAATACGAAGAAAAATAATAAAAGACGAAAATCACACGGAAAAGTAGCACAAACTTTGAACACGGCGGGATACTTAAAGCATGTCAAGCTCAGTTAATGGCTTAGAGACTTACTGTAGAATTACCAGAGTGTTAGTTTAGTCGTTTTTAAGATTTCGCACCTGTTTTATGCAATAACAGACTGAGAAAAACAAGTAGGACTTAGCAAGCTGATGCTTACACCATAGTAAGTGCCTGAAGGCCATCTTTCACCTTCAAAGTGAAAGCGGACATCCTGGGAGAGTTCTTGATAAAAAGATCACCTCACTAAAGAAAGTAAAAATATCAACATAATCACGAATGCGTTTAAAATCATCAATTCCATCACCGCAACACGTAAACTGATTCAGTATTTGTAGTCACCTACAATGTGAAAATAAATCTACCGAGGATGGTGCCGCTGACTTCTAGTTGTCGTAGTGTACCACGAGGGAAAATCCATATCTACAGGGTTATGCCAGTCGGGCGAATGATATTAATCCGAAGCAAACCAGCTTCGCTCCTTAGTCACACAACACAATAAGTTGCCATCTGTTTGTCTAATCGTGTCAACAAGTGTTTCCAAAATCAAGCTTAGAAATGGCAGACCGTTGGTTGGAGGGAAAATTTGTTTAGAGTTTTCCCAAGAATTTTGTACATTACGTGATTATAGGCACGAACTGAACTGAAATTACCCAATTGTATTCTGCCAGTGTTCTTATCCTCGATAGTAATCAACTTCTCAACTTGTAACTTAGGAAAAACCACAGTCTGAAAGGTTATTCTTGCCAACTGAAGTCTTGACTTTAACCAGAGCAATCGTGAGCCCAGGAGACAACTGTATATCATCCACTTTTTAAATTGCTTTGCAGAATATACATTAACTGTTAACATTTGATTTACTATGGGCAGTTCTAATTCATGTATTTAGATCTAGTATATTGAGCATTAACAGCCATAGATCACACCCTTGAAACTTTTCCGACTGCTTTCCGGTTTCTTTTTGTTTCCAAAAGTACATACAGGTACAACATATTCATAATTTTAATGTGGTTTATTCTTGTTTAATTCAAACTCACAGCATATCAGGTGTTTGTAATCTGATATGGGTGCATTCATGCTACACCCAGCTTCTGGAAAAATTTCAAAGCTTTTTCAACTTCAGTCCATGTTCCAAGTCCTCCAGATCTATTAAGTACTTCTCAAACCTTGCTAATATCAACTCTGATTGTGCTTTCTTCACCAGACTGGCTTATAGATTGTTGCATGCTATAAACACAAACGAGGAAGAGGTTGATTTTTCCCAGATATCTGCAGTTAGATTAAACATTCAAACCAGCTACCAACAAATGAACTGGAAACAACAGCTTGCGCCAGCAAAACATGCTCATATGCACAATTTCCGAAATCTCTACGTGGTAATATTCCAACAAGAACTCGAAAACTACTAGAATACTCTAATGAAACGTTAAACTGACCTATGAAAGAATCACGATGAAATAAATAAACAGAGCTAGTGGCAGGTACTTTCGAAACAAACGAAAAAACTGGTTTTAACAGCAACGAGGACCAAAAGCATGTCAGACGCAAAATTAATGGATAATCTACATTGGGACTACTTGTAAACTAATAGAGGATAAACATAAAGCCAACGTGTGAACGGGCGGTTAGCGAACAGCAATCCAACACGGCCGACTAGCAAGGGCGAAAATGACCTCTAGATGTCTTATCCATGAAATGACTTTGAGCATGCAGGATAACTTTAGTCCCTTTTCGGAGGAGACACTTGTTCTCTGTATAAGAACTGCCTTGCATTCTTATACTGGTGGTCTCCAGAGGCACTGTCAAATTAGTCCGTGACTTCTTTGAGTGCCTCGGTAGGCAAGGCCACTAATGCACTTCCGTACCTATCAATCCTAGAATTAATGCCTCGTGTAGCGGATAAAGGCTCGATAATTGCGAACCAGATTATAGGTTCGGTGAGACCAAACTGGGGTAGATGCAGACCGGCAACCGCATTTCTTGCAATGTCGGGTGCCTCGTCATCCTGCTCATTTTCTTACTGAGCAAGTGAACGGGTGGGTGGTGATATGATACACATGTAAATAAACAAGTAGATACAAAAACAGTGCAACCACAGGTGTTAACAATTGAAAAATTTATATATATGGGCTATAACACTATAAAGGATCACTTCGGGCTTAGCAATTTAATTTTTAGGGTACTAAACAGTTAGATCGATAAGAGTGCAAAATATCTGAATATAAATCCAAGTTAGTGAAAAATATTGTGACAATGTATTACAGATACGCAGACAGATGGGTTACTTGAAAATAAACTTGTAATTCACTTCTACAAATTAACAATATAATTTACGGATACGGTTCACTGCTGGGTTGTGTCCATTGGAAGTTGTTCACCGGTTATTGGAGAGTATTTGGGCGAGGACAAGATGTTCCTGTAAGTTTCAAAGGATAAAACATGTAGCTCAGCAGAACAGATTGACCGTAGAAACCAGTGGGAAGATGGAATAGGGAACAGCTCGACCATATTTTGACTCCAGCACGAGAGTGGTGAATATTTGACGAAGAAGTCAATCAAACAAATGTTATGTACGATGTGTCCATTTCTGAAACTTAGCAAAGCTGTACGAATTTATTGTTCGGTACTCCACAGGCTTCCCTTATCTATTGAATGACGAATGCCCCATCTGTGTGATTGACTTTGCTTTTCGCTTCACCTGCCCCCTGTCGTCCTTTCAAAAATAAATATTTGAAGACACCATTAGTCCTCTACAATATTAAAAGCTGTCAGTCGGTAATGTGAATATTTGGTTTGGTAGAAAAGGTGGTTTCCTTAGGTGCATATGCTGTGCTGCCAACGGTTGCAACCATCTCACTGGATGCCTTCCTCGACTGGGGAGCGACACATAAGCCTCTCACGACAGTTCCTTTTAACAGACATTTTGAGAGGTAAATTCGTAACTCTGGAAATCAAAAACGACTCAGGAAGCAACAGTTAGATAAGCGAAAATAAAACCACTGAATTTTATAAAAAATATAGATTAGTGGAAAAGCGAAGTGTCGTAAAAATACACTTTCTACAAGTACTTAAGCTCAAGAATCGCAAAAAGTCAACTTCAGACAGAGTTATTCAAGTTAAAGTTTATCGATAGGCTTTGTTGTGTATAAAAGAAAGCGTGAAATTAAACGCGAGAGTGGAAAAATTCACTCTCCTTTGAGAGTTCGTGTGGCATGGAGTGATGTTCGCCAAGTGTTCAATTAGCAATTACTGAAGGCTGCATTCAGGCTAAGAGTGTAACGTACAACTTCAGGAATTCTTGTTGTTAGTATTGCCAACAGCTGACCACTCACAATGTCTATCCCCCTCTTTGGTGGGGGAAAATTAACTAAAACCTTTGAGGAAGTAGTACAACAGTGTTTTAACTTCATGAATTTTACTGTATGCATTTTATTCACCCTATATCGAGGCTAAATTCGCAGGGAATTTTTATTTCCGATAGGAATATAATACAAGGCTCATTCCAGAGATTGTCATCTCCATTTGTTTGATTTCGTCCTAGATGTATTAATAGATCCGACTGTAATTGATTTCAGCGACTTACCAGGGGGACATTCTAGTTGACTTAGAGTATGTGGATGATATTATCCCCGTACGCTGTGAGACACGGCCAGTGAAGTTCGAAGATATGAAAAGACTATGTGTTTGATCGTAGCTATTATGTTCTACCTTCCGTGTGATATGGTATGGTGAGGAATGTTGAGGTTGGGCGCCACCAAACTGCAAGTAAGTTAATAAAACGCTGGTCGAGGGAATGTGCGCCAAGCCTACTTGGTATACCGGGGAATCACCTCATAAAAAACACATTCACGCATCTTGCTACACAAACAATGCACTCATACTGAAAAATAATGTCAAGCAATTGCTCTTAAGGGGATCAACCAAAACGGAAACCAAATTAACATTGAAACCACCTGAAATACAGCTAAATGGATCAAACAAAGCGAAGTAGTCCCGATTAGAATCAACCAAGCCGCGCTAATACCCACCAGGCATGACAGGTGGCGCCACTTTAAATGGCCAGCAATTTTCCTTCAAAAATAGCATAAAAGGATGAAAGTATAGATCCTTCCAAGTTTAAATTAAGGTATACTTCAAAAGTTTATTTTTCGCAACTTTCTTATGAAACGTATAGATCATATTTTATGTATTTGCATAAGTTTATGAAGACTTAATGCTTAACTAAGGGTTTAAAGTTAATACTTTAACGTTAAATACTGAAGTATTAACTCCGTCCTTATATCCAACTGAAAGTTCTGTAGGGTCAAAACTAAGCACATTGCCCATACTGCTCAATAAAAAACTTCGAGATACACAATTATGTGTGTAAACTAGTTTGCGCCTTTATTCGGGATACATGTGTTTCCGGTGGGGAAGGTAACAAAAGCTTAACTCTTAATATGTGTTACAAGATCTCACACGTTTCTATCTCGAATCATATGTTTGCAATCAGGTAAAAAGGTGGTTTTCCGCACGCTAAATGTTCCCCGTCTACATAGGTTAGGTAAGTTCCTCGATCATGGATAGCGCCGGTGTATGGTCTCGCTTTAGCACGTCCTTGTCACATTATTGACAATGTTTTCCATTTGAACACATCTAAATAAGTATATAAACTGGTTAATGTGCTATTCATGACCCGAAAAATTGTACTATATGTGCCTTGGGCCTTAGGTGAATTACGTTTTCCTGTGGTGGTTTTCATGCTGTTTTACCGTGACTAAGTCTTCACCATACATCTTATTGTTCGAAATTTTATGCCATTATTGTGTCATTACACATTTAATTGTTTCTGCAGCCAGACAAACAAGTTGAAATCTGTTTGGAGAGTGCCAGTGTTAGAAGTTTACACCATGTACTTGGTCAAGAAACCACAGAGGACATCATGACTGGCAATAGTCCACCATCCAGAGTGACATTCCATTTCACAGCGTCATCAGGATTTCTGGTTGATATATAAATCCTACTTTCCACAAGCTGGGAGTTCTGCACCCCATGCAAGTAAATTATCAGTGATTCCGTGACTGGTTTCCTAAAATATGTGGTACAAGTAACGCATTGAAGACTTTGTCCGACTCTCCCTTTCTGCGACGTTTTTCATGATTTAGATGTGCCTCTGAGAGACGGGGAACCGGAAGTATTCTAAGTTGCAACTTGCACCTTGGTAAACTGCGGTGTATCCTTGTATTGCGGAGATATGTATATGTTCTATGTAATTTCCCAGATGGATTAAGTGCTGATGTTTTTCAGTGTTAGTATTCTGTCTCCTGTCCACTATAATTCTTTTCAAGTGTTTTCTCTACCTTTTTGTTCTACAGGCAGCGTTGTAGCTTGGACCGTCACACTTTTGTGCAAAGTTCTATGTTGAAACTAAAACCCTACTAAACGTAATTTTAAGGGAATACTAAATGTGTACAGTGCTCAAATAAATATCTCACTGTATAAGCTGAAGTAATTCTTTCACTTCTTGTGGTGAATTGTCGGTTATCATTGTCATCACCTCTCAAAATTCATGTGCTCCTAACTTTTCTGGAATTAATTTATTCGGAGAAGACTGTCTACCAAAACTTCGCAGATCAAGGAAATGTAAGGTTTGATAAGCACTGTAGTGTCTGTTACCTGTCCACTTTAAGACCGCGTTTCGCACCAGGCATATAACTTGTATTTAAGAAATTCGGGGATTTTATCTCCGTCAGGTAATATGTTCTGGTAGATATATTCCACCTGGTGGGTTTGTTGACAAAGTAATACTAATTAACCTGGGTTAATTATCATTTATTCTATCTACAACTTCATCAAAGCCTTTGAATGCCTGTAGACAGGTATTTGCTATAAAAAGCGATTCCTTTTTTGTCAGTCTGGGTCTCGGAAATGTGAACTGCTTTTTATTGACAGTTACTTTCATACTGAGATGTAATAATGTGTAAGACGAATAACTTTGTGTAAATCATGCATGGAGATGGTTTCACGAATTAAAAGAATAATTATGCATAGGTTTGTAGTGACGGTCTCACATTTCATCTAAAACATTTTAAGGCTTTAGTATTTATCGTTTTGAAGACAGAGAAGTGTCACCGTTGCCCTATTTTTTTCTTTGCATCAGATTATCTTGGTTTCTTACATTTATTCCTCTTAATGAATTTGAATAAAGCAAGAACTACAGTTTTTGCAGGATATAGCGGTACCATCATTTATTGCATTCTGTGTTTGTAAGAATTTTGGCAACATAAACCGATGTTTGTAACATTATACAGGAATTCAACGATTATAGGTGGCATTTTATTAATCACTGCCATATTACAATACTGATACACATTTATTCCTGGTGTTTGAAGCCTGATTTCTTTTATTTGTTTTAAATAAAAGGGTTATTTATGTGTTAAATTTATTCGTGCAAATGCTTTTTGGTGAATAAAACTGACGATGTTCTCCATTAAAAATCATATAAGTTTGTATAAATGTACAGTAGTAACCGGGTGTTTACGTGTTGTATATTCCACCACTTGTTATGTAGTTGTGGTTATTTGCTAGCAAACTGAATGATAACATAGGCACCTAATTTCGCAATTATATCAAAGTATTTTAAAAATTAGACCACTTTGCTAGGCAGTGCCATGTAGAATTCTTTAAATGCAAAAAACCGTACATAAGTCAATTTAAAAATTCGAGTGCTAACAAAGCGGCATTTCCGGAAGATGTTGCTGGTTTGAACAAAGTTAAGAATATTTGTAGTCATTATTTCAACCACTATATACAAGTTGTCTTTTAAAATTTGCCAACTTTTAGTAGACTGTATGTTATCAGTCTCAAGCAGTTATTTCTTGGGCTCTGCGGTTACACAATACTGATGCTCATTCTGTTTCAAATAAACTTTCATGGTGTAGGAAGTCATTACTGCCCTTTCAAACTTAGATAATGATGGAAAGGCGATCGATAAGGTTATGAAACCTCATCGATTGAGTTGGCTAGGAGATGTTACGCATGCCGAGCCGTCACCTTACTTAACTAGCGGTGTTAACTGATATAAATTTTCTTTCGGAAAGAGTTATGGTGTTGAAATCAAAACGTGACATCAATTCACAAAATCTTCGGTTGTTGGTTTGACCCTCATAAGAAGATGCAGACTATCTGGTGGGTGTATTCTGGAAGTCAAGGACCAATAACTGGAGACTTAATGATATGGTCCAAAACCATTCTCAATGTTCTAAATGCATTCAGTTTTTGTGATGTTTGGCTGTGAGAGAATGCCGAGAAAATAAATTGCACTGATCAAGGCACTCTACTCGAACTCATGCAGTCAGCCAGGTGAGAGCTTACCGAGAGTTGTCATTTGAAGTAGTGACAACTAGTGGCGTCCGTCAAGGATGCCCATTATCTCCATTTCTATTCAACTTCATCGCAGATGTACTAATGGACTTAACCCTAACTCACTTCAGAGACTCACGGATTGACTTGCTACCAGGGAATAATCTCGATGACTTAGAATATGCAGACGATATAGTCCTTCTAGACGAGGAGGCTGACAAAATGCAGAGTCTTCTGAAGACCTTGATCAGAAAGCGATCTTCGAATGTTTGGCATACGATTCGCTCCCATCAAATGTAAGATTATGCTACAGGACTGGACTACATTGAGTCCTAGCTTAGAAATAAGGAGTGAAGTGGTAGAGCATGTTGACCACTTCACTTACTTGGAAAGTTGCATTAGCCAGTGCCAACGGGTTGTTCGCTGACGAAATCTCAGCACGGATTCAGAGGGCTCGTTTCGCATATGCCAGTTTATGCCGTCTCTGGCATAGACTTGATATCCGGCTGGTTGTCGACCAAAGAGCGTGTGTACTGCCCAGCAGTTCGCTCTGTCCTCCTTTATGGCTGTGAGCGAGACATGGCCATTGAGAGTGGAAGACATGAGAAGGCCGGCTAGCTGTCTTTGATCATAGTTGCCTGCGTTCTATCTCCTGTGTGAAATGGTATAATAGGGTGATCAATATTGAGGTTAGGCGTCGAGTGCTAGGTAAGGACTTCCTCAATCGTCGGGGTTGTGAAGTTACGCCGATTGAAGACATGTTACGCATGCCCTGACCATTCCTTTCCTCGACCGGCAGTGTTAGCTGACGTAGGATCAGGTTGGAAAAGAGCCAGTGGTGGGCAAACCAAAACATGGCATCAGTCAATGAAATCGACAACAGTTAGTATACGTCACATAGGAAGGTTTAGACTTCCTGGTTGGGCTCTTCGGAACTGTAAAAGCTAATGAAGGGTGGAGACAATCAGTGATATGGCTCAAAATCGTTCTCAATGGCGCAGATGCATCCACTACTTGTAACTTACAATTTCCAACAAAACTATATTGTTCTTCGATATTACTACTCTTTTTGCCTCATATGTCTGTTTATTGTTCCTATTTTGCATTTCCTTTTACTTTATTCTTCTTCACTGGCTTTGTGTGCTGAGTGAAGTGTGGCAACTCGAACAGTCACTTTCTGTGATCTCCTCTATCCATTAAATTCTCATTATTGTCCATGTAATCGTTCTTCCTTTCTTAAATTTAATTTACTATAGTTTGCTTGCATTTGCTTTTTTAATTTTGTGTGTTTTCATGGGGTTGTAGCAATTTAAACTGCTGCACTTTTGTGCAAAGTTCCACACTGGCGATTCAGTTCAGTTTATCTTTATCGCGTAGTTTAACATTATGGGATGAAATAATGGAGTATGGTGAACATATCTTTTAGATTCATAAGTGGATCAGATCACTGGCATACACACTGGACTACTATGATATGTAAAAATAAGCTTCTTGGCTTTCATGAACTCAGTTCACCTGTTATTGTCGATTTAACACATGGAGACAGGCGAGTGCAATATACAAAGTAAATCAATGTCAATCAACACTTTACACAAAACACAGTAGTAGTAAAGGTAAATAAAAAAAGATGAAGGGAAGACAAAATATCTAAATAATGATCAAGACTTCTTAGATGATAATGAAAGGCAAATATTTATACCGCACTGAATTGTAGACTCATTTGATTACAACTTGTAGCATGGTCGTATTCCATCCGACAATCAGATATTTCTTTGTTATATTGGCTCTCTAGTTGCAGTCATTAACATGCTTGAGAACTGTAGTCTCATAGTCTAAATAGGGTGTATGATTTTTAATCATAACCTCTTCATACTCATTTTATTGTACATTTACCTGAATCTTAAATGTCTTAAATATCCAGTATTGTATTGGTTTAGTTTAATATTTTTGTTTTCTTTTGACTCTTTGGTATTATTAAGTGTTGGTTTGCAGGGATCCTATTGGTAACAGGTTTGATCACGAACTGACATCAGTTAGAGAACCATTGCAAAGCCTGGGAGTAGTGGGTGTCTGCTTCTTCCTAGTCCGGGACTCCTCATCGGTACGCACCCGCTGGCGTATTGTAAAGAAGAGAAGCTTAAATCATTGTGTTAATCTACAGAATTTCGCGTTCTATAAACAAATTTGTTTTCATCTTCAATGTTCTATTTGTTAAATTCTAAATATTTTAAAGTTAATACATTTTCTTTTGTAATTTGGTTTTACAAATTTTATCTTATTTCTAGATTGAGTAATATTGTATTCCCCAATGTCAGATACTCCTGGTGGTATTTCTAACATGCCTATTAGTTCACATCAGTCATCTACTGGTGCTAAGTCTAATACTAAACGAAAAGAAATCTATAGATACAATGCTCCGTGGTGCATTTTCAGTATGAACTGGTCTGTTAGACCAGACAGACGTTTTCGTTTAGCTGTCGGTAGTTTTATTGAAGAGTACAATAATAAAGTGCAGATAATTTATCTGGATGATGAACAAGGTGAATTTGTTGTACAGAGTACTTTTGCACATCACTATCCAACATCAAAGATAATGTGGATTCCTGATACAAAGTGTATATTTCCTGATTTACTGGCAACAAGTGGAGATTATCTTCGTGTTTGGAGAGTAAATGAAGATTCTGAAGTGAAAAATGAATGCCTATTGAACAACAATAAGAATTCAGATTATTGTGCTCCACTGACATCCTTCGATTGGAATGAAGTCGATCCAAATATTATTGGCACTTCCAGTATTGATACAACTTGCACAATCTGGGCCCTTGAAGTGAGCATTTTAAATTTGTATGTTTCTATTAATAATCCACTCTTTTTACATTTTGGAAATCAGATATTTTCCTGGTTTAAAAAATGAATATTTATAGGGTGTAAAACCTTATTTGCCATGCTCATATCAGCTCTATCTTTCGTAATAATCAATTAAATTATGTGCATTAATATTTAATCTACAGTATTAGTTTTCAGAACTTCAGCTAGAACGGATTGTCTGATTTTTAAAATTACGTTCCTCTAAATCGTAAATCTTACTTTCCTGGTGATTATTTATCATGTGTGAATACTGTCAATCATTAGTTTGCGGTTACAACTTTCAACCAATGCGTCTCGAGTTCCAGTTCTGCTCTACCTGATTCAGCCTGGGCAACTGGTTAAGATCGTCAGTCTTCACTTAATAAATGCGACTCGTAATATGGTACATGCGAAATATGAGTTGTTTGTCTTTAAGTTTATGTACTTCTTTCCAAGAATTTGGTTGATTCAGAGGCATCTGTCATGTTAGAGCGAAATTGGTTGGAAAAATACTGAAACCCGAATGATATAGTTCTTAAGTTTACATATATTTTGGAACCCTCAAACCGTGTACACTCTGAAACATTTTTCCTGTCGAAGTCAGTTTCCTTATATTTTAAATGAGAAATTTACCGCTGTTTCCCTAGATCAGTTTCATATTTTAAGTTTGTTTCAGAAGTGTATTAGGAGTGAGTTTATGAGAGGAAACGATTACCTATTGTTATTTGGTTTTCAGTATTTCTTAATTTGGTTCAAGTCTTCAAAATCCAGAGTTTATTAATCAATAATGTAGTTTCAAATGATGTACTCTAAATTTAGGTTTTTTTTAACGTCCACCATCTTAATAATCATCTTTTGTTTTTCTTTTGAAAGACTCAACAGGTAATTGGACATGCAAATGTTGTCAGTGGACGTGTAGAATCCCAGCTGATCGCTCATGACAAAGAAGTATACGACATAGCCTTTAGTCGTGCTGGTGGTGGTAGAGATGTTTTCGCTAGTGTTGGTAAGTTATTTTACTCTTATATTTCACGTCATGATGTCACTTAATTTCGGGTGTTGAAAACCTTATAAAACGTGTGTACTATTGTGTCACTAGTGGAATTTAGTTGTATATCTTATAAACCCACCTTCTGTATAAAATGTACAATTCCTTTGTCGATTTGATCTTTGTACATGTTTTGGGAATTTGCTCTGATAGGAACTTAATATTGCAGACAGGAGGATGACGTATCATTTCATAAAAGCATAGCATTATGTTTATTTTCGCATATGTCCTTTATACTACTGAAATGTCTTTTAACAAACAATAAATACTAAGTCCTAGTTTCTCAAATCACTAACTAGAATAGTTTATTTTTGAAACGTTACAATCCTTTAAAGGTCAAAAGTAGCTGCTACTATCATCTTGGAAAAAACTAACTTTATTTCAGCTAGAGAGTAATATAAGAAAGGTGTCAACATTGATAAAAGGGCTTAGAAAAGATTGACTCCGAAGATTTGCAAATCCAATAATAAAGTTTCTAAAATTAGGATCAAATTGCGCAAAATTCAGTATCTTCAGAGTGATTGTGTGCAATCAGCTTGAAACTGATACCATTTGGACTCCATCATCACGGAATGATGTTGTGAAGACTGACATTTTTAATCCTTTTTGTCTCAGTCTGGGACTCTTTATCTGAACTCATCCATGACCCTACCGATGATTAAACCCGGGACTTTCATGTTACGAGGTGAGCCCGTTTATCATTCAGCCACTGAAGCTGAATCCGATGACCTATGCTATGAGTTATAACTCCCCAGTGGGTACGTCTGTCTGTTTTCGACTTAGAACTTTGCACATATGTGTGACAGTTCAAGTCGCCACACTCCATGTAGCACACAAAGGAAGAGAAGAAAGTAGAAGAAATGCATAATATAGACAGTAAACAGAGGTGTGAGACAAAGGTATAGTAATAACGAAGAACAAAACAGTTTCATTGGAAATCATAAGTCACAAGGAGTGGATGCATCTGCACCACTGTAAACTATTTTGAGCCATGTCACCATTTGTTTCCAACCATTGGTTTTTACCGTCTCGAGGACCCCAACCAGGAAGTCTACATCTTCCTACGTGGCTTAGACTAGCTGTTGTGGATTTCATTGACTGGTGCCATGTTTTCGTTTGACCGCCGCTAGCTCTTTTCCAGCCTGACCCTATATCAGCTAACATTGCCCGTCGAGGAAGGCGATGACTACGCATACGTAACACATGTCCTAACCATCTCAACAGGTGGGTACGTAATTGCCGGAAAGTTCCAAACTAAGACGAAACAGCTGTCCAATACTCTTTGGTTTTCAGTAGTTCTCTAATCGGTATCAGTTCGTGATCCAACTTGAAAATTTGGAGATGGTAGTTTCAGATAGGCAGAGAGCTTGGAAATAGTAGTAATCTCCACACTTTCAGAGACACCTAAATTCTCGCTTTTGGTAGTGCTTTCCTTTTTTACTGTCTTTGATGTAATTTGGTGGATGGTGACTAGCAGCAGAATCCGGGAGGCGCATTTCGTCCTATTTGGGATTTGTCATCTGGATGTGCCTGCAATCTCCAGTGAGTGATAGTGTTCCCTCTGGAGGTTACAGGTACACTCAAATGACGAGTCACAAATAGGACGAAACGCGCATCCCGAATTCTGCTGCTAGTCACCATCCACGAAATAACCTCATATTAATCCTCAGACATCGTCGAAGCGTCTGTACTAGGAGCCAGTATGTCGAGAGGGGCCGAACATTTCGATCAAGTCATCAATGAGAAAATCAAAGTTGTCTCAACAAATAACATGCCTATTTTTGTTCCTTTTTTTTTGATTTACAGCTTGATTTCCACACCGTATTTTCAGTACAAGTGTGGAATTTTCAGCATGGATATCGGTTGCCCAAATTCAGGCATACCATAGATATCGGGTGTGCGCCGGCAGGGGCTCGAACCTCGGACCATGTGCATGGTCGGCTACCGAAACTTTGATACATCTTTTTGATTTTATTTCCAGCATTTTTTCTTTCCACACTTTTGGATATGTGACTTATGTTTAGTGCGATAGTGGAATTTTAGCACTGTGGTAGGAGTATGAGATTTTACACGCGTTGACCACTAGCACTCCGGGACTCCTACACACCTTGGGAGAATAAACCAGACAAAATTAAATCTAAATAGTGTTTTTCGAAATAAAGTGTGATGAAAACCAAACCAACTCCATGAGGAAATTAGCTGTGCACTTTTAAAAAAAAACCTCCATACTTATGGGAATAAATACCGCATATATTGTCTCTTCTATCTCTTAATTAAGAAGTCTAGTCATCAATGTATATGTCTTTTTATTCTTGAGGATAATTACAGATAAGATGAAACAAGGGAGTCTATCCATATCCCCCCTAACTCATAGTATTAATTTACACATTACAAAGCTTTGTACATTTGTTTTTCAGGCGCTGATGGGTCTGTACGAATGTTTGATCTTCGCCATTTGGAGCATTCTAACATTGTTTATGAAGATGCAAATCATTCGCCACTTCTACGCTTGGCTTGGAACAAGCAAGATGCCAACTATCTGGCAACATTCGCAATGGACTCTGTAGAAGTGCGTCTCTTCTCTTATTGTTTAAAATATTTACTGTGTTTCATCGGTGGGATTCAGTTCTTATTCGATTGGAAATTGTGTGTGTTTGGATATGTTGGAGATTTAGTCAAGAAAAGGAGATAAATTACTGTTGGGTTGTTTCGTAACTTCGAATAAAACCTTTATTAAAAAGCCAAACTAATCTAAAATGTTGAATCTAGGACACCTATAGAGTAGTGCTGTGTATATTGTTTGTGGAACCCAAAAATCTATGTTTATATTTTGAAGGTATTACGCTAGAGTTGAGTTTCAGTAAATAAACATTTTTTCTTAGATTTATGCCAAATGTACAGCGACTTAATCTTTATCCAAACTGAGTGTTTATACTGGCGAAACATAGTGCCGACACATTGTTTTTTCTCAGTGAGAGTGAATGATGATGAGAATTGGTGAATAGTTGAAATAAAAGGAAACAGTGCATTTTTTTTCCTTCACGTTCCCAGTGGAACATAAGGCTCCAAGGTAGAGGCTTGAAGTTTCTGTAGCAGTGTTAATTTTTACAGGATGGGGTTGCTAGCCTCATGCCCAACCTTTCCGCTTTTACCAGTCTCACTACTGGCTTAGCGAAGTAAAGGAGTGCGTCGGCCGGGGATCGAACCCCGGACCATGTGCATGGTCGGCGAGCGTTCTAACTGCTGTGCCACCGACGCAACAGTGCATTTAGCATATATTTTATAATCCTGCAAAGTCTACCATTTGGTGATGACAGTGTATTCGAACGCAGAATAAAATGTTAGGGGAAGTCGATTGATTCTGTTGGTTATGACAGGGTTAGAGGCCATTATTTAGACTTGAAACAAGCTTCCATGATAAAAAGACTGGAATTCTGTAATAAGTGAACGACACTCATTAAGAAGTCAAGGTTTTATAATTTTGGCTTTAAAAAGTATACAGTGTTTAGAGAAAAAAATTTTTAAATGTACCTTGAGACGTGTCATATCCATGCAGATGTTAAGGTTGCTAGTGATTTAGGAGATTATTTTGCTAAATTATTATACGCTTATCAAATTCAACAATCTACACTTGGTTTTGTTATCTTTACCAGTTAGTCAACTTGAGAAACGTAATAATTACCCCCATGATGAAGAGAGATGATTCAATTGTCATACATAAGCTGAAATTTTGTAAATTCTGGTTTACTAATACTTTGATAAAGCTATTTGTATTAAATAGCGAAACATCGGTAAAAACAATATCGTTTTGTTTTTCATCCATTGAGAAATACAAAAACTTTTATAGTGATGGATTAATTTGCTGTTACATGTAACCGTTATAACCCTCTGAGTTACATTAATCGTTTTGTGAGCGATAAAATACTATTATGTATCTTATCAGTCAATCGTCACTTACGTTGAACATTTTATAATGGTGTATCGGTCCTAATTCATAATTTAAAACAATTTAGAGAGTAGTTACATCTGCATCACTGTTACAAGATTTCGTACTGTTACGTAAAATTTCTAAATATCGACTGCCCTGCAGTTATTGTGCAACTAGTTTACAATCCGCTCCTTTATTAAAATCAATGCTCACAAACTTCATCCTTTTTGATATTTGTATGTTAACTTGACTGCTATAAAAGTGACAATCTAGCCAATATATGGAGTATCTTTCGATACCCATATTGCACCAGGTTTGTGTTTAAATAGTAACCACAACTTTAGATAGATAATAGGTGTAAGCAACAACCCAGATTAATTCAGTCAATTACTGTTTCATCAAGACTAGTGCGAGCGACTTCACAGGGATTAGAATTCGTTGATCTGCTATTTAGTTGTACCCTTCGCTGTCATATATTTTGCATTTTGTTGGTTTAAAAATGTTTTTTAAACATTCTCATATCATTATTCAAAGTGTTTCTTTGTGACGATCTCTGTTTAATTAAACTCTATGGTGTATCTGAAAATAAGAACGACTCATCCAAAGTCTTACCTACAGCGTATATCTGTTATAAAGTCATAAGAAAATAACGTGGAAAACTTTGAAAGAGTCTATACGACTCAACTTAAAAGACAAAACACTGTTGTCATGATAATAAGAACCTTTAAAATAATAACTCATTCAATACACACTTTTTTTACGAAGACGAAGAGTCGGACGGATCCTGTTTTCGATTCAAGGCACGTGGCCAAGTATCATGGGGATGTTTAACTTATATCAAGTTGAAATTTAGACGTTTAATCACTTAGAGTACACAAATTTATTTAACATATCTTTTGTGTGGAATAACAATTCGTTGGTATTTTGTACTTCAGTCATCCATTGAAAGTGAAATGCGTGCTGTTTAGTTTGTAGCCACGTGTTACCCAAGTTATACATACATATATTCAGGTTCTCATGTATTTTTGAATTTAAACAGCTCTGCATGTAGTTATACTGTTATTATATAACTATTTGCAACCATTGGGTCTATGGTGTACTCATGTCCTACCACCTCTTTTTCTTATTCTAGATAATCATTTTGGACTTACGTGTTCCTTGCACTCCAGTAGCTCGTCTAAACAATCATAGAGCATTTGTAAATGGTTTGGCATGGGCACCGCATTCAAGCTGTCATTTATGCACAGCATCTGAAGATTGTCAAGCTCTTATTTGGGATATTCAGTCTATGCCAAGAGCAATAGAAGATCCCATTTTAGCATATACAGCTGCTGGTGAAATAAATCAAATTCAATGGTCGTCAACACAACCAGATTGGATAGCTATTTGTTACAATAATTCATTGGAAATCCTACGTGTTTAACTTTTTACTTAATTTTTTCTTTATTCTTTTGCGCCCCCAGTGAAATATATAGGGCTTCAAACTTTGAAGTCTCAGTATAGCAGTGGTGTTATTCTCTTTATACGGAGTGGAGTTGCTAGCCTCACGCGCAAACCTTGCCTCTTTACCGGGATTACTACTACCGACTAAGTGGTTCAAGAGTGTGTGAGCTAGGGACCGAACTCCGGGCGACCATTCTACCACTGAACCGCCGACGCACTTTTATTTAATATTTTTTCACTAAAAAACTTGTATGCATAATATAATTCTTTACAAGCAAATGTTTTATTCATATTCACTAATAATAAGTTAAATCGGGTTAAAAAATAATTTTTGTTAGTCTTCAATATAGAAGTACATTTCTATTTTATTATACATGTTCGTCTCGTAATTATTTTATGTGAAAGGCATGCGTAACTTCTTGAGTAGGGACCACAGGATAAATCGTTAGGTGTTTTTTCGTTTGTTTAAAAAAAGCAGTAACTTTAGATGATAATAATGGTGGAAGTTTTCTTCTATTCTAAGTAGTTAGTGCTTTCCCCACCGTGATTCTGAAAACGATCAGCTGAAGGTGGTTTTAAGTATCCTTCGTGTATAGACACTTTCGAAAATCTGTCTCTCAACTTACAGTCTCTCTGAAACGTTTAGCGAAGTAGAATTCACCACAAGTAACAACAGTCTTTATGGTAACACTAAAGTCTTTCAACATCAGAATCCTATGCAGATTTGTACAAAACTCAGAACTTCGATATTTTGAATGATGCTGACCAGAGTAACAATAAGGTGGAAAAGTCGTCAGTCCATCACCAAGTATACGACTGTATAGTGAAAGAAATGTCTCAGTGTGACTCCTTTTCTAAGCAAGGGATTTCTATAAAATAGGCTAAACCTGTAAGAAAGGCAAAATGTCGGTAGGTGGTAGATTATTTAAGTTGTAAGTATTCATTCGAAATTGTAGGTTAAGTAGAAACAAAATCAGTTGTGTGTAGAAACCAAGTATGACTTTTCTCTCTGGTTCAGAAAGTAATAGTTTATTGTGTAGGACGGTATAAATCGTTTCTGATAAAGCCAGTTGAAGCAACATCACCTTTCAAATATTCAATCACCAAATGTCTAAATGGATTTTTTTAGGAGTAAATATAGGACATAATATTGTGCTTCGATTTGTTTATTTTTTTGGCTTTAACGAAGTCAATAACCAAAATTAGTCGAGCGTTGTTTGCGTGATTTGTTTTTTTTGAAATGTTGACTAGTTATTGAATTGAAATTACTCTAAATACTAATGACACCTTAATAGGACTAGAGTGATAACTTTTAAGTATTGTTAGCACCTTACCTTTGTGATAACTCGTGTTAACACTACAGTTGATACATTCAATTACTAATTCATCAAGATTATTGGTTAAAACAAAAATATTTTGGCGGTATAATGAAATCACAGTAGGAATGTTATAATTCTTCATCCAATGGCTAACAAAACCACAACATCGCACAATATGATAAAAAGGTTAAAAAAATCATACTGATTTGTAAAGCTAAAAATGAGTTTCACATAGATTATGTGCTTGACTTTAAAAACTTGTTAACAAAATGTCAACATAAGCACAGGCAAACAGATACTATCACACAAACTAAGTAAAGAGTTGTGAGTAGAACAAAATTCTAGATTATCACTTAATATTCCTTAAAGAAGAAAAGCAACAACAACAAAAAAATACATTCATGATCAATTTGAGGAATGAAGTATACAAAAGAAATAACACCTACTTTAAAATAGGTAAAATAATTACAGTCGAAATGTTTATTCAAGGGGAAATGCATATTGACAGTATGTAACAATGAAAAAAACCGGGAGTTCAAGTTATTCATCTTCTTAATGCCTTACAGTAAAGGTAATTATTCTTGTAATTTCATGATCAGTGATCTTATTCTTGGAAAGATAGGGAGGAATTCACTCCTTGTCTGGTACAATTCCCAAAAATGTGTCAAATAGCGTAAGAAAGAATTTGATTTCATGAATACACAGATCTAGAACAGGCAATAAAGTAAGTGTGAAAAGTGTAGTGGATGATACACGGAAACCATATAAATTAATAACAGAAAAATAACTCCTAAAAATACTCATTTTTCGTGTAAGGTGGGTGCTCACATGATCTACAGTGTTGGATTCAACAAAGACTTAAGCACAAAGCATAAAAGTAGACATTACAAGTTAGTGATTCCCCCTAGATTGAACTAAAGTAATCATTCACTATGTTTGTACATTATCTAAAGGTCGATAACTGATTACTTGTAGGGATACGATCGCGCTTCAAATATTAAAAATAGCAAAGTACACATTGCTATTTATTTACTTATCTAAAAAGTAAACTTAGTATAAAATGAACATAGAATATTATTATGGAATCATTACGAGGACATGTGTAGCACTTGTTCAAGACGATGACCCTGCTTTTCGGAGACCAAGTTCATTGTTGAATAACGACTTTTCTTAAACTCAAACACATATTCCGAAATCACTTACATGATACTATTGTTGACTGAGAACAACAAAGATATCCTAGGATGAACACGCAGACATCGAAAAGCATCGCTAAAGGTGGCCATATTTTACGTGCCTGCAGGAAGTAATAAGTCTCCGTCGAGAATTAGCTTTCTTACTTTCATTATCTTAGAAACATGTGTGCCATTTGAAGGCAGCAGACATGACTTATCTGAAAGAATGTATAAGCACATAACTGCATGATATCGTTTCGAGAAGAAAACTAGGCCTTATTGACCATCGCGAGCGTACTCTATGTGGTTTAAGAGGGTATACAATCACTTGAGCGTGCTGAAAAGACCACTAATACGCATATGGTTAGCGACAGACTACTACTAATTGGGATATTTCATACGAAATGTAAACTATAAAAACTTAACTGTCTTTCAAACACACATATCCTCAATTGCTGTAGCAACATGTTGATATAAAAAGTTGAGAAAAAACACAGTAAAGAAACTAGTCTAAAACTGGCAGGTACTGAAGAAAGCAGGACATTACGAAGTACAACGATTTATGCTTTTTGGAATACTGAATATAATTTAAAAGTAGCGTTAATTCAAAAATTGCTTCTGGCTAGAAGAATAGGCAGTTGTAAAAGATACTAAATAAAAACAGCAAAGGGAATCTTACTTTTTTATTACCACATATTGAAGCTTCTATAGCACTCACTACCACAGTTATTGAATGTAAGGCATTCGAATCCAAATTCGCATCGAGTAGTATGTCACGAAAACAGCCAAGAACATCTAAGTCTGGACAAACAGAATAAATATATACAGTCGTTACGATTATTTGTATAAACATGGTAACCTTATATAATTTATATAGATGGTCGCAACTTCTCACTAGAGCTCCAGGAAACTCCATCCTGTAGCCAGTCACTAATAAGCATCAGATTAATTTTCAAGAGTTGATTCAGTGGAGGCCATCCCGTCGGAAGTGAGGACAATAGCTCACCGATGACATTGGCTGGAGGTCGCGTTAAAATGAATAGGGATAGAACCGGAATTCACAAACCACTGAGTCAGATCCCAGTGGCTGAATGGTATACGAGCTTGCCTTGGAACCGGAAGGTTCTAGGTCCGAAACTTGGTGGGTGAGTACTGCCGATGAGTCCCAAACTAGGACGAAACAGATGTTCAGTACTCCCTGGTTTTCAATGGTTCTCTAACTTATATCAATCTGTGAGCAAACTTGAAAAACAATTCAACTTTCCTAAGCAAATATACGTAACGGTGTAACACAAATCCTGATGAATATTCAAGTAGTTGGGTTGTAGAAAAGTGGTTGATTTCAAGGTAGATTTTGTTATCAACTGATTAGAATCTAGCGTATACGTATGAAGAGTCCCAATCTAGGACGGAATAGCTGTTTCTGATTTTTCAATGGTTATTTGTTCGTGACGAAATCTACCTTCAGACCTTAATAGGATAAATTTCTTACTAATAGAATATAGTCTACACTGAGGATCAAAGGAAAATCTTAACTTTATGCTGATATGAAAGTTATGTAAGTAATTTACCTGTAGTAATGAGTAAAGTGCAGTTAAATACACTCGTTCACAAATATATTCATCAAAGAAGCTTCAAACTTAAATCTATTCACTTTCTAAGGGTTACCTTAAACATTTGATTCAAGTATTCTTTTGTCTCACTTTACTCTATATGCTGAGCATGATCAGTCTTTTTTTCAAATATTGAAACTTCCTCCTACATAATAAGAGTAACTAATGCGCAAATGACGTAGTCAGGCAATATATATAAATTAAGTTGAAAGCACATTTACAAGAATGTTTAAAGTAGTTTCAATATAGGATTTGCATGTGAATACCATCATATGAGACAGTGGACTTGAGATTTTATCAGACACAATATAAGATAAATAGATTTAAAAGTAAATTGAAATATCTATGAATGAGAATACAATTGTGATAGAACTTACTTCCAGTTAGTAGTCTTGATTTCAATGTATTATTTGTGCATAAATTTCTTAAGATTATCAGTGCCATATCTCGATTACCAGGTTTGCAATGAGTAACACAACTAACTAGAATCGATGGTAAATCTGTGAATCGAATAAAAGGAAAAGTAAAAACAAAAGAGGATCAAAGATTATACCTATATAAAGGCATTTACCTATACAAATGATTACTAAACAGATTACCAGAAACTACTACTCATGCTAATTTATATACATTAAAAAAGACAATTGTCTAGCTCGTTTCATGTAGAACTTATAAGAGATGTATTAAAACAAACTGACAGCATACAACCAAATTATCTGTCCAGTACTCCCTGGTTTTCAATGGTTCTCTAACTGATATCAATCCGTGGGCAAATTCGAAAAACAAATCTAATCCTTAAAAATCAACTCTTGGAAATTAATGTGATGCTCGCTTGTGACTTTCTACTGGATGGAATTCTAGTGAGAAGTGGTGACCATTGAGGTGCATCCAGTCGGGAGTGAGGATGGAGTTCCCACCGATGACATTGGTTGGTGGTCACACTGAAATCACGAATTGGTAGAAGTTAGAATTCATGGACTGGCTATTGAATCCAGTCCAAATGGCTGAATGATATACGAGCTTGCCTTGTAACCAGAAGGTGCTGTGTTCGAGACCCAGTGGCTATGTACTGCTGATGAGTCCCAAACTAGGATGAAACAACTTTCCAGTACTCCCAGCTGGTTTTCAATGGTTCTCTAACTGATTTCGATCCGTGGTCAAACTACATAAATTGAGTGTAAATGGTTGACCTGAATGGAACGACATGGGATTATTGATCTATGAGCAATCTGCTTACTACTATTATCACTTATAACTTTTACAAACAAAAAGTTGCCTTGATGATAACTTATTATCTACTCACTGGTGTATCATGTAGTTTTGAGATGATCATCTACTAAACGTTAAGTATGCAAGTGGCGAATAATTTCAATACACTAATTCACATCTACACAAGTAACCGAAATATACATCCATATATCTACAGAATATTGAACAAATCGGACTGCACTGCTCTTTATTACTTAAAGTGACGTGTCATAGAAACATAATAAAAAAAGACTAACCGTTTACGACTATAATGTGTTGTAACAATAAGTTCAACTGTCTTAAACTGAATCCCTGATAGATTCATGTTATTTAATACAATTGATAATTAAAGTGACACAATATTCTTTATTCAATCATGATATTTCAAGCACAATTTATTACTCATACTCATATCAAGATATTTAAACTTCAAACTAAATTTCATAAGAATGAGTTGCTAAAGGCAGCCCATCTTCGCTGAGTATCTTTTTTTACATTAAGTAGTCTGGATTTTTAGGTTATTCAATTTTATAATTTGACATATGTATTCTATATATATCAAAATAAAATAAAACTTATATTCAACAGAACCTATTGTTTCTCCATATTACTGTACTATCTCCTTTACATTTCTGCTCATTTTTGTTCTTTTGAATATCTTTTGTTTCCTTTTGTGTACCACATGGAGTCGGGTTACTCGAACTTCTGCAATTCTATGCGAAGTTCAATATCGAAACCAGTCAGTCGGTATATTCAACAGTCAACATAACAATTTTGACAAGTATGCAGTAAACAGACAGAGTAATTTTTTTCTCCATTATGGATAAGATAATTTTTTCTTCTTCTGTTATTACACAGCTTTCAAAGAGTAGATGGTTTAAGTGGTCAACTGAATTCTAACAAATATTCTAACAAGTACATCGTATTACGATATCAATACAAACCAAATCATTATGTCATTTCATATGACAGGCAGTCTACTGTCAGGTTCAGATATTAGACTAAAACAATGATTACAAGTGAATAACTAAGCAATATGTGCTTTTCCGACTGCAAGCAGCTTCTTCTGTCCATGTAAAACCAACTTTGAAAAGGCTAGTAGTAATAGTATAAAAATAAAAATAAATCTATGAAGGGAAAGAGCACAGGATTATCATATCATCTACAACAGAAATGTGATTGCATGGAGGATTTCATCATGAGCTGACATCAGTTAAAGAACCACTGGGATAACTGGACAGCTGTTTCGTCCTAGTTTGGGACTCTTCATCAGTATGCACCCACCGGGGTTCGAAACCAGGACCTTCTGGTTACCATTGAGACACTGGGACCCGATCCAATGACCTATGGAATTCTAACTTCTGCCAATTCACGACATAGCGCGACCATTTCACACTATCTTCTTTGATGAGTTACTGCCTCATCTTCAATCTGCTGTACTCTACTGGTCACGGTTTCCCACTAGAACCCCAGGTCACTGCCTGAATAGGGCCAGTCGACAGTGAGCATCAGATTAATTTTCAAGTATTGGTTTTGTATGGATTTTGTTTGATTGCATGGAGGATTTCATCATGAACTGACATCAATTAGAGAACCACTGGAAAACCTGCAAGGAGTACTGCACAGCTGTTTCGTCCTAGTTTGGGAATCTTCATCAGTACGCACCCACCGGGATGATTTACAATACTCGACTTCTATGCAGTCTATTATATAATTGAACCTCATTCCATCTAATTCAGTGTGAAAGTACAAACTACAAACCTTCATCTATAAATTACATAAATCTATGATGCCTTACTTAGTTGTGTTACACACTTGAGTCACCATGATAGAAGAAATGGTCTAAGTGTCAGGTGTCTGTGTGACCATTAATAATAAACCACATCAAATTATTGTTGATCATCATCATTATTATTATCATACCAAAAAAGTAAAATATATACATAAACCTTAATTAAGGAAGGAATAAAAACAGTTTAAAAAAATTGACTAACTCGATTGACATAACAGCATTTGCTGACCATCTCTGGAAAATGATAAGTTAACTAAAAATTCTAGCCAAAGAGTAAGCATAAAATGATCACGACGCGTTTTAACCATAACACGCGGACTAAATCCTGATATTTGATTAAGAAGTTTCGACTACAAAAGGGTTTGTATAATAAAAAGAAAATTTAAATAATTTATTATACGCATAGAAAGACTTATTTAATTTAGAAAAAAAAACTAGTAAGAAACAGTTGTTTCTTATTGTCTCAAGTACAGTAATTTCTTTTTTTATTACTTTCCATCCTCAAATACTTTCCAATAAAGTTCATTCGACTTGTTTAAAAAAAAATTCATTTACGTTCCCAGTGGAACATAGGGCTTCAAGCTAGAGGCTTGGAGTTTCTGTAGCAGTGGTGATTATCTTTACAGGATGGGGTTGCTAGCCGCCTCATGCCCAACCTTCCCTCTTTACTAGTCTTACTACTGGCTTAGCGAGGTAAAGGAGTGCGTCGGGCGGCGGTCAAACTCCGGACCTCCTCCGAACTCTAGCGCTGTGCCACCGACGCACTTCGACTTGTTTTACGAATGTGTAAGTTGACCATAAAAATTATAAGCTATGAAATGGAAGAAACGGTTAGCCATATTTAAAAAAAATTACAATCCACTATGATATCACTTACAAACACACACATTACTGAACCTCATCTATCAGATCTCGGGGATTAGATCCAACTCTGACTATTTCAATCCAATCAGCGAGGTAATACCATAACTCCTTTGAAGGTATGCAAACTTCAGGAAATGAAGCTGCAACAGATTATCGAGTACTATACAATAAAGAATATTCTTTTCGATAACTTCACCATCAGGTTCTACAGTTATTTGTACATAACAGTGAATGAATTAGTATCATTAACAACATTAATGTTGTTTAAATAACATCGAGTCAGTAATATCAATGGTTTACAGTTCGATAGCATCAACATAACAATAAACTGAATACTAGGGTGACGCACCTAGTGAAATAATTACTAACAAGTTAAGAAAATCTATTCAAAGAACTTTTAATGCTGGTAAACTATAACTCATATTTTCTACACGACCGATGGTGATTCCTCGATTGAAAGATGAAGTACCTAGACTAGCCAATTCTAATTGTATCTACCAATTCAACTGCGTTTGTGGAGCGAGCTATGTTGGCCGTTACTCTAGGAACTTGATTTTTCGTGCTCACTCGGGAACATCTACCAGTATGATTAAGTTAAGGTGTGGTAAAAGCCATCAACAGTTCGATATTAGACCAGCTGGTCCAAACCAGCCACAAAGCCAGCATTGAAGAATCCTTCTCTATCATCTACCGGGTACCAAATAAATCGCCAAAAACATCCAGGTATCGCATACTCCAAACAGCAGAGGCTATCGCGATTCACATAAAACAACCAGTGCTTTGTGTGCAGAAGAAGCAAATCCAGCCACTTATACTGCTATGGTTGGCCTTCAGTGGAGACTATAAATTCACGAATCTATATTTGTATTTATCCTAATTTGCTTTTCTGATATTCAGTGTATTGTTATGTTGATGCTACTGAACTGTAATCTGTTGATATTATTGATTCGATGTTGTTTAAACACTGATTCATTCACTATTATGCATATATAACTGTAGAACCTGATGATGAAGTTATCGAAAAGAATATTCTTTGTTCGATAACCATTCTTTGAAAGAATTTTAATGGACATTTTCAATCATTTATTATACAATATTAAAAACAAATGATTATGGGGTAACTGTAAAGTTAGCTGATCAACTTTTAATCATTTTGGAAATAAATTTAAAGTTTGAGAATTACTTATGCGATAAGAGTTTAAAAAAGGCGTAAGTCAGAAAAGAATGTGCCTTTCGTAAATTCTCATCAAAGTTATACATTTATATGATGTTCTATAAGGTCATCGAAATGTCTGTAAAGGTCAATTGTTATTGTCAGTTGATATCAAAACATGAAATTACATGTTAGGAACAAAGAGAAAAATTACGCAACTTAGTGGAGTAGTCTTACGTAATCTAAAAAACACCAAGGCGTGAGTAACGTTCAGTAATGATTATCACTAAAACAGTAAACGCTTGTAACACAGTAATATTGTTCATAAGAGTGAGAGATTCCAAATATGTATACAGCACATTTTAAAGTTAGAAGTTTCGAAAGAAAAACGACGAATGAAGATGGAATGCATACCAAAGTACTGAACACCTAGTTCTTACTCATCATTCTGCATCAGTAGAGAAGCACCTCAAAGTGATATGTAAGGTAAGGCCGAGTTGTTCGAAAGGTGTCAGGCTTCGTCTTCTGTTCGTAACAAATCTTCGCATACGCGATGAAAACCCTAAACTGCCTATACAAAGAAGCGATTTGTCCAATCCTTTTTACTACAGTGGACTTGAGTCCTGCTTTTAATTTGTACAATAATTCGGTATGCAATTCACGTTCATTCTTTTTACTTCTTTTATATTTCCGAACCCGTAAATTTAAAATATTTTTATTCTGAATCTTTTACTCTTATATATAATGTTCCTGTTTCCAAGCACTTATACTTCTAATGATAATCATTTCTCTGAGCGTTTTTCATCACCTAATGTTTTTAGATTACGTAAGACCACTTGAAACAAGCTTCGTGATCTATCCATTTTTCTTTTGATGTGTAATTTCACGTGTTTATTTTACCAACTCATACTAATAACTGAACTTATACACATTTCCAGGAACTTTGCGAACGCTATATAACTGTACACTGCACTGACGAGAAATGAATTTATTTCTGATATTATAACTGAAAATTTGCTTTATGTCTATAAACTTTATGACTGATATTCTGTGTCAACAGGTAGACTATTATAAAAGATAACGGTAGCGACAAAGCATACAGTTGTTCTTGTGCGTTAGTTTGATTTTATCTGTTGTCTCAACAAATGGAATCACATATATAGCTGGTCGTACGTCGGTGGCACAGCGGTAGAGTGCTCGCCGACGACATAGGTGGTCCGGGGTTAAATCCCCGGCCAACGCACTCCTTTACCTCGCTAAGCCAGTAATAAGACTGGTAAAGAGATCAGGTTGGGCATGAAGCTAGCAACCCCATCCCGTAAAAATAAACACCACTGTTACAGAAAATTCAAGCCTCTGGCTTGAAGCCGTATGTTCCACTGGGAACGTAAAGGAATAAAAATACAGTTGCTCAGTTGGCGTCATAATGAACTGACAACATTTCATTGATTCACATGACTTACGGGCGTTACTCGTGGTGATTTCAGTAGGATACCGGAGCTAGTAATTAGGAGGTCAGTAGTTTAAATCCTGATGAAACTCAGGTTTTCATTTTACCCTTAATCATTCATCATTTATCATACAAATAATAAAATATAAGATAATTAAATTGAATTACCTTGAGTAGAGAAGATCGTGTTTCAGCAGCCCAAACCATATTAGCTAATAAATGAAAAACTAATTTCCATGTGATTTCTTGTTGTGTACTGCCAACTGGTTTACCGCAAACATTTGTTCCCATCGTATTGGCATTCCATGCATTATTTGATTCAGTTAATATTAAGTTACTATACATTGGAATTAAATTACACAATGACTGGATGAATGAATTATTTGTCATTACAGAATTCGATGAATTGAAAATTAAAATAGGAGCTGTAAATAAAGTTAAATTGAAGAGGAAGGAATAAGAGCGTAATAAAAATACTTCGTTAATAGATGAATTCTATTCAATTTTAATAAAGTAGATCTGGATCATACTTCCATTGGACTATACTTTTGGTTTACTGTTAACAACTATTTCATTTTTGGAAAATAATTTTGATGATTGATCTAACTTTTTTTAAAGTCTCGTGATATAACTTGATCAACTAGTTCATTTCTATGAGTGTTTATTTATCATTCAAGGTTAATAATGAACAAAAAATGAAACTTCCTCAGCATTTAAGTAATAAATGAAATAAAGCAAAAAGAAAAGTAAATCGGAACAAACAGTCTGTATTGCCAGGTGAACATTATTTGGCCATTTGTAAGGTAGAGGTAATTATCTTGACAATATTGGCCTTACGGCAACCAGTTGTTCTCATAATTTTCAAGTATTGGTTTTGTAGGGATTTTGTTTGATTGCATGGAGGATTTCATCATAAGCTGACATCAGTTAGAGAACCACTGGAAAACCTGGGGATACTGGACAGCTATTTCGTCCTAGATTGGGACTCTTCATCAGTACGCACCCACCGGGGTTTGAACCGAGTACTTTCTGGTTACAAGGTGAGCTCGTAGACCATTGAGCCACTGGGACCCTATCCAATGGTCCATGTATTCTAACTTCTGCTAATTCACAACACAGCGCGACCATTTCGCAATGTCTTCTTCGATGAGTTACTGCCTCATCTTCAACCTGCTGCGCCCTACTGGTCACTGCCTGAATACGGCCAGTAGCTGGTGAGTATCAGATTAATTTTCAAGTATTGGTTTTGTAGGGATTTTGTTTGATTGGATGGAGGGTTTCATCATGAGTCTACGAGCTCACCTTGTAACCAGAAGGTCCTCGGTTCAAACCCCCGTGGGTGCGCACTGATGAAGAGTCCAAAACTAGGACGAAACAGCTGTCCAGTATCCCCAGGTTCTCCAGTGGTTCTCTAACTGATGTCAGCTCGTGATGAAATCCTCCATCTTATCAAGAATCGTCATAATATATATGAAAGCTCAATGAACTTTGATTTCTAGCGAAGGTGAACTGAGAATGAGATGTCTTGTTGTTGAAAGCCTTATCTATGAGAATTTAGGCTTAAGAAATAAGTAAACTGCCAAGATTCGTCCATATTTATGCTACAGTCTTGATCATTTTCATAAGTGAAATATACTGTTATCACCAGCATTTCATTAAAATTGTATCTGACAAATTCATAGGATCACGGATTGGAATTATTTGGGAAACAACTGAAAAGTATGTTGCACTGGACAACTGCTGCTTCGTCTTGGTTTGGGACTCATCTCAATACGCACCCATGACCACACTGAAGATAAGACCCAGGAGCTTCAGGTTACGAGGTGAGCTCATGATCTAACTCAAAACTAATCACAATTCCTGCACACTAACATTTGACTAATTATTGTTACGGGCAATCCTTACATTACTACAAAAAAAGAAATATTACACAGATATGATAATTAAAGAAAAAAACTACAATGTATAAACAGAAAAAGAAATACCATACCATCAGATTTAGACCTATTCGTTTGAATATTGCTTCTAGAACTAGAATTTTCACTGGACAGGGGAAGTATATTTGGTATGATTTTCATTGAGTTAGGAGGATTAACCAAAATAGACGATGCTTGTGGACAATCAGCAGTTAAATTTGTTAGTAAACCAAGTAAGGCATGTAGAATTCGTGTGTCTTGTAAAGCCAAAGACCAAATACATATTATTAACTGTAAGAGATAACAATACACGATTTTTTTAATGAATATGAACACAATTCTAGTAGAATGCATATAAAAATAGGCAATGAAACATCAAATGAGAAATAATTTGCTACAAGTTTAAATAATATTTCAAACTAAAGAAAGCAATTTATTTAAAAAAAATAATAATAATGCTATATGCGACTTTTAAGACAGATAGCGAAAGAAGGACATTTGAATATGCTGTAAAAATCACAAATTACACAGACTTTCATTCATTTTCTCTCGAAATACAGTGATGATATAATCTAAAAGGAGATAAATCAGGTCGATCAGAAATTCACCGAAGATTAAAAATATTCAATGATATGATCCAATATCTATCTCTTTCGACAAGCATCTATCACTACGCATTTTTAGGTCTATTCAGTAGTACTGTGGTGAGAGCTGTCTGCAAGCCAAAATTGTAAACAACAATTTACGTCAGTGTTTACGTCCCGAATCGGGGTCATGAGAAAAAACAGTAACAAAGCCTAACCTTGAGGAACTCAACAACCAATCACAGCAGACTTAGCGTGTACAAATACGATTCGCAGATATATGGCTTAACTTTCTGAGAAACTGTTACAAGCAGTACAGAATAACCTTCAGCAGGAAAACAACCAATCAGAAGACGTTGCTTCTCTGCTAAAATAACGAATAATAATTCACATAAAAATCTATAAATATCTGTTGATTTTCTCAATAAACGATCTGTTGCCTGGCCCTTGTCTTCTGTCGTTACAGTACGATATGTATTTTTATTCATAACCAAGAGATAAGACAATCATATTCCTAGCACAACTAACACGGAAATAAACTAAACTTTAGAATTCGAAAAAGTTCAAAGTTGATACTGTAATCGATATGAAATGAAAACCATTATTTTGTTGGAGTTATAGACAACGGAGACCATTGAAAATCCTTCTGAGTAAATTGCATTACGTATTCCTAAGAACATCATATCGAATAAGATAATACGGTATCATTTTATTTCCTTGATTCATATCAACTGCATATAACCTGAAACAGTTGCAATATTTATATAATACAGAGAACAGAATAAGTTAAAAATTGAAGGAGCCTCACCTGAATAATTCCTGATTCAATGGCACGCATTCTAGCTTCCGGACACATGTACACGAGATTATGCAAAATTTCTATATTGGCAATCATTTCATCTGAAAGCTTAAGCCAAGTAGATAGTGTTTGTTGACGGCGTTCACATTTTTGATCAATTGATAATGATCCTCTAGACGACAAAGAACGTCTTGAATCACAAGAACTTAATTTTTCAGATTCAGGAAGTATACTGACATTACTACAGCATAATTCCATTTTAGCACAAAGAAGCTGTAGTTTTGCAATTGACTCTTCTATAAAACCATCTATACGACAAAGAAGGCGTAAGGAAAATACTGTTTAGGCCCCAATATTCAAATATCATTTAAGTTTTGTACAATAATTACATTTTAATATATGTAAGGAAAGCAATGATGATTAAATAAAGTATAGGATGAAGTCGCTATCTGTGATAAGGCCATGTAGTACTATTAACAAGAACTGGCGAAGTATTAAAAATCATCAAAAGAAAGTTTATACACACTTGTTCAACGATGATTTGTCTCATAAATGATTATCATTATTATCCGAGTGAGACATAGGACTTCTGCAGCACATCTCCACTTTACTCTATTTTCTGCAGTCAGTTTTAGCTGGTTCCACGACTGCCCATGAACTTTCATTTCCTCAGTGTCACCCTATGATGCCCAACTCGTCGTTTCCTAATCGCGGGCCTGACACATGATGTTACACAATGGTCTCCTCACCGTGTGTACGATTCATCTCCATTTATTTTGGTATATTTGTTATCCAAAAGGTTCTTGGTTGGGTCGTTGCCAAGGCCCTGATAGTCATTGAATTTTTCAAACAAATATTTCTGGTTTATCATCCTATAAAACAATGGCTTTTACTTTACACATCTGATAATGCATTAGTAGATTATGAATCTGTGACACTTGGATAGCTATGCTCACAGCCTAGTGGACAGAAATGCATATGGTTAATGATTTATACTTTTCATCCTACTTCAGCTAGGGCACCTGAATAGTATCATCGACTCACAGGTGTGGCTCAAAGACCAATGATTTGTACTGCTGAAGAGCCACATAAAACCAAGGAGAACTAGATAGGTGTTTCGTTTCAATTATGAGCTCTTCATCAGCATGTACTAACAACCCCATGTGGATTGACAACCGCTTTAAAACTTCCAAATACTTATCAGTGAAGACGAAATGTACCACCAGTTATTGCGATCTTAGCTGGTGTTTCCAGGATGTTAAGAATTAGCAATTAATTTTTTCGATTACAGCTTGATTCCACACCGTATTTTTTGGTACAGGTATGGAGACTCTTGTTGATATAGCTTGAAATTATTTACGTTGCAGATATATTCACTATTTATAATAGAAGTGTTGGAAATTTTCACTGATTTTCAGATAAAAATCATTTTTTTAACACATGTTCATTTATTACCGTATCAATCTGTGTATGTTGTCTTTTTTTGAATTATGTTTATTCAAACTGATATATTTTTGAACAAAATTTTACGTCTAGTCAGTTAGATGTTTCAGTGTGTAACAGTAAAAGGTTTATTATCAAGTCAGTGGTGGTAGTATTGGACAATAAATACTACGGTTGTATAGAAAATTAATCAAAGTTTAAAAATATGAACTGTTCGATTCTAATCTGATGATGACATGCTTGTAGACATGAATTCTATACTTTTCTAGCCAACACTGTGTGCCTATATGAACAGAGTAATAATTCATAAAGATGTCAAAGTCAGCCAGAGTCGGAAAGGCAAGACACGCCTTCATCAACCTGAAACCAGTTTGGAAATCTTCTGCACTCAGCTAGCCAGCCAGCATAAAGAACAAGATTCGGATTTTCAACACAAATACGAAGTCGGTATTTCTATACGGGTCAGAAAATTGCACTGCGTGTGAGTCACGAAAAGCATTTCCAACTGGCTACAGCAGACTTTTATCAACAGCTGCCACCTTCGCTGTCTCCATACTGAAGATCAAATGGCCAGAAAGAACTAGCAACAAGAAACTCTGGCTAGGAACAAACCAACAGAGCAAGAGTCGATCGCTCGAAAAATATGTAGGAGAAAATGGAGATGGATCGGACATATGTTGAGGAGTCCATCGAATGACATCGCAAGCAATGCAGGTCATCGCTCGAGTGGAATCCAAATGGGAAGCGATGAGTGGGTGGTCAGTGCTAGGGTGACATGAAGGAGATCGTGTGAGTTGGAGGAGGAGATGAGAGATTATAGGCAATCGTATACGCATCTGAAGAGGACGGCAGAAAACAGAACAAAGTGGAGATGTGTTGTTGAAGTCGCATGTTCCACTCGGAATCCAATAGAATAATAATAATCCATAAAATTACATGAATGTGAAAAAAAATTGTATCAGCTAGATTATTATTAATAATACACACTACTACATACAATTCAAAGAAGTAAATGAGCTAAAGTATTACTTAATATTTCTAAAATATTTAACCACCAATCCTGCAAATACGGAAATTAACAAAAATAAGTGTATTACTTAACAAATACATATATGATACAAGGATAACGAATAATCACCTTCAACAACAGTAATTTTAAATGCATGACATATTCCAATAAGTGTTCGTAGCGCATTATCAATTGCTTTTCTATAATTGATAATGACTGTCATAGAACTATGATTTGGCATTCTCGGTGATACTCCATCCAATGAAGAAAATAATGATGGGAGACATTGATAGGAATTTGATAATTTTACTAAACGCCGAGTCAAATAAACAATACCAGGTATAGATTTATCTGCACTTGAATACTTTGAATTATTTAATGTTTCACTTTCTAAACAATTAACAACTGGATTTAAAGAAACTGGTCGCTGATTTGACATGATCACAGTTAATAACTGCAAACCTATACGAGCATGTACACAAAATCTAAATGGTAGGAGAAAAACAAACAGGTAAACAAAACAGAAAATTTTTTACAAAGTGCATGTATAAGAGTATGAAGCGATTACAATACTCATACAGAAATGTTACATTCTGTTAATTATACACCTTTTATAAAACTTAATTAACAATGCATTCATACAACTGAACTACTATTAAATATACTACTTATAAGTATAAATATCTTTACTGCAGTACTGGATGACGCGGGTTCGAATCTCAGTAGAAACATGAATTCTTTCATTGTTAACGAGTGCCAACAGGCACGGAACCTAGGTTCAGGGCTTCCTGCTGACTGCCTCCGACCACCCAACACCGATTCAGTACACCTCAATGACGAATCACTTAGCTTGGTGACTACAAAGCAAACTTAAATGTTGGGATTCAGTCTGCACCAGGGACTAGACGCATTAGTCACTAAATATTGTCCAATGAAAGTATCCATTACAGTTCTACAGAAGATCAATCGCGAGTTCGAATAGCTCAATAGTAACGTTTCAGATTGCAGCTCTGGATGATGCGGGTTCGAATCTCAAGGAGGATATGAGTTCCTTCAAGATTGCAGATACGCCTTGCTGACGAGTGTCAACAAGTACGAAACTCAGGTCCAGGGCTTTCTGCCGTTTGCCTCCGACTATCTAAAACAAATATCTTTATTTCTTCAATCATATGTGGAGATGTGGCTCACCAGCTTAAGCACTCGAAAGGTCCAGGGCTTGAATTCTGTCCTACCCACTTCGGAATGTGCAGCTGGTTAGTATCACCAGTCTTCATATTATAAGTGTGGCTAATAATCTGTTAAATGAGAAAACTATTATGGGTAAGTAAGTTTTTATATCACCTTCAACCAATATCCACTAAATCAAATAACAGCCTGTCAACCCTAGATCATCTCACATAGTTTCACCATAAGTTAGAACTAATTATTCACTAAATCATAAAAATACTACAACAGCTTGAATAATAAACCCTTAAAAATCTCCTAAATCAGTTCTGACATGATTTATTCTGATTACTGAGTTATCTAAAGGAACAAACTGAAGGAGCTCACTTCTGTACAGTAATCTACATCGACTGGCTTATAAAATAGTTTATAAATGTATTTTTATATCTACATGAATTAAGCAATAAGAAATAAATAAATAAATAGAACTTTCAACAAACTCACTTTGTAGACTGACGATCTTTACATTCTCTAGACACTTCTAATTCAGCTTTGTCAATAAATGCAAGAATAATGTCCAAAAATTGTGGAAGAACATTGGCTAATGGCTTTAGAATTAAGCGTAGATTCAAGCTTTTTGAGTTGTCATCGTTGGAATGTATTAGCAGACACGTTAATAGTAAGAAAATCTCTTGCCATAAAGAAGCCATTACATCAATATAACCTAAAAGCAGATACAGGATTCAGAGGAATTTAAACTGCACCATTTACATGTATAACATGTTATATATAAAAGTAAGTTATTAATTTTGTACAAGGTTAACTAACTATAGGACTATCCAAAGAATCTGATGTATGAACGGTTAAGGGAATATTCAGTCAGGCAAACTACCATAGATGTTATTAACTTAATTTCAGAACTCAATGTTACACAGTCGACTGTTTAGGTGCGCATGAAATAAACCCTTTAAAAATTAAGAACTGGTATACTTCAATAACTTGGCTTTTCACGAAAAGCCACAATAAAAGAGTGATATAACAAGTAATAAGTATCTGAACAAGCGGTTTATTTAACTGCTAAGTGTTCCATGTTGACTTTAATAAGTGTATATCAGTAGACAACTTAAAATGGTTTACTGAAATGGGAAACAAATAAGGGTGGAAAACTGCATCGTACTCGTAGCTATCAGGAATATAAGTAATTACTACCCAGCAAATGCAAAACGTCCGAATGATAACACCAGTAAGCGAAGCTAACGCATTAATTCACAAATTATTGATTTTAGAGATGATATATATATATATATATATATTAATTGGTGGATGGTGGCTAGCAGTGGAATCCAGGATGCGAACTTAGTCCTACTTAGGACTTGTCAGCTGGATGTACCTGCATTCCCCAGTGAGTGATGATTTTCCCACCGAGGCTCAAACCCAGTGTCCATAGTTTCAAGCGCAAAGCGTTATCCCCTAGACCACTTAGGCCAACTCTTGTGCAACGGGGCATATTAATTATTTAATTCAATTTTAGATTTTCCCGTCGATTGATTGGATCGAAGTATCTGCACAAGAAGCCGACATGTCAACCTAAGACCGAGCACTTCGGTCCAATCAATCGATGGGAAAATCTAAAATTGAATTAAACAATGATTTATAAATATATGTTTGTGTCGTATCTCTTCATTTGGCTAATACAACAAGGTATCTAGGATATTAATACCGCTTTACTACGACTTGTCGCTTGATTTAAACATGTGTCAGGAACACTAATAAAGACTTGAAATGCTTTCCCTCTTAACAATAAAGATGGTGACTTCTTTTCTTACTGATAATAACTCAGATACTTTTATGATCTGCAATTACGTTTTTTAATTTGTGAAATCATAGACACATTGGATAAAAAAACACCACAGATTACAGATAAACGATATTTCAGCTGATGATATCAGCAACCAACTTTAGCTGAAGAATTACTGCATTTAAAAAACATACTGAGCAGTTGCTTTATCCTAATTGCAAACATCTTTACACAGTGTACCATCATGACATTGTGAGGGACCAAGTCTAAGACCATTAGGTTTTTTTAATCAGCATACAGCAATTCACATACTAGGGCCTAAATCCAATATCCTATAATTTCCAATCCCTGTTGATTTGTGATACAGTATAAAAAGCAATACAATAGAACTGACTTTCTGACAAATGACACGATGCATCTATCAAGTTACATTTTCAAAAATGACATGCTTTTTAACTGTTTCAATGAATTCCCATGAAAGCATTCAATATGTGGTCAGTATACATATTGGAATATTTGATTTACATTTAATATTGTTCAAATATTCTATAAAGATAAATTACATAATTTTTTAACTTACTTATTGGAATAGTTAAAATTTTAATGATACGTGTTAAAAATAAAGCATCAGACATTAAATTCATACGAGTTTCTTCATTCATTGCTGTTTGACAGCGTAAAACATGTATGCAGTTAGTATAACATTGAATTAATTCTTTATATGAATTTTTTGAATTTAGCATAGTTTTTGCATTACAATCAACAGATCTTTTTGTATAAATATGGTTAGTTTCAACGCCAGTCAATGCATGAGTTTGTTGAATAATAGCTTCTAATAAATCTGTAGTGTAAAATAATGTTTAGAAATAATGAAAGTACAATCATGAATTATCAGTTCAATAATGTAGATAAAATAACAATTATAACAAAACAAATTAATCAAATTTCGACAGGATTTTGATTAATTTCCAGGTAGATTACATTACGAACTAGGATCAGTCAAAGAATTATTCAAGATAGAGCAGCACTGGAGAACTGTTTCATCTTAATTTGGAAGTCTTCAGCAGTGAGCACCTACTGGGGGTCGAACCGAAGACCTTTAGGTTACAAAAAGAGGTTGTTGACCAGTTCAGTCACCGGGCTGAGATCCAATGGCCTGTGAATTCTAACTACTGTTAACGAAACAACTGTTGAATGTAAAATTATTCTTTTTATAGACTTATCAAACTTGATTGTATTTAATCGGCTGACGATTTATAGCACATTACTAAGCCATTCAAGTAGGTACAATTAAGAGGAGTGAACTAGAACTTGGTCACTTTGATGTATTGAGTTAACCTAAGAAAACATCTTACATCGGCAGTCATTTAATCTTATTATATAATTTCAGACTGAAATAAATGGCAGTCGTTTTATTACCATTTTCTAATTGAAAGTTATAATCGACATACCATCACTTTAATGTACTTAAGTGATATAAAACAATTAGTCCCTTTTGTAAATTTGGATAGCGTTATTAGAAGACGGAAATTATCTGAAAAATGTGATGTATTTGCGCCGTACATTTCGAACAATCTGATCACACATTTACTTGTCAAGTCGACATACATGAAGAAATTAAGGGTAATTAAATTAAGCAAAGTGACAAAAAAAGGTTGAAGAATGATTAACACAACGTTTGGTAATCCAATCAAATAAAGATGACCAAGGTAGGTTAAGAGTAGTAGTAAACTGTTTTTGAATACACAGGGGAAGGGGCTTAAGTTTATGAATAGCTATAGCCTCAGCGTATTTCAATAATCGCCCAATACCATTTTTATAGATGACCTTAAAAGCTGAGTTAACATCAACCTTATGGTTCATCTCGATTAGGTATTAAGCTATAGTCGAAGTTGGTAGTCTGACACCTGCATCTATTGGTTTTCCACAACTAATTTGTTTCTCTAAACATTTCGGGATATGCTCTCCCACTCTCACATGCAAGGCACGATTACTCCTCCCTATGTATGTGTGTCCACACACGCATACGAAAATTGGTAAATAGTGTGGGATGTGACATAATCACTTGTGCACTTTTGAGGTTTGCAGTGAAGCATATTTTCAGCTTTTTCGACGGTTACAAGCTGGGCTGCATAATATGTTCTACGGACGACCTAATTCAATCTTTGTCTCAAAATCCTACTGTTTATCTCCCCGTTATATGGTAATTTGATAAAAAAATTTTCTTAGGGGCGGTGTAGATTGTAGGTTTAAAGACTAATTTGACTTCTACACCTGTTTAACGGATATCCCTTAAAATTTTTAAGGTCATCTATAAGAACGGTCAAGCGAGCTAATTGAAATACGCTGAGGCTATAGATATTCATAAACTTAAGCCCCTTCCCCTGTGTATTCAAAAACAGTTTATTACTACTCTTAACCTACCTTGGTAATCTTTATTTGATTGGATTACCAAACGTTGTGTTAATCATTTTTAAATCCTTTTTTGTCAATTTGCTGAATTTGATTGCCCTTAATTTTTTCATACATATCAACTTGACAAGTAAATGTGTGATCAGATTGTTCGAAATGTACGGTGCAAATACATCACATTTTTAAGTAATATAACATTATACCCCAGAAATATATAAACATATTTAAGTGACTGAAAAACGCACCAATAAAATGAAACCTTAATGCTTAATTATTCAGTCTATTTGTATAGATTATAAAGTCCTAAGATAAACTCACTTCTATCAATCACTAAAAGGAAATTTAAGAGAAATAATTTTAAAAAGTCGAAAAATGATGATTATCTATACAAAATTCAGGTTAGTATAAAATATTTATTACTCTGCCGCAGAATAGGGAGGCTCGAGTTCGGTATCCAAGGGTGACATGCAGGAGATCATGTGAGTGCAAAATAGAAGTTTGTTGGCAGTCGTGGAGCTAGTCAAGCAATACAATAGAGAACAGAAGACAAATAGGATAAGCTGGTGAAGCCCTATGTTCCACTACGAACCCAAAAAGCGAATAATAATCGAGAATCGGTAAGATGAAGTATGAATCAACAAATCCTTATCATGACATCTATTTTATAAGAAGGTGACTAGAACATTTTGTCAGTTAAAACTAGTGGTACAAGGCATGTTACTCAGTCATTTAAACATATATGATTATGAAGTAAACTAGAAATTGAACACATCTATTCTAATGTATTTAAACATGCTACATAACGTCAGTATTCGTTTAACATTTAAGAGAGATTATTCAAATAATTTTAAATGAATACACGATGCTGAAAAGAGGGACATGAGTTACTTAATCTTCAGTGAGTGTAGTAATGAAACGTTTATCATCAGCGACTAAAGAAGCGGTTGAAGAACAATTCTGTTACAGTGTTCATAAAGTTATTTGTTCAAACGATAAATGAGAAGGCCTGACGAGGCAACTAGTATTAAGAATACTTTCACACCAAAGTTTTTAACCTGTATAAGAGATGAATAAAGTTATAACAGAACAATCCATATTTATATCTGAAGAAAATAAAATGAAGATAAACTCCATCCTGAGTTGCGCTCAGTTGCAATCATAGCTCCTGCACGCGCCTCCCCCCTCCACCAAAGGCTGTCAGCTCTAAGTAATTTATTTGAAATATTCTGTCAATTACAAAATTTTAGTAAGATCCCAACAAGCACACAAAGAAATTCATTGAAAAATGTAAGCGATCATGTATATATGAAACAATTATTAACGGGGTAATAGCAAATTACTTGGATCAATTATATTCATTAATAATGAACTGATACGTTGTAATTTTAATTCGGATAAAATGAATTTCGGTAAATGATGCATCAAGTTCACTAACAGATGAATAACTGAGCTTAAAAGCAGTGGAGTGCAAATATGAGATGAATAGCACTCCGATGAAGTAGTATTATTTGTTCCGCTTAAAGTAGAATCAGTGAAATGGTTTGTATTTGTGGATGTTGTCGTAGTTGTGGATACTTCTCTCGGTGTAGTATGAGGTGTTGTTATCTTTGGGAAAGATTGTGTATCAGTTAAGCTGGTAGCAGTTACAGTCTAAACATACAAAAGAAATGAAAAAACATGAATTGCTTCAGTTACGTGTATTATAAATATAAACAATAATAATGCGTAGACTAAGCGGTGCTCGGGAGGAATAAACACGAGAGAACCAGACAGGCTTTAGACCAAAAAGAGGGTGTATTGATCATATCCTCACCCTTCGACAGATTCTCGAACATAGGCATACTTACCGGCGTCTAACAATCGTTATATTTCTTGACCTAAAGGCGGTATTCGATTCTATCGACCAAGAGGTACTCTGACGATGTTTGGCTGTAAAGGGAACGCCAAGAAAATACATTGCGCTGATCAAGGCACTCTACTCGGACTCATGCAGTCAGAGGAGGGCTTACGGCGAGTTGTCATCTGAAGCGGTGACAACTAGTGGTGTCCGACAGGGATGCCCATTATCCCCATTTCTATTCAATTTCATCATAAATGTACTAATGGACTTAACCCTAACTCACTTCAGTGACTCACGGATTGACTTGCTACCAGGGAATAATCTCGATGACTTAGAATATGCAGACGATATAGTCCTTCTAGACGAGAACGCTGACAAAATGCAGAGTCTTCTGAAGACCTTGGTCAGAAAGCGATCTTCGAATGTTTGGCATACGATTCGCTCCCATCAAATGTAAGATGATGCTACAGGACTGGACTACATTGACTCCTAGCTTAGAAATAAGGAGTGAAGTGGTAGAGCATGTTGACCACTTCACTTATTTGGGAAGTTGCATCAACCCCAACGAGCTGATCACTGACGAAATCTCAGCACGGATACAGAAGGCTCGTTTGGCATACGCCAGCTCACGCCGTCTCTGGCGTAGACGTGACATCCGGCTGGCTGTCGACCGAAGGGCGAGTGCACTGCACAGCAGTCCGCTCCGTCCTCCTTTATGGCTGTGAGACCTGGCCATTGAGAATGGAAGACATGAAAAGACCGGCTAGCTGTCTTTGATCATAGTTGCCTGCATTCTGTCTCCCGTGTTAAGTGGTATAATAAGGTGAGTAATATTGAGGTTAGGCAACGGTCGAGTGCTAGGTAAAGAGGAGAAATCAATCGACGAGACTGTGAAGATATATCGACTGAGATGGTTAGGACATGTGTTACGCATGCCTATCCATCGCCTTCCTCAACAGGTAATGTTGACTGACATAGGATGGGTTAGGTTTGAATAGAACCAGTGGTGGTCAAACCAAAACATGGCCTCATTAGTCAATGAAATCCACAACAATTAGTTTAAGCCAATCACGTAGCAAGGTGTTGACTTCCTGATTGGGGTCCTCGGGACTGTAAAAACCAATAGCTGGAGACAATTAGTGATATGACTCAAAATCGTTCTCAATGGCTGGCGCAGATGCATCCACTCCTTGTGACTTATAATATCCAATGAAACTATATTGTTCTTCGATATTACTATTCTGTTTGCCTCATATCTGTCTTTATTGTTTCTACTTTGCATTTCTTTTTACTTTCTTCTTCTTCTCTGGCTTTGTGTGCTGAGTGAAGTGTGGCGACTCGAACTGCTGCACATCGGTGCAAAGTTCTATATTGAAAACAGTCAGTCAGTCATAAATATAAACACTTAGTTATACCAAGAATTTTATTATCAAACACAAGTTTACAATAAGTTGTTCGGATTACAAGGATAAAAGTGATTTTATCACGAATCAAAATTACATGATGCTCAGTTGTATGCAAAATAGCGTATTCCACTACAACTGATGTAAACTTAGACGATATTTAAATCGGAAGTAATTCAACTTCTTCCTCAGCGTCAATGAACCTATTTGGTTGACCAGACGCTGAAAGAAAAGGACGGTTTTACATCTGGGATATGGATGAGCAAAATACATAAACCAAGTGTTTATAGACAGTTGGAGATGAACTTAGTCAGCTGTTACACAGATTCTAGTCGTACGACACTTGAGCATTACTTAGTTACGAAAGCAATGGCCTTCAAGATACAAACGATCAAATGCCGATCATCCAAAATTATTCAACCGTAGAACAGTAATTCTACAAACAGAAGGATATTTCGTGATAATCAACAGATGAATTGGCCTGAAAGCTTATAAATGAGTTTATTACGACAGAGAATTATCTTCAGTAACCAACCCAACACCACTAGTTAGGATCATTTTTCAATAAATTCCACGCCAATTATTAAACTCTATAGATACACTAAAAACGCATGCAACTTCACTTCACATCTTAATACTGCGAGAGGTATGTATCAATTAGTCTTAAAATTTTCTCTACGATTTTCTTCTACGAAGTGTTTGCAATATCTTCCACTAAAAGTAAATTTTTTAACACTGAAAGTTAGCTCAAGTATGTAGATCTTCGGATCAAAAATAATAGATTTGAAATATATAACGACAAACGGACACCAAAAAGAAAGATGCCAGATAAATGAACATAAGATTGATTCAAAATGTTTTAGAAAACAGAAAATAATTGAGCAAAGAATATCCTTTTCGATAATTCCTCTTCTGGCTCTACAGTTATATATACATTATAGTGAATGAATGAATTAGTGTTATTATAATAGTAATAATAAATATTATTATTATAAATATATAGTAGCAAATAGAATATCAACTAAAATTAGGAAACTTCCACAAAAATTCAGGATCATTCAAACCTAGATGGCCAAGGTAAGTATAATGTCTGAACTAACTTCCTTTGGACACACAAATTAGGCTTCTTAATATGGATCCCAACAGCCTCAGCAATATTTAGTAATCGAACTCTTAAAGCGAAATTGAGATTCGTAGGTATGCGGTAAATGACCCTGAAAGCTTGATTAACGTCAATCTTGTGTTCTGTCTCCACAAGATGAAATAGAATAGAGCTATGAATAGATTTTGTTTGTCCTTTACTTAACCAAACAGGTTGATGTTCGGAAATCCGACGGGAAAGACGCCTGATTGTACGACTTATGTTACTGGCTCCACAGAAGCAGTTAAATTGGTAGATACACATGGAAAAGGCGAAATTAAAAATACATTTGCAAACAATAAATAAACAAAACAATTTATTTCTTACCTGTTCAGTTTTATTATATGACTGAAAAGCAATTCGATGCCATTGAGATAAAGTGAACATTGTTTGAGGCATATGAGATATAATTAAACGATAGAGATATTTGAAAAAAGCTTTCGATACTAGTAATTGGTAAAGCGCAGGTAGGCCAATCAGGTATAGCTGAAACATAAATATGCATAGAGAAAATATATTTGATTAGAGTGACAGATAAATTTACTCAGTAGAATGATGTTTATATTGATTGGTGGTGATTACAATTTAATGCAACAGAAAGCTTTTTCAAGGATTTGAACTATTCGGCTAGATGATCGGGATTCTATAGACTCGGGTACAAGAACGAATGTGTCATTTGTGATACATGAATTTCTTTTTTTTCAATACACAAACTACTCAAATACATTTACGTGGCCCTGATGAAAAAATGAATAATTACATAATTCCAACTATTACAAGCAGTTTAATTAACATCTAGTCGGTTATACTTCATCTTCAACTGAGATCACTTGGAATCGTATACAATTTCACCATGGTATCTGGTGTACGAAGCAGTATAGAATTCTCTGTTCAGACGCATTATATCACGAAACAAATGCTGTGTACTTTTCAGTATAGTTGAGCAAAACGACAGGCCTCATATGAACTATACTGATACTGGGTGAGGAATAACTATAAATGAACAACACTTTAATAATTGTCCCACAGTAGTTTGGTATTAAAACGTCAAAATTAAGGTTACTCAATGAGTGTCATATGTCCTTAGTCACACTCATGAACTGTAGCCGAAGGGTTATTCCAAAAAGCTTTAGTTAGGTAACCAACCTTTTCTTCTGTCTAAAGTAGAATGTGTCAATCAGGGGAAGAATCACTTGAATCAATAGTGCTGCAGTCTTATATTTAATTAAATAGGGAATTTAACTTTTGCACAGCCTACATACAGGTGAAACCAAAGACAAAAACACTTACATTTGTATCACTGTCTACATAAACAGGCATAGTAATATTCTTTGGTGGTTCTGACCTAAGTACAGGTATGGACTGCAGTTGCTGATCTACAGAACAAAAAAGAAATCAATATCCATGGAAGTAAACAGAACATACCGATACCAATTATTACATTTTCTTCAGTAAACAGTTCGTCAGTCCAAGGTTTCAAAACATCAATAAGATGAGTGATGTTATCTTTTAACTGTTGAGAAAATTGATTTGAATTGAGAATCTCTTGAAGATTCATAGTAACTACATCAGAATGTAGAATATTATTCGGTGCTGTTAGTCTTCTTACAGTAGTTGCTGCCGTTGTAACAGGTAAAAGTTCACTTGCATCAATTGAATTAATCTGTCTTGTTTCTTCTGAGTTATTGGATGTCAATTCATTGATAGAAGGAGGAAAACACAAAACTGAATCTTTCGGATTCATTGGTAAGAGTGTTAAATTAATAAGTAAATGTGAAGCCATTGCACGGACCCAACATGTTTCATTAGGATCCATTAAGAAATGGAAACCCAATTCCCAAATGGAACCAGGAGAAGACCACATTAAAGAGTGACTAAATAGCCGTGTACGCGTTTCAGTAGAAACACTACGAGTTAATAAACGATGAAGCCAAACAGGGACTAGACAAACGCGGCTAAGAATAGATAACGCCAGTGCACGAATCTAAATTGCAGTAAAATAAAATAAGTAGAGAATATTATTATACAGACAAAATATTATACCGTCAAAAAAATTACTGATGGCAATCCAGCTGACCAAAATCACTTTCTCATATCAAGCTGTAAACTGAAGCTTCATTGCTACATGAATAAGATCACCGTAAATGAAAAGGAAAGCTTTCTTAGCTGCGAGATATATACAGTAAAGACTATATTAGAAACAACAGTCATCTTAATGCATGAAGGAATGTATCATTTGAAATAACGATGACCAAGGGCAAATGCAAGTCTTATCACAATTAACACCTCATTAATAATTATACGATTATGCTACTAAAACTTCAACGCCGAACACAGAGAAGAGGTTAAAATGCCAACTACTGCCTAAAATATTACAGTATTTATCTCTAAAATGGGGACTGAAATAGACAGACAGACATTATCAACGCATATAGAGCAGTATTATCGCCTCATACCATATTTTAACAGAGCTCAGTATGTGGAATTTTGAATTGGCGATAAGTCTCGAAATAAATAATCAATGAATCACAACATGAATGGCTGACTAAATGAAGAATTAAAACAACTATTACACCTAGGCGATACTACTGAAATGACATAATAGTAGTCTATTCCTTAGGTAATAAATAATCAGTTAAAGAAAGAAGCCTAACAAATCAGATCATACATCATTTGTCAATCAACAATGGGATTTTAACCAAAAAAAAACAACTTAAAATTAAACCGCTAAATATGAACTTTATTAACAAAAGGTTAGGGGGTTAGTATTCACCTCAGTGTGACGATAAGTTAAACTTTGTAAAAGCCATTCTTCATCAATCCAAGCAATATATTTATGGAAGTATTCCATATTATTTGATAAGACATCATTTAAATCTAACTGTCGTAGAAATGATTGAGCAGACAGATTATGAATTAAATTATTCATTGTCATTAAAAGTAACACAATAGTCGAAGATCCCATAAATGAATTATTCGCCAAATGATTACGACGTTGAATAAATGTCGTCAGAATTTTTGATACGGGATTAAGTATACGTTCCATTAATCCATCATCATAGAGAACACGAACAATTTCGGTAAATTTACTAGAAATATAAATGAATAATTTGGTAAGTGATCTGATAGTAAGCACAAAACTATGTTTTCTCTCTTTAATTCAATGTACTGAAAAGTTTTGAAAATATTAAAAAATGTAGTAAGGTATGATACAGTAAAGCTATAGTGCAAATTAATTGCTCAACCATATGATAGACAGATGATGAAACTATCAGTAATTGTCATATATAAACAAAACAATGGTGCCACCTAGAAAGTTTCGAAACTTTCCTACGAATCTTAGGAAAAGGTGGATTCATTCATTCGTGAAATGAGCAAATAACTGTCAAGTCAAAGGCTGACGAGGTCCCAAACTAGGACGAAACACCTATCGAATACCTCTTGGTTTTCAATGGTTCTCTAAATGAAATCAATCTATGGTGACACTTGAAAAACAAATCAAATCTCCACAAATTAACTCTTACAAAAAATAATAACCACAATTATGCTTGAAGGTTGACTTACTCTTATTTCTACTGTTGTAACGTAATGTAACTTGTATGTTGAGCTACATTACTTCATAAAAGAAGGAATAACCAGTTAATCTGTTGACATTAAAACCTGTAACTTATCCTGATGCCTACCCAAAAACTTCCCGTGACTTTTTTCATTCCTTTTTTCCCCTCATTTTTAAGCCTAATTGAAGATTTCAGTAATGCTGCGATCTACTATCTTTGGAACAAAACTAATTAGCTGACTGACTATGACAATCTGCACCAAGCGAAATCAGTAAACATAATATGATATAAAATTCACAAATCTCAAGCGTATATATAGAGTACTGACTGAAGTGAGATTAAAATGGACGGAAGCAGACAGTGGGAGAACAAAACAAAACACCAGCGTATCAAGTTATCGGTTTTTTATTCGATATTTTCACGTTATATGACTGATATCCCTAACACGTTAGGAATCAATGAATGAGCACTAGTGTACCGCTTTAAAATGGGGAGGGTGTATTCGACCTTTACCGTTCTCGAATTAAAATACTTCATTATTTCAGACTCTTTGTACCTTTTGCGCTAAAGTCCTGTTGTTTCTTTAAATTATTTCATTTTAAGGTAGATTTCGTCAGGAAAAAAACCAGTAACTGAAGAATAATGAGCAATTTCAGAATTTAGAAGATTGAAAGGAGTGAATACATTTGGACCATTAAAATACTATTCAAGCTATGTCAACAAGTTTCCAGTCATTTTACACTCCTCCACAATTAGGTTAGAGCCAACAGTCGAAGACTATATTCACTGGTGCCACCTATAACCCTTTCTCAACCTAGTCAATATCGACCCCAACGCCATCCATTGTCGCTGACGAATATTTTTGCTCACAATCGACTTGTTGGATCATTATTCTTCATTAGAAAACTCCAGAAAGTTCATCCCGTAATCAGTCACTACTAAGAAGTGGACTATTGTTTCGTGAATCACTGTGAAATGCACAACCATGAACCAAGGTACTTACGCCCAATAAGTTTTTTTTTCATTTATCGACTGAAAATAAAATTGACAAATAAAGTATCACAAAATCATGACAAAAAATGTGATAAAAAGTATGGTTAATTACATTGATGTTAGTCGAGCCAGTATACCAACTAAACGATTTAAACGAACCAAGTCAGAGAATGGAGAACTGACAAATTCTTCCAAAGTGTTACACGCCCATTGAAAACAAACTTCGTATACTTTAAGATCAGCCATACTATGAAGTTTAATGTAAAAAAAAAGTAAGTGTATGAATTAATTTTTAATATACTAAATGTAAAAATTATGATTAATAAAGTTCAACTAAGCATAATACGATCATACAAACCCATAAATCACCTTATCTCAGGAATGACTAGACTAACTATAAAAGTAAGGGTTTAAAGTTACTTCAACCACTTGAACTAGATAGCCAACACGAATATGTCAAGTTCTATCTGCTATTTGTCTAAGTTACAGACAGTATGAGCCGAATAAATTCCCGGTTACTTCGATAACTATTAACGGTCAATTCCTATCAACTTTGCAGTTTTAAGAACACAATATTCAGCGAAGAGACTCTTTTCAACGAATTTTATTATCAGGCTGTACAATCGTATGTATATGGTTTTTAAGAAATTATATCCGGTGCGGCAATTAGATCGGTGGTGTGAATACATGAAATAATAATAATAGTATGAAGTGCAATTAAAATATTTGTGATTATAAGCATAGTTAAATGTGAAGTAGCAAAACGATTAGTGTCATGTATAGAATAATTCATAAGATGTATAGATGTTGGGGAGGGGTGCTTAATTATAGGATCAGCAGGCTAATATGAAGCGTTACATAACATGGTGTGAAATTTGATAAGATAGAATGCAATACTGTAAAAAAAAATTGGATTTAAAATGACAAGTGGGATAAGCAGAAACAACTTAAAGTGAGAATAGTAATAATAATAATCGTAGTAATGAGAGAAAGGTACACAGATTAACTAAGTTAAAAAAATAAGTGTCAATCCCACTACGGTCAAGGCTTGTACACAAAGGTCTGGCTTAAATTCATGAATGGCCAAGGCCTCCGTTGTCTTTAGAAGTCTATAGCGAAGAAAACGCGGCAAGTTAGCATGGATTCGGTAGATGATCTTAAAATCATGGTTAGGGTTGGTAGAGTGACAGGAGTCGATCAGGTGTTCTAGAATAGAGCTTTGCACACTCTTTCTTTCTCCTTTGTAAAACCATGCTTTAATATGTTCTCGTATCCGTGTGGAAAGCGTCATCTGTCTACGGCCAAAATATATCTTGCTCCACAAGAGCAGGTGAACTGATAGATGCATATGGAGGCGGTTAGACGGGGGAGATTATCTTTTACAGAGATGAAGAACAACTTGTGGCTGGTGAACGTCATTTGTAATTTTGCTGCAAAGAAAGTCTTACTGACTGACTTAGAGAGACGGTTTTTGAGCATATCTGAAAATTTATCACCTTTGAATTCCAAGTTCATGAATAAAGTTTTCTTTGGAACTGAGTTGGTGACCAGTTTAGACTGCTTATCTTTCGTGTTACTGTCAATAAATCGGTTCGGGTAACCATTTTCTGCGAGCGTGGCTTTTATGAAGTCAAGTTCTGAGTCAACGCAATCAGAAATACAGAACTTTTCAGTTAATACAGACAACAGAAAAGATTATATTTATTTATTTTTGATTACAGCTTGATGCCACACCGTATTTTCAGTACAAGTATGGAATTTTCAGCATATCATATCGGTAGCCCAAATTTTGCAGGTCGACCATAGATATCGGGTGTGCGTCGACAGGGGATCGAACCCCGGACCATGTGCATCGTCGGCGAGAGTCCTAACCACCGTGCCATCATTTAAGAGCTTTCAAAATCTTGAAAAACGGCATAGGATCGTAACCTGACCTTAGTATTCAGAGAGAACGTTGACGTTTACCAATCAGAAAGCCATAAACGTTTTGTCACTGATGTCTTCTAATTAAATGTTTATAAGAGTTAAAAACATGATTTACACGGAATTGTAGTAAAAGTATGTACATACAAAGACAAAAGAGAATCAAAAACGAAACTCGAACTATGAATCACAAAAACAAATAACTTTATATTATTAGTATTTGGAATCTTGTAAACTTTGATAACAACATTAAATTTATTCATCAGATTGAATAATGCTATTTGCCCACAATTATGGAGTCATCAAACGACATTGGAAATGTCACTGAAATAATTCAAAATTCACATTGATTGGTCAGTAGACAAATCATAATGCTATACTCTTTAGTATACAAGATAAGAGTGCCATTTATAACTTATGCGGTGAACCAAAAGACTGTTCTAAAGTATAGCTATTTCAAAAGATAAATTTGGGGGAATGCACACTGAGTAGTCGTCGACAGGTAGAAAATAACAGTCTTACGCTTTCTAACGGTTCAGTGGTCTCCTGTGATGAAATCAACCATTCCTTTATAAAGCACTAAAATGAGTCCAATAGTAGTTATATTTACCAAGGAAATTTCTTGAAAGAAGTGGTGTATTACAACAATGTTAGAGAACCTTGATTACTTTCTGTACAGACATTACGATATATATATATATATATATATATATATATATATAGAAGGGAGAATCAGATACTTCAAAGAAATAAAGCTGTTAACAGTAACCTACTTTGATTCAACATATTTCGTAAATACATCAGTTGAACTATTTTCTGTCATATTGTGTAATTTATCGAACGAATCGAAAAGATCATTTAGTAGATACGGCAGGCAATGGTAAGTCAAATACTTTTTCGCAGATATTAAACGTGAACTGTCTGTTTCACCGATTCCTGCTTTCGGTTGTAGTAGACAATAACTTAACGGACCCTGTGTATCTCCGATAAGTGACATTATCCAATTGCATAGATATTCCTAAACAGAAAAAAGAAACATAGAGTGATTTAAACAAGGCGAATTTTATCAAATTAAACAAATATTCTTTACAAATCTGATAGATTAGTGTGGTAAAGTCTAGTTACAATATTGTGTGTAGGGGGTCAAATCAATAGTTTTGCTGATATGTTTAGATGAGGAGTGCTAGCATGTGAGAAAGTCAGGTCCAATTTAGTTGCACTATAATAACAAGCAACAACAGATGAAATACAAAAGAAACCCATAGTCTGGTAACCTAAAATATATTGGTAAAAGATAGGCAGAGAGCTTTGATTTGTTTCCAAGCAAATCATACATATGTATTTTATTGCGAAAACTGCGATGATAAGAAAATGCAAATGGAATAAAACACGAAAAGACCTAGTGTCATTCACTAGTGGATAACTAAGAGATAGGCAAAGTAGAAAAATACAAAACAAATTAGCGATATCTGAAGCATACTTACTTTGGACGAGTGAGAGAAGTAATTTAGACTAGACGGCATTAAATGGAAGCCGACTTCATGAATAGTACACAACACTGAAGCTAAGAGATTGTAATCCGCTGAACAAGACGGTAATGTGGTCATAAATCGATTCAATTTTGCATAAATCCACCATGAGACTTTACATGTATCCATTTGTGTATCATTTGCGTATAACATACTATTACAAATTGGATAATGGTAATATTGTATTTTATGAGCTGATAAAGATCGATAGAGTAGCCCTAACGATTTCAATAAGTAGGAATGGTTAGTGGCCTGTCGAATACACGCCAGACTAAGCAGAAAACTTGAGGTTGGATGACTGACAAGTAGAAGGGTGATATCCAAACAGGATAAAGAGAATTGATTGAGGAGACTGAAAGGTGAAAGAAAATAAAGGTTAACCAATGAAACATTAACAATAAATTAAACGTTTATTTAAATGTCTTAATAAAGTAATATCTACGGTATTTTTGTTAGTATTTAGAGAACTTGAAAGGAGTTCTACATCTCTCCTGTTGGTCTATTTTACTGGACCGAAATGCTGGGTCTCTGTTGACATGTCAGCTGATAAATAGGATGGTAAGAAGGTGTTAACTTGATGTTATTTAGGGCAATAAGCAGTGGAATTTAATGGATAACGGTGGGAGAGTCCCGGCAGGAACGCCATCACTTACTAGGATGCAGGTACACCCAGATAATGAGTTCAAAATAGGATGACGCGCGCATATTTGATTTTACTGCCACTTATTACCGACCAAATAGGTCAAAATTAACATGCTTAATTGATAATAGAAAATTTTTCTTGTAAATGGTTATTCTTTTTAAAAAATAGCAAATAGACACTTTTTAACTGGATAAGGGATATTGATAGTCAGCAGTGCATCAACTGTCGTAAAAGATTTTCAAAATTCTTGGCAGTATGATAAGAATATCTGTTTGGAATAGAAGTGAATAATAATTTAACACCGATAAAGAATCCATATCAACGACTATGTATGTACGTGTTGAACAAATGCATTTGTACGCTACTCACTACTTGTTGTTGCTATAAATGTCAGTAAACAAGACGATTATAGCTCAAAATATCAAAGTGAGGTAACTTTATCAATCTTTTATCTCACTACTTTGTGTAATTATTATAACTATCCGGAAGGCCTCTTTTAGTGTATAAAGAAGTATAAGCTGTCAAATTTTATGGTAATACAATAAAGTACACAACAAACAGAAAATCGACCATAAAAAAATGAACTTACGGACTATATTCACGAGCTCGTTTTAGGCATATATCTAAATTAGATGGATTGACTAAATTTGGATCGGGAATAGCACCAATCATAGATAATGTATGAGAAATCAAGTTTGATACACCTTTATGGCATGCAAAAGCCCATAGATAACGAAAATTACGTTTCACTAAACAACGCAATATTTGTGTATTCTCATCTTCATTTGTACAATTAGCTAGTTTAGAAAGTGATCGGAAAGGACTCACTAACTCTTCACTATTTGAACCACGCCATTGAGAATTAAATGAATAAGTTGGACATGTAAAAGGTAACAGATAGCCAGCAACAACTTCTTGCGGTAAACAAACGGGACTCCTAAAGAATAAAAATAAAAATAAGAATCATCGAATCGAAATGTCCAGTTACACATATTACGTAAATTATTCACTAACCTATCAAAGTAGAGATTAGCACAAAATTTAGTCAGTTCAAGTTACCAGGCTTCAGAGAAGAAAACATGAAAGTAGAGAAAATAAATAAAATGGGGCTACAATGGTCGACTATGTATGGGGCGAAGGAGGAAATTGGAAGAAGATTTGTGGAATTTTTTAGAATTTGGAAGATGACAAGATGTGAACACATGTAAGCTATGTCAGAGCCTCTTACTATTGATTTCTAACATCTCAGGGACACGAGTGGGGTAATCTACACTTCATTGCTTGACTAGGTCCGACAGTTCATAACTTGATGGACTGGCTATATGTTGCGGTCTAACCAACCCTAACTCTTCTTCAACTGTTTTCAACTAACGTGACTCGCATAGGAGTGAGGTGGTTTGGCATAGAGGAACAAAATGAGTTTGAGTATATGCTGTATATGCAGTTTACAGGCTTATCTAAAGGAAAACTAAATACACTATTTAAGGTATATCAATGCTTATCCATGGTAACATAACTGATATGCTTAGTGAATTCGTGTCCACAGTAAGAAAAAAACGAGGCTTCACAGTCTAGGGTATATAGTTGCTTCTACTCAATATTATTGATAAGATAATACTGGTTCAAATCTTCATGTCTCTTCGTTAAAAACCATAGCCTGGAGCTTTTGTAGTTTTCTGCATAAGTAGAACCATAAAATAACCAATCTGGAAAGATGGCCATATACAAAAAGGTGACAGTAAGTCGCAGTTTAAAACCAGGATTCGGAAATTAGATACAGGTTTTAGTACTGATCTCTAGATATTGTATTATGCCTAAAACTCAGACACACAGAACAGGTTCCCCAAATACCAGACCATCAGTCACACTTAATATATGATGGCTGATGCTACTACGTAGTCGCCAAAGGTGAAGTAGCTAGAGCAAGATTCGAACATTGGAGACATTGGTTGAAAATCAGGTGGTTAAGCCGATGAGTCACACATTCACAATCTCCATATAGCCACTAGTTTTACATGTGGAGGAGGATGAAAGCTGACATTACTGTCCAGTGGTATAGAATCATGACCAGAAGGCTGTAAATCAAATCACCGTGATAATAAATACAATACAAACAGTGTTATAAAGAGAAATACAAGTACAAAATAAGAAATTACTCGTTCGAAACTTGAATAACAGCAGTGAATGCAATTAGAGTGATTAGATCTATAAGATCACGCTGGAAATTCTTTGGTCCAGGAAAAACAATGAGTACTAAAAAAAGATTAAAACAAAACAAATAACAAAGCAACAGATTACCTTCACTGAAGTAATATTTTTTTAAACACATGTATACATGTATTATAACAAAGTTAAGTAACCTGTCTTACAGATAAATTCTTCAAATTGGACTTTAATATCCAGATCATTCAAATTTATCGAAATGTCACAGAATTTTCAACCCAACGACAAAGCTTGCATTTGAATTACCCCAGTATATCATTAACTCTTATTCAGATACAAGCTTTGTCTTTGCGTCCGAAATCCTGTGACATTTCAATAAAGCTAAGTAAACTTGTAGTGAGAGCTGTCTGCAAGCCAAAATTGTAGACAACAATTTACGTCAGTGTTTACATCCCGAATCGGGGTCATGAGAAAAAAACAATAACAAAGCTTAACCTTGAGGAACTCACCAACTAATCACAGCAAACTTAACGTGTGCAAATTCGATTTGCAGGTATATGGCTTAACTTTCTAAGAAACGGTCACAAGCAGTACAGAATAACCTTCAGCAAGAAAACAACCAATCAGAAGACGTTGCTAATAGTGATGTACATAAAAATCTATAAATATCTCTTGATTTTCTCAATAAACGATCTGTTGCCTGGCCCTTGCCTTCTGCCGTTACAAACTAAATGGATTTTCAAACATTGACACACATACACACACATTAATGATTCAACCCACAAAAAACAGGATGAAAGTCAGGCAACCTAAAGCTTTTTTATAGAACTTTAAATTCAGACAGAAGATGAGTCATGCTCATCAATCTGTTTATTAATTATTAAGTTGCTTTTATGCTGTCAATAATTCATCACAGTAATTTATTAGCCTAATAATTAGTCACACTCACAGACCGCAAAGAACAGTGTGAAATGGTCAAGTGCTTCTGAAGCCCTGTATTCCACTAGAAACCAAAGGCAATAATAATAAGTCCGACAGATACTTTTAGTTTTAGATACTCAACAGTAAACAAGATCCTAATGTTACTTGAAATTATGCTTCACAATAAACAATCAGTAAATTATAGAATGTAACGTCTCGTTATGCACGTAATAGAGTAAATTTACTTGATAAAAGTACGCAGTGATACTGTATTATTTACTGATCAGTAAATTATGTATATCATAAGTAACTACAACAATAAACTTTAAGAACCACGTAAATCTGTTTGAGAAGGCTGTAACCTTCTACCTACCTGTTGAATTAAAAATCACAAATTTGCAACGTGTATTGTACAGTAAACCAATCAACCAATCACGGATGAAATAAGAAAGTTGTTATGGGCGTTAGCGATGAAAACATTACACTTAGATATTTCAATGATAAAAATACCTACTCACTAAATATGTCTTAGTGGTAAGTTGTCGTTATAATACATTTCTCAAGGGTCAAATATTGTCTAGTCAACATATAACTAGTATCCTTTGTCTGTTAGCCATTATTCCCACACCTCAACATGCATTATATAGAAGATTTTGTAAACTCATATGCTTCTTTTATCTACAATGTGTCAAAAAAGAATCAGTGTGGAAATACAACAAGTATTACGTTAACAAGTTGTTCTAGGCTAATCTAATTTGCCCTCGGCAAGATTAATCACCATGCTTATTAGTTTATATCAAAATACTTCTGTCTAAAATGAATATATAAAATAAAAGTTCACATGATTTTTATAATTTCTAAACTCACAGTAAATAATATTACTCAAGAAATCTGGTTCCCAAGAGAAGATAATTCGTGTTGATGTATCCCAGATAGCAGCTAAACAAGCTATTTGTACCACTAAAGGCGTTAATACAGCAACAGGTGAGTTTGGATTTATCAATGGATTAAAAAGATCCTGTGATTGAGTTGATTTCATTGACAACACCATATCGTTTACAGTATTAGTAATCCAATTCACTATAAATTCTGGTCCATGTTGTATACGCCAAGCAGATAATAATGCAGGACCTAAAGTAAATTAAAACAAGCAAACAAACAACTAAACAAAACAATAATAAACTTCAGTATTCAAACAGAAACAACTGACGTCCAGATTATAATTTGTACACGGAAACTGAACTTCATGTCAGAAACGATTCTCTCTACTACAGCTCACTGTATTTTTTTTTTATTATAGCTTGATTCCACACCGTATTTTTGGTACAAGTATGGAATTTTCAGCATTTCATATCGGTAGCCCAATTTTGCAGGCCGACCATTGATATCGGGTGTGTGTCGGCAGGGAATCGAACCCCGGACCATGTGCATGGTCGGCAAGAGTCCTAACCGCTGTGCCACCGATGCACATTTAGATAAGTACACAAATATTGTACACATCTCACTAAGCAATCATTTTTTCACTCAGCTCATTGAGAACATAGTGTCAGCAGTCCTGAAGTCTGTCTGTCTGGATTCAACATAGAACTTGGTACCGAAGTGCAGCAGTTCGAGTTGCCACGTTCCAAATAGCACACAAAGGTAGACAAGAAGATGAGTGAAGACAATCAATAGAGTTTTGACAAGTATAAGAGTGAAACAGAATGAGTAATGGTAGAAAGGAATATGAAAGATTACAGAGACTGAATACATCTGCGCCATTGACAACGATTTTGAGCTATGTCACCTATTGTCTCCAGCCATTGATTCTTAGAGTCCCGAGGGCCCCAACCCGGAAGTCTGCATCTCCCTACCTGACTCAGTTTAACTGTCAGGGATTTCATGGATTGATGCCATGTTTTTGTTTGGCCACCACTTACTCTTTTCCAACCTGCACCTATATCAGCTAGTAATGCCCATCGGGGGAGGCGATGGTTAGGCATGCGCAGCACGTGACCTAGTCATCTCAATCTATATAACTTTATAGCCTCGTCGATTGATTTTCCCTCTTTGCCCAACACTCTACGCCTAACGTCAACATTACTTACCTTATTATACCACCTAACGTGAGAAAGAGAAAGTCCTGAAGTCAGTAAGACAAATCTGCTTGTTAAGGAAGTTGTCTTTCAATTATCATTATCGTAGTTTCTGTATGTCTGAAAGTGTTGCTGCATAACAGTATAAGTGGTCATGATATCACTGTGTCCAGGACTACTTAACAAACTGTCATTTGCTATGATGTACTACTCTTAAAACATCGTCAATAATTAGCGAATGTAAAAAAGAGATATAAAAGTGAACGTCTATGCAACTTACGGCGAATAAATATTATCACTTGTTCAGCAGCAGCTTTTCTTGCATTTACACTTCCTTGATCATCTGTTAAAATTTTCATCATTTGAATTAAATATTCAATAGGCTCTAGTGAATCATTTGCAAAATTCATTGATGTCACCTGTTCTCGATTAAGTATAAGTGATGGTGGTTTATTATTGAATTGTGACACTAATTGATTTTGTAATCGTTCAGCACATGAAGTAGAATTACAACAAAGAAGTGGTGTACTTGTTTTACAGATATTTTTACGATCTGATTCACTGACATCGATTTGATCACTGATTCCAGTCACTATACGGCAGTTACTAGAATTCGAGGACATTTCGTCTATTTGATGTTCAGTTAATGTAGTAGAATTCGGTCTACAAGGCAGAAGATTTTTCCATCGAAATAGTAAACACCAATTAATAGTACTAGCAGCTTCAAAGCGTACTGCATCAATAGGATGTAATAGTAGCCGACAAGATGATGTTAAAATATGCATTAAACTGTGTTTCTGAAATAAAAATATTATGTGAATAGTTTATTGAGACAGCCCATTTGATAAATTTAAATATGGCATTAGGAAGACAAATATTGAGAGATGATATCATTTACTGGACAATATCTTCATTTCAGTAGTTTTGTTCCTTTCTAGTATAAACGTTCCCCAGTGAAATGTCTGTTTTTAAGGGCCCGTACAATTTGCACAAGAGACACATTAATGGATAAGTTACGGAAGATACATTCAGTTTTATTGACCAACGATTATCCTGAAAACTTCATCGTATGTCACAGTAAGGACAGACTACTCCTTGAAAAGACACGTTCCATATCAAAGAAAGCTATCTTTATTAAATTACCATTCAAGGGTGTTCAAACATGCAAATGATAGCTAGAAGTCTTCGGTTGGCGCCGCATCTCTTTTCCTTACTGTACCTACGATTAAAGGAGAAAATTCTATGGACTCTACTTCACACTTTATCTACAAGTTCACTTGAAGTTGCAGTGACACATACATAGGTAGAACCAATAGAATGTTCCAATGTCATCAAAACGAACATGTACTTAGAAAGACGTTCGAAAAATCAAGTGTGAGAAACTGTTGAAAAAAAACTTGATGAAATTAGGAATATTACAGGATAGAAACACATCATTTTGAAGTGAGTTTTCATTATAAAAAACCTGAATACCTACATAAAGTCTACACATCAACACATGCAAATGACTATTACAAGACTGAATGAATTCCCTATTTTACAGGTCGTCTCTAAACAATTATAACTCATTGGTTTAAGCACTTGGCTTTCAGCTAACAGGTCTCAGGGTTTCAGTCCCACTTCACCTACTTTACCTCGGACTACTAGGTAATACCATTATCTCCAAAAAACAACATATGTAGCTCATAGCCTAGTACACGAGAAATCTTTCCTACCAACTCAGTTCAAATAAACTAAAGAATACAGGAAAATACAAAGTAAAATCAAGAACTGAGAATGATCAGGATTCGAATGCACACATTGTCATTGGGTGACTGTTTACAATTTAAAGAAAAATTTTTATGAATGTGAAAAAATAAAGGAAGATAACCAACTATTCATCATTATAAACATCACCACAAACCTTCATTGTGGATTTAAAAAGCATTTACGGCTTTCCAAATGATTTCTTTAATGAAATCAAGTCATCAAGGTAACTATAACAAAATTGTTTGTATTCAAACCATTTGTAGCAAACTACTTTATTTCACCTCTGACTACAAAAGAGATTGACCCTCACGATTTACTATAGATGACCGAATTAGCCTGATTTGTTTCTGCTACTATTCCATGAGACGTAGTTAGAGTATGATTTGTAAACATTAGTATTGTGCAAAAACCAAGTGCCTGATTTTTGATAACTTTCAACTGCAACAGTAACAGTATGAATGTAATTTGACCGAATTACCAGTTTCATAACCTTAATAATGTATTTCTTGAATTCAACCATCAACTGTTGTAATAGATAGGATCAATGCCCTTCGCTGAAAAATATAATTTTTTTTTCTTAAAACCACCCTGAAAGTCCTATTCTATCGAACTGCAAAGTTCAGAAGAAAATTGAAACCCCAAAAGATTTCCCTATTCTCCTGCATTTATCTCATCGAACAGTGCTTGCTGCCTTGCTTACCGAAGCTGGTGTTCCTCAGAGTGCTGTTCTCTCTCCTTTTCTTCTTTCTTCTTACTTACCTCTCTCTAACGAAAACAACTTCGTCAGATACCCTAATGATGATTCCTGTCATGTCCTAATCTGACTTTGCTTTCTGTCAGGCATCAGTCAGTGGTCTAAGGTAAATGGTCTTACGTTAAATCCCTCAAAATGCCAGACTATTGAATTCTCCTGTAGACATGAAAGTGATCTACAACAATTGATTAATTCACACGATGCTTATGGCATAGGGGGGAATGTAATAGAAACTAGGTCTAAAACAAAATACCATAGTATAGTTCTATCCCCTGACCTTACTTAGTCATCCCATATTTTATCGATCTCCAAGAAAATGTTCCATCTAAACTGCTACATTAAGAAGCTAAAACTATCTGGAATCACTCAATCTCTGCTTTTACAATTTTTTAACTCGTGTATCTTACCTATTGTACTTTACTGCTCCCCCTTAGTCTTTCCTGGTCTACTGAAAAAGGACTATTTCACTTTGAGAAGGATATTAAAGGTTGTTAGCAGGGAAGGTGGTGAGCAACATAGCCAGCTTGTCACTACATTAGTTGATAGATATCTAAACTCATGCATGAAATGGTCTAAACCTATATTGTCTGACCCCGTCTTAATGCTTGGAGCTCTTCAGCAATACTCACCTACCGGGGTTCGAACCGAGGACCTTCTGGTTACAAGGTGAGCTCGTTGACCATTGAGCCACTGCGCCCCGATCCAATGGCCCATGAATTCTATCTTCTGCCAATTCACGACATAGCGCGACCGCTAACCAATGTCTTCGGCAAGTATTTTTCCTCACAGCCAACCTGATGCAACCTACTGGTCACGACTTCCCACTAGAACCCAGGTAACTACCTAACTGAATAGGGCCAATAGGTAGTGAGCATGTAATTGATATTCAAACAAATACTTTCTCGGTAAGAGAATAAAGATGTCGCATACAAAAAAAACTTACATCTAAATTTTGTTCCTCTAAATTCTGTTTACCCACTGAACTCATACGACCCAAACACCAGTCTAATATAATACTACCCAGTGTATTAGTATCTGAACTTGATGTTTGCGGATTTTTAAAAGCAAATGGACCCAATGATATAGTCAGTGGTCTGGATACCTTTATAGATGGACTTGGTGAAGTTGGTTCAATCAATAAACGACGTAACTTTTTCCATCCAGAATCACTAATATATTCATATGAATTTAATAATAAAGATAATCCTTCACAGGCTAAAGAAGAAACCTATAAAACATTAAAAATGATGCATGTTGTTTAGAAAGACAACGAAAATGATCTCATTGATGAGTGAATAAAAACAAAATATTTATTATCATTTATCAGCAATGTAATACTTACTAATGGCCAAGTTGTAATGAAATAAATGTCATTTGATAAATATCATATTTCATTAAATATAAAGTCGAATTCTGTTATAACACCAGTCTTAACACCGCTATAGAACTTATAATCCATCCTTCATTAAGATACTGAACGTTCAAGATACTTTTGGTAATTTATGCAGTATAGTGCTCTACAGTAGTGAAATTCAGTATTAACCTCAAGAATTATCGACGACATTTGACAATGACCATATCAAGCATGAGGTTTAAATAGAATTAGAGTAATTACTTTATTACTTACAGTTATGCGACCCCAAATTACACAGTTGCATTAGCTAAACAATATATGACTACCGTAAATACACCCGGAAAAAAGCCCACTACACCAACATATATGGACGCTGAGGAATTTCAGAATTGTTTTGCAGATTGCAAGACAAGTATAGGTACCTTTGCAGTAGCCCAACTTTTTTTAAAAACTTAAACATAATATAAACAAGAATTCTGAAAGTCATTCAGTTACGATTTCTAAATAAAAGATGCCTCATGGAATACTTTTTGAATATTAGACTATAGAAAATGAATATTTAGGTGTCATCAGTGTACTTCATTGGACAGAACTATTGAACAGAAATCGTGTATATCCAATCGAAGTTTTGTCTCGAAATATTTGATCACATGATTGGTTTGTAGGAATTTAGTTGATTTCAAAGTGAACTTTATTACCAGCCGATAGCGATTGTAAAAGTACTAAAACTTTTTTAAGGCGGTCTACTTGAATCATTGGGTTTCCGAAATTGCTTTCCACCAAAATTTGGATTTATTATTGTTTTAATCATCCAGTTGCATTAAATGACCTGTACATGAACATGCGCGCTGATTTAACTTGTTTCCAACAAAATGAAGATATCCTTCCGATTATTACTTCACATGTAAATCTTGTATGAAGAAAAGAGTATTTTGGAACTAAATACGCTGAAAATTTTTGAACCATATGTTCGTATATTGTCTGAAATAAAGCTTTATAATTATTATTATTACAACTAAGATGTACACACTGCTAATCAGTCAGAATGCAGTGATCGATGATTTTTAAGATCGTAATTGTAGATCACTAGAAAGCTTAAGGTTAGAATGCAACAGCTATATGGTGGCTTTCTAGCTGATTTTTAGCTCGTAACTAAATCTATCAGAATTTATATGTACCTACTTTTCGTTGTAAAAAAATAATAGGGAAATGGTGGTATGCTTATTTTGTATATCTCTAACAAATTTATTTTAATGTTTATATTTGTATATTGAAATAAAATTACCTCCGAATTTTCATCTTTTAAACCAAAATTAATCCATTCACATAAAATTTCTTCTTCGATTAGAAAATTTACAGTTTCAAGTGAAGATGACGGATCAGCAGCAAAATTAGGGTTAACAGCAATCTATCCAATAGAAATGTAAAGTTTGGTGTAAAAAAAAGCTTAAATACTAACAATATAAACAATGTATTGAAATACTTTACCATTTGAACATTAATGTGTCTATATGCTAAGCAAATCGACTGTTTTACATCTACCACTCGTATGAGACAGTCAATAGTCATCGGTATATGGCGTGTGCTACTGACGAGATTTATCAGTAGTATATGGACGCAAATTGATGGGAAGCAGTCAAAATTGAAAATAACATTTTAATTCAATGGCAGAAGTGTTTATTCCTCAAATCTGAATTTAGTTTACGTTGTGGTCAGGAAACAATCTCACTGGACAAGTTTTCGTCTCAAGGTTTAGCCTTCACGAAAATCGACAGCCAATCAGAACAGTTTATTACTATTCGCTGACCTAGCCAACCTTAAATGTGGCTAAAAATGCATAAATGTGGTGTGTTTTCCCTTAGTAAAAAAAAGTTCGTTACCAAGTTTCTTGTCTTCTTCCGTTACAGATATATAAGACACACATACTGAACTGTTTTATTATTTAGTTCAACTAATACAATCAAAGTAGACATTTCAACATGTATAATTGGAACTCACTTTCAATAATTTCAGTAACTCAGAATAAGTTGCCTTACGAACAGCTACCATTTCATGGCTAAGCATTTGAAGAAGGACAAGTTGACCATGCCATAAAACTGTTGCTGAAATGTTCTGATGAGTAACATAGCTATCAAAAGGCATCGAGGAAAGAAAGAGTATCAACAACAATAATTTATAATGGAAAATTGATAAGTATGAGAAAAATAACATAAAATTACCTTAAAACCGTTTGAGTCAGACCCTGGAAAGCTAATGGCAATCCATTTAGCAGGGGGATTAGAATACAGCCTGCTTCAAACCTGTCTTTTGTATTAGTCAATCAAATATATTCGCATACAGAATATTAAGCGTATGAATAGCCAATAGACCAAACAACCTAGCTGACTCAAATGCTATTGAACCTAAGGCCACTAATTTTCACAAAAAAAAGTCAATTTTTCAACGAATGTATAGCGATTACTTGGTAGGTGGTGGTTAACAGTAGACTTGAGCAAGAGAGATTTGATACATGCTCAAAAGACAATTACTAAATTTTATCATTTCCGTACAGTCTTTTATATTTATACATTTATTTACAAACATTAAACAAATGCTTCTTATATGAAATAAAGTGTTCAGAAATCTTTAAACAGAATATATCTGTACGTTATGACTACTTAGCCAAGATTTTGAAGTCTAGCTCACTTAAAGTTGTAACCTCACTTCAGAAGAATGTTTTATACACATATTAGACACTTGCACTTTTACCTATCCAGTTCACCTAACTGTAGAAAGACACTAATGAGGAAAGAAAATAAACAACTGAAATGGTTTTCGAAAGCTGATAAACATAATTCAGTACATACACCCAATTCGCTTGATTAATTGGAACAAAAAAAAAAAGGATAAATTTGCAGGATAGAAAGAGCTTCTATTTTATTTCATGGCTTTTATTACATTGGAGACGGCCTACAAATGACATGAGTTGTTATAAATGTAAATACATAGCATATACCGAAAATTATTTCAACTCAAAGGGTATAATAGTGGGACAAGAGATATAAATACAACCAGAGTTTACCTGTAAGTAATATGATGGAACGTTCGAGAGGAAAAGGTGGGAGTGAAAAAGACATGGTAAATTAAAGTAGAATTATTTTTTGAAAGCAAACAGTTGAGTAAGTTGGAAGAGTTCAGCTCAGTGAGGTGTATCACACACATTTTGACGCAACAAAAACAGAAACAAAAGAGGGACATCGAGTTACACGGATAGTGTGAGATTAATTATACTATCATCTTTTTGTATACAGAGATTAAATTGAAATCGTTTGATAGCAGTGGCTTCTGTGAAGAGAAGTAACAAAATAACTGACTTTCGATTGCATTTCCTGTGTCAGTCAGACACACTTGGAAACACTTTCTTACTTTCTGTATAGAAATTGCTAAGGATATTCTCAGAAAATCTAGCAGATGTTTTCCTCTCAGGAGATCGTTAACCATCTTTTATTCATATCTCTTATCCCAATATTATACCCTTTGAGCTGAAACAATTTGGAGGTAAGTAATCTTTATATTTTTAGTATTGATCGGTTAAATATCATCTCTAGGCTGTTAGCAGCTGAAGAAGTTCGGCGAGTAAAAAGTTAGTTCTTTTTATCCGGAAAACAAGCTAGTCGTTGCTTTGTTCAATATAATTCATCATTACAGTTTATTATCTAACAAAAATTTTCTTCCATTTCTTTACGTTCCCAGTGGAACATAGGGCTTCAGACTAGAGCTTTGAAGTTTCGGGATGGGGTTGCAAGCCGCCTCATGCCCAGCATTCCCTCTTTACCAGTCTTATTAATGACTTAGCAAGGTAAAGGAGTGCGTCGGCCGGGGATCAAACCGCGAACTACATGAGGCGTGGTTGGTTGGCGAGCATTCTACCTCTGTGCCACGGACGCACATCTAACAAAAGTGAACAATACAAATAACGCTTGGTTTCAAGTGTAACTGGATTAAGATCACTGATTAAATGATACATTCTTTGACAGGATACATATCAAAACTATTTTGACAACAATGGTTCCCCACATGAGAAGACTGAATTTAAAGTAATTTATAACTAATTTAATTAAATTTAAGATTTTCCAACCGATTGATTGGACTGAAGTGTTCGGTCTCAGGTTGACATGTCGGCTTCTTGTGTAGATGCTTCGACGATGTCTGGGCATTTAATTAGAATTTAATTGGTGGATGGTGACTAGCAGTGGAATCTAGGATGCGGATTTCGTCCTATTTAGGACTCGTCATCTGGGTGTACCTGCATTTCCCAGTGAGTGATGATGTTCCCACTGAGGATCGAACCCATAGCCCATAGTTTCAAACGCCAAAGCGTTATCCACTAGACCGCTTGAGCCACGAGAGCCACCTCTTTTGCAACGGGCCACGTTAATTTAATTGAAAATTTTATAGTTATAATTTATAATTAGACATTACAAGGAATTAGATAAATTAAGCAAGTAAAATTAAGACAATCACTTCAATGTTGTGACATTTACCAAAAAGAAAAGTGGAATATGTTGGTTTTTTCATCAAATGGTTATTCTGAGTTAAACAGAGTACTATATATTTAATCGTCTTATAAAGATGTAAAAATGAAATATATTAGCCTACTTATTTTATTAGTGAAAAATTGTAATTCATGTAGAATTCACCGAGCCCAACAATTAGCTATTACATTGGATGTTAGAACTTACAATCGACTAAGAAATTGTACATAATTGGAGGCGAAACGTGTTGATCCAGTGATATCAAGTGAGTTGACAGCATTCATAGCCAAATTTAAATTGGTTTCATTTATCTGTAAAATGGAATAACCATTACTATTAGAAGCTTGTATTTGCCAAGTTTTAATAGTGAAAAAAAACATAAACCTAAAGATTTTCAAACTATTAAATCTGAACTTGTATTCAGAATGATCGTTGGCGTTATGTTATGGAAATTTCAAATTACAGAGTAATTATTCAATGATTAGATATATACCTACCTGTTCATTCGTTGTATTTGATAAAAGAAAATTTTCACTGTTATCTAAAAAATCGATTAAACTGAACATGGATAATCTAAGTTGGTGAAAAAGTAACCAAGATGAGTAAATTGTAGAATTGAACATGGCTATGTAAGCTGGTAATCCATATTTTCGTGAGTCATTTTTAACTTCTGATTCAATTAATACTGATACATCCAGTAAACTAATTGATAATTGTGTTTTCACTTCAACGGGTAGAACAGCTAAAGCCTAAAAATAAACACAATATAGGAAACCTTTCAAGTAGACAATTTTTATAAGCATATATAATAAAGCCTAAATGACAATCTCCAATCCATTTTTCATTCAGACGAACAAATCCCTAGTAGCAATGCATGTTATTTATCCAAATTCTAAACTTATTTAAACTATTAAGCTCAAACTTGCCTTGGATACCAATAAGACACCGATAAATAAACCATCTAAAGGCTTGAAAATAACTAACAATCGACATATAAATTCCATGATTTTATGCCGGCAAGCAAGAAGATTCATGGTGATGATGTGTTTCACCAAAGGTAATTTTAGTGATAGAATGCTCGCCAGTCACGCTGGAGGTCAGGGTTCGAATTCCACCCGACTGATTCCCAAACCTTACTAGCCTGTACTAAGACCGGAAAAAAGAGAAGGTTAGGTGTGTGACTGACAACTTCATCCCATAAAGACAACACCGCTGCTACTGAAACTTCAAACCTTGAAGCTCTATGTTCAACTGAGGATGCAAAAAATGTGATGGAAAAAGATTCAAGAAGTATTTCACAAATTAAGTCCATCTTTGTAGAGCCCATCAAATCAATAAATGACTATATCTCACTAAACTACTAAGTATTACAGGTTATTTATGAAGACTCAATAAGTAAGAAATAGGTTAGTGGAGAAACTGAATCAAATTAAGGTTTTGAATAAGAGATAAACCTAAATGGACGATTTCATAAGGGTAGGAGTAAATGAACTGATGTACAGATGCTATGCTTTTAAACTTCGTAAAACTATAGCGAATCAACCGGGTAGAAACATAAAAAAATATTGAAAATTAAGCTGGACAGTATAAACTATTCGAGAAAGTCACTATCTCTAATGCGTTTCAGCACAAAAAATTTGATATTTATGGGCTATTTTAAGTAACCACAGCTATAAAGATAACACTTAAGGTAAAATGGTGACAACTACTATTGATCTGCATTAGCTACCGAACTATATTAATGCTAAGTATGAACACCCTTCATCACCTAAATGACCACAACTATGAGATATCAAGTAGTCTATCTAGTCTACATCTGTGCAATGATATGGCCAAAAATTTACTTGAGTATTTCATAGATAACTTACACATTTTAGAATCTGTTTCTACATATCCAGGCATAACTTTGATTTAGCAGCCTAATTCATTAACTTACCTGAACACTTCAGTGTCATAACGATTAGAATGTTTTATCTCAAATAGGTGGCTGAAAACATAAACGACGTTGAGAAAACACTACTGACTTATAGAAAATTTAAAAACGTGACTTTTACTATCAATAGAAAAACACCAACAACACATGTGACAGCTTAGACATTGCACTACCTGAAACATGAAATTATTAAACAAAGATAGAAGCTAATATGGTAGAACCATCACTATCACATTTTCATCTATTTGTAAGTCATACTGTAACGGTAGAAGACGAAAGACTTGATAAAGGAATGTTCATTTCGAATACCGTATCTCTCTGTGTAGCGAAATTATGTATACCTTAACTTCGACGCACCATTTGCACAGATCTTCCGTGTTGTGCTACTTCTGCCCTTTCTTCATACTGTCTTTGGGTTTCTTTCACGTCTCCTATGTATCTTTCCACAACGCTGTATCATTTGCTTTCTCTGCCATCAAATCTATGTCCCTGCTATTTGATGTTTTTATGCTGATGAACATCTCTTCATATATATATACTACTGATAAATCTTATCAGTACTTGGTCTTTTCACTCTTAATACTTCCAATTCATTACCTTTATTCCGGATAAGTGTCAGCCTCATTCAACATGATGAATAATATTCCACATGCATTGGATGATTTTATTATTAAAACTCACTGAATAATAGTTACTTTCCATCAAAGAATCTTGATGTATAGAAATACGAACTGCTGCGTCAGGAATTCAATTCTAACCGAAGCAAATCTTTCTTGAGTAATTCCTAATGATTGGATTTGAACCCGGTTTTACTTGATTGCCTACACATCAAGGTTTAATAAACATTCTGAATCCCGACATTTAAATTAAGATACTTCTATCACACAATCTGTGAATTCAAACTGGTACGCATCAACATCAACACAAATTTGTTGCATTAAAACTTAATTAATTGAATTCCCATCATTTTCAGTCAGTAATAATAGAGGTGATATGCTAAGAGACTCTATTTTAGACAACATTAGTATTCATATCAAAATAGGAAGAATGAAAATGTTTAAAAATTAATAAGCATACCGTTTCTGGAGTAAATAAAGAACTTATCAAACGGAATGTTTCAGTAATCAGACCAATATAAGTTTGTCGTTGGCATTCACAGGGTAACTGAGCCTTTGCAATATAGTCAACCATTTCAGAGGTATTCCAGCTAAGATGGGATTCCGATAATTTTGTACTGTAATGTCTGTGACTAGTTGAATAGAGTGATAAGACTGAACCGAATTGTTGCATACACGCATAGAAATCAGATGGCTGAAAAAGGAAAGAAAATGAGAAAATATACTATACATAATTATGGTTCATAAATTTGTAAAAAAAAAAAGATAATTATCCAGTACAGTGAACACAAAATCGGAAATAAGTCATGTATAAAGTTGGCAAAGTACGTATACAAATTCATCTTTGTTCCTGTAAAAGCCCTGAAGAGAATATAGTGAGGACACATCCACATAACTCAACTATAATCTTATGATAATAGATGGTTGGAGGCAATCGGCAGGAAGACTTGGATCTAGGTTTCGTGCTAGTTGGTGCTCACCAGTCAGCAAGGCGTACCTGCAACCATATTGAAGGAACTCATGTCCCTTCTCAGATTCTAACCCGCGTTACCCAGTGCTGCAGTCAGAGACGTTACCACTGAACTATTCGGGCTCGCGATTGACCTCCTGTAGGGCTGTAGTGGGTATTTTGATTGGACACTAGTAACTAGTGTGATGTGTCTAGTCCTTTCTTTGGTGCAGACTGAATTCTATCAGTTAGGTTGTAATGTGGCCACCATTCTAGGTAGCTCGCCATCACGGTGCACATTGATTTGATGCTAAGATGTGATACAATATTCGGATACAGACAGAAAACAAAAACAATTTAGACAATGGTCAGATATTTACATGACTGTATTTCTGGTCTAATGTTTCTATGCATCCCCTATAATGATTACTATGACAGAAGGAGAAACAAGTTTGTGTACAAACAACCGAACTGCAACTACTGTGCAGCGACTGATACTAGTTCACTGATCAAAACCTCAGTAAGTCAGGCAGAGTTCGAATGAGTCACTCACAAGCAGAAATGTGAATGCATAACAGACTTGTATAATAGATAATTAATTAGCGTTATAGTCCGTTTCGTTTCTTACAAATTTATTACATACATAATTAAAGTACCAATGCTCAAACTAAGTGCTGTTTTATTCAATCCAAGCATCAATTAGCCAGCTGAATAACAATACAGCACACCTTGACTTAGATTGTCATGTGACAGCGTAGTTAAGCAAACGATACAACATATAAATTTTAGACAGAAAAGAACAAGAAGCTCAGAAAAAATATCATTTCAACGATTTTATCCTTAAAAGCTGTACAATCGCATTTTTACAATTGAATACCTATGAGTTGTAAAAGAGTTCTCATTTGGCCTACTCTCCGTATCAGGAGAATCTGAAACACTCACTGCTTAGAAGAAGAGCTCTTATTTCTCACTTAAGCCAAAAAGAGAAGAATGAAATTCAGTGCTAAAGAAAATACTATATATGATCATCAACTTCAGGGGAGACCTAGTGGCAGATTTCCTAAAGAGGAGAATCGCTATTTCCCTGAAGAAGACATTTGCTGCAGCAACACTTAAAGTGATATTCTTTAGCCTCCCCTGAAATTCAGGTTCGTATACAGTATTTTCTCTGACACTGAGCCACATTCTTTTTATCTTTGGCTCCATGTTTTTCTCCATTCTGAGCCAGGATGCTTTTGAGAAATAAAAGCTCTTTTTTCTAAGCAGTCAATGCTGCAGACTCTTCTGATACAGTGAGCAGGTGAAATGATGAGAGCTGTTTCACGACTTACAGGCATCGAACTATAAAAGTTTGTTGGCCATTCCTAAATGGTTATTTAAAAACTGAACAAAAATTTACCAAACGCAGAGTGTAATGCAGAAGCCGGAGCTGAGTGTTCAAAAGAAATTAGTCCAACCTGTACATTTACCATGGATCTAGTTCTGTTTGACTTATTATTGTTTGATTGTTTTTTACTTCCCTCCAGCTAAGAAAAATACCTATTATTTCAATTTGTTTCTATGCACAACCCACTGACACCTGTTTTCAGCAAAAACTATTTTACGTATTACACAACTATCCTCGAATCCTATGCTATGTGGTTTTGTTTCCATGCCCCTTGTAATCCATATTCACACCTTCAAACTTTCATATCGAGTTGAAAATTATTATTAACTTTGATCTCCTTTCGTTACTATGTTGAATTAAATAATAATTGTAACTATGTGAAGTTACGTATAAAAATGCAATTGTACAGCTTTTGAGGATGAAATCGTCGAAACGATATCTTTTCTCAGCTTCTAGTTCTTTCCTCTCTAATGTCTCGATGGGTGTTTTCGACAGTTCAGATACGTAGAGGTTGAACATGAAATATCTGAAATTTGATTAATGCCTAAGTAGAGTCAGGATTTAGTAGCCAACTAAAAAAATATTTGATTGGGTTTCATGATATTGAAGTTCCAGTTTTCTGTATTATTCAGTTGGTATCACTGGAATTATTTATCGCCGGTAGTGCTGGCATTCGCGCCTAACTAGGCTGTCCAATTCTATTATCAATTATCTTTGCTATGGCATACACGCTCTCTATTATTACACAATTCACTTCATTTGCGTAAATGAAGATAGGTGGTTACCTTAAATGCTTAAGCTAACGGGCTACAGCGTGCTTATGTGGTTCACTGGTAGAACGCTAGTGAAGCTAGAAGCCCCACGCCGTAAAAATAAAACCACTGCTACTAAAGCTTCAGAGCTCTGACTTGAAGCCCTATGTTCCACTTGGAAAGTAAATGAATAAAAAATAAAATGAACCAAAAAATAATGAGCTACAAATGCACCAGTCATCAACAGACAAAAGAAATTACAATTCATCCAGGTAATGCATGAGTATAACTTACCAAATCAGAAGATTTAATGAGATCAGTAGTGGGTGGAGAGACTAGGAATACAAAGTTAGTAAATGACGTCAGATCACTGATCTGATTATTTTGAGAAACTTCTAAAATCGGATGAGTACGACGATGAGGTGACAAACTAGTTAGTAACAAACTGATTCCAACATCTAGAAGAAGTAAAATTTCAGACTCCATCTTATACTTCCAATCACAGTTATGGCTTATATTACTTTTTGATAGGTAAGATCTTTCTTGTTCTGTATCTTGATTATGATATTCAAAAACCGTCAACAAGCTACTAGTTATTGTACTGAATAATTGAAAACAAAATTCCACTAATGAGTAAGATTGTCTTCGTACATCTTCGTCGGAATTTAAAACGTTTGTTTTTATTGTAGCCGAAACACTTCCATTCTGTTGCATTGAATCACAAAAAGTAAAGCCAGTTTGATCAGTTTCACTCAAAGATCTATAAAAATTTTAAAATAGTATAGAAGTAATAGTAAGGAAACTAGTAAGCCGGTGGAAAAGGTCGTGTACTTTATTTGCTGTGAAACAATCACAATGACACTTAGTTCTCCATTTACCATCATTTTACGTACATGAATGTTAGCATCTATAGTAAGGATAGGGTATACACACTATATGCTTTACACTGAATTTATATTTATGCGCTTAGTTGAAGAAACAAAAAGTGAGAACAGAACACGTAGTTCAGCCAAGAGAATCTTTTCCGCGAATTCATTTTCTCAGCTGTACAATCGGAAATATATACGAGTTATTTTGTATGTATGTGTACACTAAGTTTATCAAACAAAAATACAGTTGGTTATGGTTATTTCAACTAAACAGGTGAAAATTAGTAAGTTTCTGGTGGAGTTACGTAATACAAAGACGGTCAAGAAAATAGGGTGTTCATGAAAATAGTGTAGTAACAAAGGTGATGAGCTGTCACAAACTGCCGTAACCTAGCTCAACAACAGCCTTAAGCAAATGAAACCTACGGCAAACTTCCTGACGAACCTACACAATTTGAGTTCAATTATTCCTCAGTACCTTTAACCAACGTGCAACTGAAAGTCCTACCTCTGGGCCCAAAATTCTGCGATATATCAACTTCAATGCCGACAAGCTTCATACTCACGTATAGTTTGAAAATCTAATCAACCGAACGAACGATCTCATCCCAACTTCCGAAGACGAGTTACAGAGATTCAAGTCAACAATCATAGACTGTTACCACCAAAACCTGAATACAAAAGCAACAGTCCACAACCACCTAACAAAGCGATACCGAGAAGAATTAAAACAATTTAGAGATAACAAAGATCTGCTATTAACCCGTCCCGACAAAGGTGCTGGTGTGGTGCTTCTGGATTGGAAAGATTACATCGAGAAAATGAACAATACACTGTCAAATGAAGATAAATTTTCCCAGCCTTCCAATGAACGAAACAAAACGGAACTGATTGAGAAGCAGCTCACAGAAGTCTTGAAGAGAATGAAGGCCAGTCGACTAATCAGTGGCGATATCTATCACCAGATACGGCCAACAGGTTCAATAATACCAAGACTTTCTGGTCTACCAAAGGTACACGAGGTTGGTCTCCAACTTCGTCCAATTCTGCATATGTCAGGTTCCCCTTACCACTCTATCCCAAAATGGCTAGCAGATATTCTGGAACCTGTAAGGAGACAATTATGCACGCACTAGCTCCGTGACACTTTCCAGTTTATCGACTGCATACAAAACCTGAATATATCTAACAAAATTATGCTGTCCTTCGACATTGAGTCACTTTTCACCCATGTCTCACTCACGGAAAAGGTGTGCTTTATATGTAAATACATAGATGAGAACGATCTCAATATTGGAATGCCAACAACATATTTGAAGGAATTACTACTGAGATGCACTCTGAACGTACAGTTCACTTTCAACGACACTGTCTATAGACAAAAAGATGGTATTGCGATGGGATCTCCGTTGAGTCCAGTACTATCAGATTGGTTCGTGGCATGCTCGAGAAAGATCCACTAAAGCCGAGCATTGACAATTAAAAACTGTATAAAAGATACGTAGGTGACATATTCATTATTTATGACAACAACCATGACCCCAATCTACTGCTGAAGAAACTTAACTGTTGCCATCCAGCAATGAAATTCACTCTTGAAATGGAAAACAAATTAAAAGTTCCCTTTCTCGATGTGGAACTAACGAGAAGAACTGATGGGACCTTAAGAAGATCTATACATAGAAAACCTATTTGGAATGGTCAACTAACAAGCTTCTATAGCTGGGTACCCATTCAACAAAAGTGGAATTTAATTAAATCCCTTGCCACCCGCATCTGTAGTCCCGATGTTCTAGAAACAGAATTAGATCTTTTGAGAGAAATCAGCGTCCAAAATGGATATCCATCAAGATTCATTGACAAAAATATCAAACCAAGAATTTGGATGAAAGAAACTTCACTTGCGTCGAAACATAAACTCTACATGAACTTGGATTTCAAGGGAGATTTATCAAGCGATATTCTCAAAAGAAGGATAACACCATCTCTGAGAAGAAAATTCCTTGCAGCAACGCTAAGAATAGTGTTCTCCAGTCGCCAACTGATTTGCCGAAGCCGTAAGGACAAGATCCCGCATCTGACCACTTCTATGAGCATATGTCAGTTCACCTGCTGCTGTAGAGCCAGATACCTACATCGGTCGTTCGACGCGCATCCTGTCCAAGAGGATTCAAGAACACTATCCAGCATGGTTGCAAAAAGGCAGTAGTGGTGGTATAAGGAGTGCAATAATTGAACACTTGGTTAAAACTGGTCATTCCATTTCAACAAACGCCTCCAGCTTCAAAGTAATCTGCATAGTCAAGAATAACCTACCAAAAGCAATAAAGTTTCGTCTTCTTTGTATCGCTGAAGCTCTGACCATTCACATAGAAACACCGGAGCTCTGCATACAAAAGAGAATTACTCAAACACTTATATTATTAAGGTAAAAACCTTGTTGATTTTTAATGACTTAATTTTGCTTTTTTCCTGTTTCTTTGATTGCTCATAATTCTTGTATTCATTTAGAACTCCTTACGTAATTTCGTATTCTCTACTTTGTTCCTATGTGTATCCTGAGTACAACTCAATCATCAAACTATTCATTTTATTACGTAACTCCTTTTTAACAACTGTTTGTGACAACTCATCACTTTTGTTACCATACTAGTTTCATTAACACCCAATTTACTTGACCGTTTTTGCATTACGTAACTCCACCCAAAACTTACTAATTTTCACCTGTTTAGTTAAAATAACCATAACCAATTGTACTTTTGTTTGACAAACTTAATGTACACATACATACAAAATAACTCATATATATTTGCGATTATACAGCTAAGAAAATGAATTCACCGAAAAGAGACTCTTCGCTGAACTACGTGCTCTGTTTTCATTAATACCTAGATGGGGATTATCCATGAATTAAAAAAAGGTGAGCGGTATTATATTAGTTCAAGTTGTTAATCTACCCAATAATGCACGACAAATGTCTTAAACATTCATGTTTGTTTAATCCTATGATTTTAAAACATAATTCTAATAATGCATGTCATTACTTTATTAGCAAAGTTACACCATAAGTCAATATTACTGGATAAATGTCGAATTATAATCCAAGGCAACCATTATACTTTGCTGTCACTTCAGCTTCACCATGAGTGGGAAGCATGACCACTTGACGGTGGATCTGATAAAACTTCGTAGCAGAGCCTGCTAGTTATAAAACTACCATGTGCTCGATCAATTTAAATATGAAGTGCAGGTTATGTCAAGTAAGTCAGTAAACGAAGCTGTAAACATTGATATCCAGAGTTGTTTGGCGTATGAGTTACACAAACCTACCTAATATATACCTCAGTGTGCTATATTAACAGAGTCAGGATCGAGTTGTAAAAGAAATTAACGATATTTAGTCCAAGAATTCCTCTGACTGTTCTTTACAGAGCTTCTGAATTGTCGGTAGATAGAAGATTATAACGGAGAAAGTATACGGGGAGAATATTGAGGTCCTTCACCTGAAAAGGAGTAACTAGTTAGGTTTATAATGCTGTCAGACTCAAAATCGCATTAGATGACTTCATGGTGGGGGTACAGAAACATCAGATACCCAGATAAACAGCAAGTGATATGATCACAGAAAAACTAATACATAAGTAATCACATTAATAGTGGGTGGGGAGCTACATGGCTAATACACACTACTAATGCTGAATAAGTTATTTCAAAAATTAACCATACAGGTAGACTGAATACATTTCATTATCAACCATAAACTCACAGTGTTTCTGAAGGGCCACGAGGTGTCAAGGGATCGCCACTATGCGCTGTAAAAAAGGATGACAGAACTTTAAATTATTTGATAACAAAAATCAATTCAATGCATTGTTTGTCAAGATGACCAGTTTAGCATGAGTAACTATAGTTAGATAATGCACAATGATGACAAAGGCATCATCCATTCCGTTGCACAAAATGAGAACCTCAGTAATTACGAATGGTCAATCTACGAATCATACCTCTAACAAAAATTTGTTTGAGACAGACTTATAGACGCCTGCATATTGGCCATAGACGGACTTTGTACGAGGTGATCAGATAACGCAAATACCTAAACTATGCTCACTGCACCATGGAGTAACTCATTTCATTCGTTTCGATGTGCGCAATGATAGCACTGACACTTAAAGTAAACGTGGTGTAGTGCTATCAACCTAGTAAACTAAAATGTGCTCAGATTACAAGTTTCGAAATTCTAAGTGTAATACACTACACTAATGGATAATAATAATAACAACAGATTCATAGCTAGAGACTATAGTGAAGAAACCTACTCAACAATGTATATTTTCTAAAAACACAAAGGTAAAGGTTTTCTTTGAGTTTTTTAGCTAAACATTAGATATTTTATTATTGCAATAATGTTAATGGTCACTCCTTTACTTTCTTTCTACTTATTTTACTGGAAATTCCAAAGTCTCAATACCTACAGAAATTTTTCAAGTGATCCGGTAGCTAGTAGTTTAGCTGACTTTTATTACGTCAGCATTCAGCGTAACCTTTATCTTACCGTTAACCTCAGACTTTTATTTCAATTGGCATGGCTAACATGAACCAAAAGAGTAAAAAGTATGTGATGAACAGTCCAAAAATGAGATGATGATAATAATAATGCAATAACAATCAAGTTAACTGACGCCTAGGGTGAAATGTGATATCACTTGTCAAGTAGTGCTTCGTTTATATAGTTTGACGGTAAGATCCGTAAACGAGCCAACTGCTCGATAGTAGCTAGCGTAACTGTTTTGTCCTAACTGTGCTGGACGAAACTTTCCACTAGGTTGCCAATATCTTCACTAAGTTAAATCGCAATGATGATTGCTGTAAGTTAATTTAGATGATATGTGTTCTGCTGACTGACTTTTAGGCGTCGAATAATACACGTACTACACACTACCAGAAAACGGTTAAACAAACTTACTGGTCGAAAACTTGTAATTATTTGGGTCCAAATGATAATAAACTCTCTCAATAAGAGCATGACAAAATTTGATCAAAAAGCTGGTGGTTGCGTAAATGAGCTCCAAATTATTTCCATTCAAAATCCGGAAAAGATTCTACATTATTAATAAAAATTTGAAAACAAACATTTACCGCACAAAATCGGAAAAGTATGATAAGTACCACGTATATTTATACAATGAAAAGCGTAGAGTTAAAACACTATCCTGGAAAGAAATTAAAGTAATTTTACTAACTGTCTTTACTTCCAAAATAAAATATTAGTACAATATAAATACACCTTATTTCACAGTACTTTCATTTGAAGGATATTAAGTAATTAGACTACTGCAGTACAGACTGGTAAAAGGGTCGAACTGTAAGACTTCAGTTTCTACTTTTGTTTCTACGCTTTCCATAACTGACTAAAATTATTACTAGTTCTGTGCTATGTAATGAATTACTTGCATTTCAGGAAGCTTGTATAGTTTTATGAGCAATGCTACAAACCACACCTGAGTATACAATGCCACTTCACTGAGTCCAAGTAAGAGAAAAAGGATTCAATTTGGCTTGTTGTCAAAATTTCATTCAGATTACTTTGTTTGATTGTTATGAATTCAATAGTGAGACAGGCCTACATAAACTCACCTATGGGGTCATTGTACATCTACGAAACCTTTGATTGTCTCTGAGTGAATAGCAGTTTTTCCCTTCCGAAACTTGTTGGACAGCCGAAACCTCTGGAATACTGTACTGAAGCCGCAATCAGATCTCCAAAGCTAGTGTTAGATGATATACTTAACAACTAAAAGTCGTCTCAAAAGTAAATTACGGAGCAAATATTCATAGGTGTATAACGTATTTGTATTCAAGAACTATCATACAAAAAACATAATCACACATACTTTGATCTTACACGCTGAAGATGACATAGTGTGTTTAATACGAAAGAAGGTACGATTTCATGGGCGACTGATCAAAATCTTGCTCTCCACTGATCTGATAAACTGCATAGGTTCATTGAAAAAATGAGCAAAACAACAGCCTAGTTTCATCGAAATAAAGAGCACGGTAAGTTGAATCCGATTTTAGAACTTATTTGCTCGTTAGTCACAATTTTACCTCTACTTTCAAAAATGAGACGACCAACTATTATGACTAAACGCTGCTTTGTAATACCTAAGAACTTAAAGTCCATTAAAATACAAAAATCGCAATAATTAAAAATGAACAACGGTAGTGTACTGTAGACAACATGTTACTGAAGCATTTGATTTCAGTAGCAAATACCATGAGACCCAACAGTATACCACTGAACACAGAACCAAACTAGGTTAAGCGACAATTAAAATTGCATTTTAAAACCTTCCAACAGCCAACTGAACTTGGATAAGTCGGTTGGCATATGATGGAGTGCTAGCATGTAGAAAAATGCAATTTTGAACCAGCAAAATACGTGGAACAAGTGTAATAATTTGCTTACTGTAATAAACTCAGTTCTTTGGAGAAATAATTCAGCTGGAAAATCTTTGAGCACAACATCACGCAAAAAGTGGATACCTGAAAGGCACACGCTGCATTCTTTTGAACAAACAGACCTAAAGTTGTTAATGAGGTGAATAATAGAGGAATTAACTAACTTTAGAGTTGTTCGTAGGACACCAACATCAGCCTTTGTAAGCGTAATTGTGGGGAAATACAAAAAGTAGTTTTCTGAAATCAAATAGGCACAAATGAAAGTTTAAATTCCAACCTACAGTCACACATTTGGAATAAATAAACTGTAACTTACATGCGTGAAAGAAGTAAGATTCATTTTAATGTGAATATGATTATTTCAAAGCAGAATAATCGAGAAGCAGCAAGATACTTATGAAATATATGGAGACCATAGGTTGGATGCTTTCAGAGCAGACAACTGATCTATAAGATTTTCAGAAATGCACAAAGTGCATTACGAAAACAGACAGTTACTGAGCGAGAATATCAGCGATAAAGTCTTACACACCACTATACACTTGAATACTCTTACATTTGTAATACAACGGTCTATTATTAAAACACGCAACCGTGTGCCACTATTTATAAGACACTAGACAATGAAGCAGTTGAAACATGCCCACTGAAACACAATAGTTGGTCTGGCCCATAATTCTGGTGCACTCTGTGAGATTTTAATTGGGTCACGAAGGCGCAGTAAACGTGAAAATCCACAGAGGTCAGAAGGGATCAAAGCAAGACATTCAAGCCACTTGGTCGTGCAATGCCTGGCAAAATCTCATCAGTGAGACAAGAGGTGTGGTAAATTTCCTGGGGTATAGGTTAATGGATGAGCATTCAGTTGTCTCATCATCATTATCACCGCGATCATCATAACACAGATAGCATAGTAAAACCTCAAGTGGTGTTCAGTAATTGCAATTTTCAGACTTGAGATAGTCTTGTACATTCGTATTATCATCTCCGTAGAGTTATAATGTATGTGAGCACGAAGAAATTACAAATTAACTTTAAGTTCAGCAAAACTGAAATCAAGCACAAACATATTGAAATTAGAATGTAGGAATTAATTATTATCCAACAAAGTCACGGCAAATTTTCGTGTCAATATTATAATACAAGAAGTTATCAACTTTGTCCTACGAAAGATTTGCTTGTAGGATAACTTTGGAAGCTGAATTTGAACGGTTTAACGAAGTCCACAAACCATAAGTAAATAAGCCAAATCAGGACCGTAATCGAAAGACACCCCATACAAACGAACTGAGGTTAGAAGGAATTTCCCATTTCATTTGGATGATGCATCTAATAACGGCTGAATGACGTCAAGAAAAACATTCTAAACAATCAGACTCATCTGTCAACTAAAAATGCAACAAAATCCATAGCATTCAGTTATAAAACAATGCATCCATTCCACGGTAGGCATAAGCAATATACACTAAAGGGAACCAAAACTTAATTAACAGTTCTCCAAACAACTAAGTAAGACATATATGTCTATTATTTTAAGTAAACGTAAGCGCATGATTAATACGTCCAGAATACATAAACTTACGATGGAAGAAATCGGATGAATAGCAGGATGAGAAGCGACTACCATCAGAAGTACTGCTATTTCCTCGTGTAGCAGATAGATTAAATGAGACCTTACGGGTCTGAGAAGAATAAGAGGAAGTAAGAGTCACAGAAGCCGAACCACAGCAATTGAAATAACTTGATGCATCCACTCCTTTGTGAGCATTGCTTAGCGACACATCGTGTGCCTCATTGATGGAGGGATTTTCAGTGATCATGGCGCAAATATCGTCAATATGCTTTTTTAGCTCATCATTGATTGGAGAATTACGCATCTTTGTAAGAAGAGACAGTCCACCAGCTAACACGACAAACGATTTCACTTCGGAATTCTAAAGTGTATATTAAATGAATCACTTAGAAACTTACTGCAAGCAGACTCTTCAATACTATGAAAATGCGATTGGTCTCGAATGATGGATCTTTCTGTAAGGAAAGTAGAAGAGATTTCACCAGCTTGGATAAGCATTCTCTGTCTGAAGGTAATAAGCCCCTGTCTAACTTGGAGTGGATATTAGCCAATGTGCGGCACCTAATTTCTTCCAGCGGGTGGCCTGATTAAGTAGCTGGAGATCTTTTATGATCAGACTTACTTAGCTTTTCAACAAATTGCATAAATTGGTCAACATTACTGTTATCACTAACACCAAAGTTCATATTTGCATCTATCTCTGTGTTAAATCGTATTCCCGCAGTGCATATTGGAAACCAATCGAATCGCTCAATTTTTGACCTCCTGAAGGTCGTCGCCCACTGTGACAGCCGCTGATTACTTCTACATTTATTCACATGGAGATTTTAAACACAACTGAAAGACAGTGAGCAGTTCTTCGTGTAAATGAGAAAGTGTTTGATGCTTTCTTATGGTTAACGAGTAAATAATAAGGCAGATTATAAGCGAAACAAGCCTTGAGGCAGCATACATTATGCCGCTTAAATGTCCAATAGCTAACGAGATTATTTACCACCAATCTTTGATGGATGCAACTGGAAATGGTCTTGGTGGACATGTGTTAATTTTTCATCTCGATATATTCTGATACACCATAAGTTTCAAATTCACCACACTGAAACGTATTTAGAGAATCAGTTTAGAAACCCAAAGGTGCTAGGCTAAAGATCATCGATGTGCAGTGCTGCCGACAGGTCATCATTATTCCTGGAGTAGTGTAGTGTCACCATTATCACGTTTTTTAACATTTAGAATGTCTCACTCTACTCAAGTCAAGTGAATGTGCCTCCTGAAATATTTACAAGACTTTCAAAAATATGCCCGAAAACAATGTAAAATACAAATTATAACAGGTGATAGGCATCGAGGAAACTCGTTTGCACTGAGTAAAAATCATCTACAGCAAGACTTTCAATAACGTTACAACGAGGTGCTCTAAACCAAATTGATTTCTTTGTGCTCACTTCTTGGTTGTGACGTCAAGGTTCCTGGTTTTTGGTGAACTTCTGTATGGTTTGTCCCGCCACTTGACTGTCGCAGCTTTGGGATTAGTTATATGCAGGTTGTAGTATGTGGTGTGTAAAAGCCCTGTTGTCACTGTGAATGGAATTGATCCTTTCACCCATTAGTCGTCCGGTGTGGTCGAAAAAGAGATAAGTGTAATGATAACTACTGTAATAATTAATGAAGGTTATGTAGACTTAGAAACAAAGAGAAAGGAGGAAAACGTCAACGCAAACAGTTAGTGAAACCTGAAATTGATATATATATATATATATAACAGTAACAATAATGGTGCAAGGGACGTGGTAGCTGGAGTAGTCAGAAAAGTAAGACAAGTGAGAATGTGAAGAAGTAAAAGGACGAGGTAAGGTGTACACCCATTAATGGTGCGTGAGTTTTAAGGGAAGAGGCCGTTTGGACTCAGTCCTTGTGTCACTGCATGATTGTTCAACCTCAGCTTCCACGGTGCAGTAGCCACATCAGCCGGCAAAGAGTTCCAGGGATGGCAAACACTCAGTGAAAATAAATGGGAGCACACTCGAATCTTGGCCCTCTGGTGAGCCATCCTTCTTGGATTCCCACGAGAAGGCCCACACGTACTTAATGTCAAAATGAGTTTGGATTTTTCCTGGTCATTCACAATCTGTGGGCAGTAATTGGATCACCTCTAGGCCGACAGCATCCAAGTGAGAAGAGGCCAAATTTCCTCAACGTTTCTTAGTATGTTTTATTTCGGAGACCTACTAACCCTCTCATCTCCTCTCTTTGTACACCTTCCAAAAGGTTTGTGTCGCTTCTAAGCAGTAGAGGTGCAACGATATTGCGCAGTCCAAGGTGTGATCTTGCGCGTGTTTTGTACAACATTAGAAAGAGCTCAGGAGTGAGTGCACCTAGCTGTCCATTTGTAAAGTGTATGACCGCATATGCCCTCGCTACACCCACTGTGTAATTCACGCCTGTGTCCATTTTTTCTGTTAGAAGTATACCTAAGTCGCCCTCTGACGTTGTGCAAGATAAGTTTTCGTTACACAGGGTATAACTTGCTCCATGTAGCTTCAGACGCGTAGTTCCACTACTTTGCACTTTCTCAGGTTGAAAGCTATACCATTGACCATCCTGCAGTCCTCCGGAATTTCTAGGTCTGCCTGCAGCCTAGCTGAGTCATCCGAGCACTTTATTGCTCTCCAAATCTTTGCGTCATCAGCGTAAAGAAGAGCCGGACAGCTCAGGCGGCGTGATAAATCATTGATAAAGATCAAAAACATCGATGGTCCTCGAATAGAACGCTGATGACGAGCTGTACTTGAGTGATCGGACACGATTGGTTTTAGCGCGGAATTTCCTTTCATCTAAGTATACTTTCAACCATGACAGATGCGACTCCCATATGCCCGCTTGAATTATTTAGTGTAGGAGGATGTCATGGTGAACTGTGTCAAATGCCTTCTCAAAGCCTAGGAAGATCACATGGATCGTTAAATTCATATCCTATCGTGGTGTTCAATCATTCCAAGCTGATATGTGACAGGATCTACCTCTCCTGAAACTATGTTGCGCTTCTTGGAGTCTATTAGTCCTATCAGGTCGTCCCCTGATGTGGCGCTACTGGCCTGTAGTCTGTGGAATTTTGTCTATCTCCACCCTTGAAGATAGCATAAAGGATGGCTCTCTTCCACTCCCTCAGCAGTTTCCCTGAATCCATTGTGTTGGAACAGGTTGCATCAAGACCTACAGAGAGCTTCAGTGCACTGTTTCAGAGCAGATGGCCGAATGTTGTCACAATCTGGGGTCTTCCTAGAGGTTATTTTCTGCTACTTCCCCAATAGTGTTGAACGGTTTATTTGGGGTGTAACTACTGGGTTTTCCTTCGGTGAAATAGCAGTGCAGTCCATATGGCTTGTATCGGTTGTACCCACATCGCTACTTAGCTGTCTGTCAAAGGCTAAATTGAATGTTTCAGCCATTTCCAAACTAGTGAGACATTGACTGTTTGGACCTACTAAGGGAGATATTAACATGAATCAATACGGGCTTTCGAGGTTTGCCAGGAGTTTTCTGACAACCATTTTCTGAAATGACCTCCTTCCACTCCTGACTCTTGTGTTGCATTGGTTACCGAGTTCCAGGTATGCACCGTGGTCAGCCTGAATCTAGAGATTCGCCACGTAGACCAAGCCTTCTGCATCGATTTCAGAATACGCTGGGTACGTTTCTTCAGCCATGAAAATGTTTTCTTTGGCTGTGTTGTGAATAGGGTGACGGTATCTGAGATTGTTGCGTGAATAACCTCTTTTACCACTCCCCAGTGTTCCACCACGGATAACCCAGACCAGTATATGGGCCATTCTGTGTCAGACGAAAGTCTTCGCATTCCGGCAGAGAGCCTTTCTATATCACTAACATGAACGCGTAACATCCCACTGTTATCTCTCAAGGAGAACGAAATCATACACTGCAGAGGGTCTCTGCCACCTGGAGGGGTCACGAGTTGAAGGTTTTCGACTGGTAAACGGTCACTAGTCAGGATATAATCAAGTTTCTATGACTTTCCACTAGGGCCTCACCTAGTGTTGTCTCCAATGCTCTCAGTCAATCCTGCATTTCTAATGGTTTGCAGAGGATTACGACCGGAATTCCTCTGAGCATACCTCGAGCAAAGGTCATGGGATGAAGCATTGAGTTCTCCAGCTATAGTGGCTTGGTCATAGTCCAAGTTCTGTACTCCTGTGATGGTGCTGAGCAGTAGCTGGTTGTGCTCTGCTCCACAGGTGGGTGATTGATAGATGCCACGCAGTGAGTGCTAGGTGTGGCCTACGGTGCAATGACACCATATAGAGTCTGGGAGTTCAGTGAGTGGTTTCAGACGCTCTTTATACTGACTGTTTCACTCTACTGATTACATTAATAAACTCTTTATTCCTAGAACTAATCATCTGTTAGTTAACTGCAGTACCTAAATAACGCGCATAAATACCCGAATTACTCTACAAACGATATACAAACTAGTCTCACAGATGCATAAAAAGACTAAGTAGAAATAAAAATATAGTTTACTTAATTGCAATTTACAGCGAATATAAAAAAATAAGTACAAACACTAGGGTGATTGTCGAGACCACATACCTTTTCTTTGCTCTGTGGTACTTTGCTGCTCTCCTCTTTTCTTCTGTTTGCCTTGTAGTAGAAGTTGCACAGATCTACATTTAGACTGCAGCTGAGCAAAAATTGAAATCACTTACTCAAATCATCCTTCAAGGTTTGGCTTGTAATGACTCAGCATCCTTGGAAAATCCACCGTCACCATAACAAGACGCTGTACAGCATCCTATACAAGCAATGTCAACGGTCTAGATTGGCTTACGAATAGCTTCCTACGTGTTAATCGACTTACTCATACGGAACAACCATACAGGGACAAATGGAGGCTTTGGCTGACGTGAGTGCAGTAAAACAAATCCACCTGACCATAACCAGTATTAATCTGCATTCAGTACAATTCAAATCTGGTGTTACCTACGATAAAAATGCTGACAAAATTCTACAAACAAATCACTTATTCTAAATTAATACCCAATTTAGATATAAATTTAGAATAAGATACAATGCCTCACACACCAAAGTTATATAGGGGAATTGACTTCAAGTTTTATTTTTTTCCCAAATATTTGTAATCCATCCAACACATACTTGGGTTTTTGTTAATGCGAAGACAATATTTTTATATTACTTGATGTGCTCCACTGAATGACTAGTTAGTAGATTGTCCTCACAAACTAATGTCAGAAAGAACAGCAACCATGTAATTTCACCAGATAACAAATTTATATAATGTAAATAATAATTATCGATGCCTGTAAAATCGGTGTGTCCTACATAGATAGAAATAAATGTATGTACGTAGGCGAGACCCACTGTCAACTGCCTGTGTGGCAATGTGAGAGGAGTGAGAAGAGAACTGGGCGAACTAAGAAACCTCCAGTCAAACCTACACCTCAGGGCAAAAATCTTGGCTGAAACCTGGCTAACCCTCACTACTGTTGACAATGAAATCAGTAGCAGTGGTTCGATTCTGGTCAGGTGAGGCAGGAATAGCAAGGAAGGAGCAAGTTGGTATATACTTTGACAAGTAACTTAGATGCACACGAGCAAAGGACTAACTACCCACTGAACTCCCAGACTCTATATGGTGTCATTGCACCGTAGGCCACACCTAGCACTCACTGCGTGGCATCTATCAATCACCCACCTGTGGAGCAGAGCACAACCAGCTACTGCTCAGCACCATCACAGGAGTACAGAACTTGGACTATGACCAAGCCACTATAGCTGGAGAACTCAATGCTTCATCCCATGACCTTTGCTCGAGGTATGCTCAGAGGAATTCCGGTCGTAATCCTCTGCAAACCATTAGAAATGCAGGATTGACTGAGAGCATTGGAGACAACACTAGGTGAGGCCCTAGTGGAAAGTCATAGAAACTTGATTATATCCTGACTAGTGACCGTTTACCAGTCGAAAACCTTCAACTCGTGACCCCTCCAGGTGGCAGAGACCCTCTGCAGTGTATGATTTCGTTCTCCTTGAGAGATAACAGTGGGATGTTACGCGTTCATGTTAGTGATATAGAAAGGCTCTCTGCCGGAATGCGAAGACTTTCGTCTGACACAGAATGGCCCATATACTGGTCTGGGTTATCCGTGGTGGAACACTGGGGAGTGGTAAAAGAGGTTATTCACGCAACAATCTCAGATACCGTCACCCTATTCACAACACAGCCAAAGAAAACATTTTCATGGCTGAAGAAACGTACCCAGCGTATTCTGAAATCGATGCAGAAGGCTTGGTCTACGTGGCGAATCTCTAGATTCAGGCTGACCACGGTGCATACCTGGAACTCGGTAACCAATGCAACACAAGAGTCAGGAGTGGAAGGAGGTCATTTCAGAAAATGGTTGTCAGAAAACTCCTGGCAAACCTCGAAAGCCCGTATTGATTCATGTTAATATCTCCCTTAGTAGGTCCAAACAGTCAATGTCTCACTAGTTTGGAAATGGCTGAAACATTCAATTTAGCCTTTGACAGACAGCTAAGTAGCGATGTGGGTACAACCGATACAAGCCATATGGACTGCACTGCTATTTCACCGAAGGAAAACCCAGTAGTTACACCCCAAATAAACCGTTCAACACTATTGGGGAAGTAGCAGAAAATAACCTCTAGGAAGACCCCAGATTGTGACAACATTCGGCCATCTGCTCTGAAACAGTGCACTGAAGCTCTCTGTAGGTCTTGATGCAACCTGTTCCAACACAATGGATTCAGGGAAACTGCTGAGGGAGTGGAAGAGAGCCATCCTTTATGCTATCTTCAAGGGTGGAGATAGACAAAATTCCACAGACTACAGGCCAGTAGCGCCACATCAGGGGACGACCTGATAGGCCTGGTAGACTCCAAGAAGCACAACATAGTTTCAGGAGAGGTAGATCCTGTTATCAGCTTAGAATGATTGAACACCACGATGGGATATGAATGTAACGGTCCGTGTGATCTTCCTAGACTTTGAGAAGGCATTTGACACAGTTCACCATGACTTCCTCCTACACTAAATAATTCAAGCGGGCATATGGGAGTCGCTTCTGTCATGGTTGGAGGAATACTTAGATGAAAGGAAATTCCGCGCTAAGACCAATCGTGTCCGATCACCCTAGTACAGCTCGTCATCAGGGTTCTATCCGAGGACCATCTATGTTTTTGGTCTTTATCAGTGATTTATCACGCCGTCTGAGCTGTCCGGCTCTTCTTTACGCTGATGACGTAAAGATTTGGAGAGCAATAAAGTGCTCGGATAACTCAGCTAGGCTGCAGGCAGACCTAGAAATTCCGGAGGACTGCAGGATGGTCAATGGTATAACTTTCAACCCGGGAAAGTGCAAAGCAGTGGAACTACGCGTCTGAAGCTACATGGAGCAAGTTACACCCTGTGTAACGAAAACTTGTCTTGCACAACGTCAGAGAGCGACTTAGGTATACTTCTAACAGAAAAATGGACACAGGCGTGAATTACACAGTGGGTGTAGCGAGGGCATATGCGGTCATACACTTTACACATAGACAGCTAGGTGCACTCACTCCTGAGCTCTTTCTAATGCTGTACAAGAAACGGGCAAGATCACACCTTTGACTGCGCAATATCGTTGCGCCTCTACTGCTTAGAAGAGACACAAACCTTTTGGAAGGAGTAAAAAGACAGGAGATGAGAGGGTTAGTAGGTCCCCGAAATAAAACATACTAAGAAACGTTGAGGAAATTTGGCCTCTTCTCACTTGGCTGCTGTCGGCCTAGAGGTGATCCAATTACTGCCCACAGATTGTGAATGACCAGAAAAATCCAAACTCATTTTGCCATTAAGTACGTGTGGGCCTTCTCGTGGGAATCCAAGAAGGATGGCTCACCAGAGGGCCAAGATTCGAGTGTGCTCCCATTTATTTTCACTGAGTGTTTGCCATCCCTGGAACTCTTTGCCGGCTGATGTGGCTACTGCACCGTGGAAGCTGAGGTTGAACAATCATGCAGTGACACAAGGACTGAGTCCAAACGGCCTCTTCCCTTAAAACTCACGCACCATTAATGGGTGTACACCTTATCTCGTCCTTTTACTTCTTCACATTCTCACTTGTCTTACTTTTCTGACTACTCCAACTACCACGTCCCTTGCACCATTATTGTTACTGTTATATATATATATATATATATCAATTTCAGGTTTCACTAGCTGTTTGCGTTGACGTTTTCCTCCTTTCTCTTTGTTTCTAAGTCTACATAACCTTCATTAATTATTACTGTAGTTATTATTACACTTATCTCTTTTTCGACCACACCGGACGACTAATGGGTGAAAGGATCAACTCCATTCACAGTAACAACAAGGCTTTTACACACCACACATTGCTCCCTTGAGAGTCAACCAAAGCTGCGACAGTCAAGTGGCGGGACAAACCATACAGAAGTTCACCAAAAACCAGGAACCTTGACGTCACAACCAAGAAGCGAGCACAAAGAAATCAATTTGGTTTAGAGCACCTCGTTGTAACGTTATTGAAAGTCTTGCTGTAGATGATTTTTACTCAGTGCAAACGAGTTTCCTCGATGCCTATCACCTGTTATAATTTGTATTTTACATTGTTTTTGGGCATATTTTTGAAAGTCTTGTAAATATTTCAGGAGGCACATTCACTTGACTTGAGTAGAGTGAGACATTCTAAATGTTAAAAAGCGTGATAATGGTGACACTATACTACTCCAGGAATAATGATGACCTGCCGGCAGCACTGCACATCGATGATCTTTAGCCTTGCGCTGTTGGGTTTCTAGACTGATTCTCTAAATACGTTTCAGTGTGATGAATTTGAAACTTATGGTGTATCAGAATATATCGAGATGAAAAATTAACACATGTCCACCAAGACCATTTCCAGTTGCATCCATCAAAGATTGGTGGTAAATAATCTCGTTAGCTATTGGACATTTAAGCGGCATAATGTATGCTGCCTCAAGGCTTATTTCGCTTATAATCTGCCTTATTATTTACTCGTTAACCATAAGAAAGCATCAAACACTTTCTCATTTACACGAAGAACTGCTCACTGTCTTTCAGTTGTGTTTAAAATCTCCATGTGAATAAATGTAGAAGTAATCAGCGGCTGTTACAGTGGGCGACGACCTTCAGGAGGTCAAAAATAGAGCGATTCGATTGGTTTCCAATATGCACTGCGGGAATACGATTTAACACAGAGATAGATGCAAATATGAACTTTGGTGTTAGTGATAACAGTAATGTTGACCAATTTATGCAATTTGTTGAAAAGCTAAGTAAGTCTGATCATAACAGATCTCCAGCTACTTAATCAGGCCACCCGCTGGAAGAAATTAGGTGCCGCACATTGGCTAATATCCACTCCAAGTTAGACAGGGGCTTATTACCTTCAGACAGAGAATGCTTGTCCAAGCTGGTGAAATCTCTTCTACTTTCCTTACAGAAAGATCCATCATTCGAGACCAATCGCATTTTCATAGTATTGAAGAGTCTGCTTGCAGTAAGTTTCTAAGTGATTCATTTAATATACACTTTAGAATTCCGAAGTGAAATCATTTGTCGTGTTAGCTGGTGGACTGTCTCTTCTTACAAAGATGCGTAATTCTCCAATCAATGATGAGCTAAAAAAGCATATTGACGATATTTGCGCCATGATCACTGAAAATCCCTCCATCAATGAGGCACACGATGTGTCGCTAAGTAACGCTCACAAAGGAGTGGATGCATCAAGTTATTTCAATTGCTGTGGTTCGGCTTCTGTGACTCTTACTTCCTCTTATTCTTCTCAGACCCGTAAGGTCTCATTTAATCTATCCGCTACACGAGGAAATAGCAGTACTTCTGATGGTAGTCGCTTCTCATCCTGCTATTCATCCGATTTCTTCCATCGTAAGTTTATGTATTCTGGACGTATTAATCATGCGCTTACGTTTTCTTAAAATAATAGTTTAAAAGGGCTCTTATAAGACATATATGTCTTACTTAGTTGTTTGGAGAACTGTTAATTAAGTTTTGGTTCCCTTTAGTATATATTGCTTATGGCTACCGTGGAATGGATGCATTGTTTTATAACTGAATGCTATGGATTTTGTTGCATTTTTAGTTGACAGATGAGTCTGATTGTTTAGAATGTTTTTCTTGACGTCATTCAGCCGTTATTAGATGCATCATCCAAATGAAATGGGAAATTCCTTCTAACCTCAGTTCGTTTGTATGCGGTGTCTTTCGATTACAGTCCTGATTTTGCTTATTTACTTATGGTTTGTGGACTTCGTTAAACCGTTCAAATTCAGCTTCCAAAGTTATCCTACAAGCAAATCTTTCGTAGGACAAAGTTGATAACTTCTTGTATTATAATATTGACACGAAAATTTGCCGTGACTTTGTTGGATAATAATTAATTCCTACATTCTAATTTCAATATGTTTGTGCTTGATTTCAGTTTTGCTGAACTTCAAGTTAGTGTATTTGTAATTTCTTCGTGCTCACATACATTATAACTCTACGGAGATGATAATACGAATGTACAAGACTATCTCAAGTCTGAAAATTGCAATTACTGAACACCACTTGAGGTTTTATTATGCCATCTGTGTTATGATGATCGCGGTGATAATGATGATGAGGCAACTGAATGCTCATCCATTAACCTATACCCCAGGAAATTTACCACACCTCTTGTCTCACTGATGAGATTTTGCCAGGCATTGCATGTCCAAGTGGCTTGAATGTCTTGTTTTGATCCCTTCTGACCTTTGTGGATTTTCACGTTTACTGCACCTTCGTGACCCAATTAAAATCTCACAGACTGCACCAGAATTATAGGCCAGACCAACTATTGTGTTTCAGTGGGCATGTTTCAACTGCTTCATTGTCTAGTGTCTTATAAATAGTGGCACACGGTTGCGTGTTTTAATAATAGACCGTTGTATTACAAATATAAGAGTATTCAAGTGTATAGTGGTTTGTAAGACTTTATCGCTGATATTCTCGCTCAGTAACTGTCTGTTTTCGTAATGCACTTTATGCATTTCTGAAAATCTTATAAATCAATTGTTTGCTATGAAAGCATCCAACCTATGGTCTCCATATATTTCATAAGTATCTTGCTGCTTCTCGATTATTCTGCTTTGAAATAATCATATTCATATTAAAGTGAATCTTACTTCTGTCACGCACGTAAGTCACAGTTTATTTATTCCAAATGTTTGACTGTAGGTTGGAATTTAAACTTTCATTTGTACCTATTTGATTTCAGAAAACTACTTTTTGTATTTCCCCACAATTACACTTACAAAAGCTGATGTTGGTGTCCTACGAACAACTCTAAAGTTAGTTAATTCCTCTATTATTCACCTCATTAACAACTTTAGGTCTGTTTGTTCAAAAGAATCCAGCGTGTGCCTTTCAGGTATCCACTTTTTGCGTGATGTTGTGCTCAAAGATTTTCCAGCTGAATTATTTCTCCAAAGGACTGAGTTTATTACAGTAAGCAAATTAGTAGACTTGTTCCACGTATTTCGCTGGTTCAAAATTGCATTTTGCTGCATGCTAGCACTCCATCATATGCCAACTGACTAATCCAAGTTCAGTTGGCTGTTGGAAGGTTTTAAAATGCAATTTTAATTGTCGCTTAACCTAGTTTGGTTCTGTGTTCAGTAGCATACTGTTGGGTCTCATGGTATTTGCTACTGGAATCAAATGTCTCAGTAACATGTTGTCTACAGCACACTACCGTTGTTCATTTTTAATTATTGCGATTTTTGTATTTTAATGGACTTTAAGTTCTTAGGTATTACAAAGCAGCGTTTAGTCATAATAGTTGGTCGTCTCATTTTTGAAAGTAGAGGTAGAATTGTGATTAACGAGCAAATAAGTTCTAAAATCGGATTCAACTTACCGTGCTCTTTATTTCGATGAAACTAGGCTGTTGTTTTGCTCATTTTTTCAATGAACCTATGCAGTTTATCAGATCAGTGGAGTGCAAGATTTTGATCAGTCGCCCATGAAATGGTAACTTCTTTCGTATTAAACATACTATGTCATCTTCAGCGTGTAAGATCAAAGTATGTGTGATTATTTTTTTTGTATGATAGTTCTTGAATACAAATACGTTATATACACCTATGAATATTTGCTCCGTAATTTACTTTTGTGACAACTGTTTAGTTGTTAAGTGTATCATTTAACACTAGCTTTGGAGATCTGATTGTGGCTTCAGTACACTATTCCAGAGGTATCGGCTGTCCAACAAGTTTCGGAAAGGGAAAACTGCTATTCACTCAAAGACAGTGAAAGGTTTCTTAAATGCAGTAGGTAAATCAGGAGAATTATTGTCCACAGCCTTCATCACTGATCAATGGATGCTGACCCTTACTGTTTGAGTCGATTTGTTTAGCTGAAGGCTACCAGTCAAGCATCCACGCGTTTTGTCACGCCATCGTATTACTTTCGTTTTTTCGTGCACGGTCGCTAGCTAGCTAAGCAATCATCTCGCACACCTATTTGGTCCCGATATTTCGTTCGTAATTTAGGCGATCAATTCTGGTGTTTTGGTTTGCTTCTGTTCTACGCGGAACGAATACAATGGAGGTTGGGTTATTAGATTTTGCGTTAGTATACTTCGTACTATTCGTGAACGTCAATACCTTCAGCCTCTAAAGCGCTGTCATCTCGCGATACTTACTGCCACGGCACATATATATGGGAATAACTAATCTACACAACAGTTTTTAAGCCTGCGAAGAGGCTATTATAGCTGAAATTATTCCCCTTGCATAATTCCATTTCTTTCGTTTTAGAAATATTTCAATACATTTTAAAGGAAACACGTACACCTGCAACACAAATTGATGGAGAATTCAAACAACTTCATTTTATACTGAAACATTCGCCGAAGATATTTCCTAGAATGACGAGGAAATTTTTGCAATTGAATCAACTGACTCGGAGAACATAACTGATTAAGCGACTATATAAATCCTGTACGGCACTTAGATCAAACCAGCATGCCAATTAGGTATCACTTCAGAAAATGTACTATAAAATTTTGAAAAAAGTCACTTGCAATCAATCATTTTCTCGATAAAAGAAAGCCTGCGACGATTGGACATCATGCTGGGATATGAATGTTCCGGTCCATGCGGTATTCATACACTTTGAGAAAGCACTTCGCTATGAAATCCTACACAAAATATGTCAGGCAGTTATAAGTAAGCCGCTTCTGTCGTGGTGAAACGACTGCCTAGTTCAAAGGAAATTTTGCGCTAAGGTCAGTCGCATCCGATCATCTTGGCACAGCTGGTCATCAGGAATGTCGCAGGGTTATATACTTGGACCACTGATGTTTTTGATTATTATCAGCCACCTACCATGCCGTCTATGCTGCCCGTTTCTTTTATACACTGACGACTCAAAGATGTGGAGTGCGATAAAGTATCAGGAGGACTCAGATAATCTGCAGGTAGACCTAAAGCTTCCAGAAGACTGGGCTGTGGCCAGTGGCATGACTTTCAACCTTAGAAAGTTTAAATTGGCGCAACTGAGCGCCTGTAGGCTGCAAAATGCAAGTAACACTCTGTGTAACGAGAGCTTGCCCTGCACAACGTCGGAGTGTGACTTAGGTCTACTTCTAACGAAAAAATGGACACAAGCTTAATTGCAGGGTGGTGTAGTCAGGGCATATGCGGTCATACAGCATACACATAAACAGTTGTGTGCACTCCTAGACTCTTCCTAAAGTTGTACAAAACATACGTCAGACCACACCTTGAAGTGCATAATGTCACGCTGCTTAGAAGAGACGCCAACCTCTTCGAAAGAGTCCAAAGACGGGCAACAATATGAGCGGTTGGTCTCCGAAACAAACCATATGATGAAAGGCTGAAGAAATTAGGTCTATTCACACTTGGCTACCGTCGACAAAATAACAAATGACCAGAATCACCTAAACAAAGGTGTTCTGCCATTGAGTAGGTATAGGCTCCCTCGTGGAAATCCCAGAAGGATAGCTCACCAGAGGGCAAGGAACCGGGTGCGCTCCCACTTCTTTTCACTACGGGTTTGCCATCCCTGGAATTCTTTACCGGCAGATGTAGCTATGGCACTGTCTGTGGACGCCTTTAAGCGAAGGCTGGACAGTCATGCAGTGGCACAAGCACTGCGTCCAAACGGCCTATCCCCTTAAATTCCCATACACCATTCAAGGGTAGACAACTAAATTCGTCGTTTTACTTCTTCACATTCTCTCCCGTCTTACTCTTCTGACAACTTTAACTACACCTATTATTATTATCCTTATAACCGACATATATATTATTCATAATATTCTTTAAGTTTAATTAGCTGACTGTTGTTACGCTTTCCTATTCCTTTTTCTGTCTGTTAGTCTGAATAGCTACTAATAATTTCTATTATTAATATTATTATATCTTTTCCTTTAACGAATATAGCGCAGGAGCAAATAGTGAAAGGATCAACTCCATTCACAGTATTAACAGTCTAAACACACCTCAAACTACAAACCACATATAATTAATCCCAGCACTACTCCTTTTGGAGTCAACCGAAGCTACGACGGTCAAGTGGCGGGATGACCTACGCGTGAGTTTACAAAAATCAGAAACCCATACCTCAAAACCAAGAGGCGAGCACAAAGAAATCAAATTGGTCTATACTAGCTCGTAAAAACGATATTGAATTGGATATTGAACCCTAACTCGGCTACAACTAGTTGACATGACAACATGCTGTTACTGGCGGACCTATGAAATGACTCACATTATCATTATCATATTATGCATAGTTTGTCTTTTAATCTGACCGTGTTGCACGAAATTTTGAGTGCTATTAATGAATGAGACGAACGCTGGTAACTGTAAGTCTTCCCATGCTACGCATGCATCCATCAGATAACATACTTACGCGTTTCTGTAAAAAATAAACAATACTAAGTCTTCCTTTAATTAAGAACTTCTTTGATATTTAAGGCTTTTCGATAGAGAAATATTGCGCTTTTCAAGAATTTCCTCAAAATGCCTGCCACAAAAGTCTTTTATTTAGGTCACCGTATTTGATTTTCTGAAAGTTAACTAAGCGGAAAAACAGAAGTCGTTCGTCAATTAACGAATGTATCAATGCAGCATATGTTGCATATATATACGGTCAGAGGTATAAATTATGCACCATTGCTCGATAAACTTGCTGGTAAGCAAATTATCGTCTGTTCGACCTTGGGACAAGAAATAAACACATCTAAAATATTAGGAAACGGGAAAATCTCTCCAATGTTATTGATGAATCACTCCTTTTTTCAATATATCGAAAATATTCATTCAGACATCTATAAAACACAAAATAATTGAGCAAAGAATATCCTTTTCGCTAATTTTCTCTTCTCGCTTTCAATTATATATCTGTTTATACACATAGAATATTCTAGAATAGTAGTCAATTACAATATTAGTGTTTTTTAAATAATATCGATTTATAAAGTAAGATCAGTGGGATTACAGTTCATTAAAGATGCTTAACTTATAATAATAATAAAGATATAATAGCAAATAGAATATCAACTAAAATTAGGGAAATTTCCACCAAAATGGAGTATTATTCAAACCTAGATGGCCAAGGTAAGGATAGTTTCTGAACTAACTTCTTTTGGACACATAAATTAGTCTTCTTAATGTGGATTCCAACGGGCCCAGCAATATTTAGTATTCGAACTCTTAAGGCGATGTTCAGATATATTGGTATGCGGTAAATGACTTTGAAAGCCTAGTTAACATCAATCTTGTGTTCTGTATCCACAAGATGAGATAGAATAGTGCTGCGAATAGATTTTGTTTGTCCTTTACTTAACTACGCAGGGTGATGTTAGGAAATCCGACGAGAAAGACGCCTAATTGTAGAACCTATATAACTGGCTCCAGAGGAGCAGTTAAATCGGTAAATACACATGGGAGAGGCGAAATTAGGCAGTTTCTCTTTTACTCCGGAAAGCAAAAGAGGAGTGGTTTATAAGATACAGCATATTTCAGCAGCAGGGAATGCTCTTTTTACCACATTTCTAAGGCGTTGTGTTAGTATCTCGCTGATGTTGTCCCTAAGGAACTGAATTTGTAAAAATAAGGCCTTCTTAAGAACTGTTGGTACGCTGGGCTGCCCTGATTTTAGATTCATATTCTTATCGACAAACTTTCCTGGATAACCGTTTTCACTCAGCAACCGTTTAATATTATTAAGTTCCTCATCAAGACATTCATCCGAGGAGATTGCTCTTGCTCTGTAAGCCAAGCACTTCGTCAGATTGTTTTTAAGGACACGAAGTTGAAAAAATGAGTATACTGACCAGTTGATATAGGTTTTCTACATACAATTCTTATTGTGCCATAATCTTTTTTGGGCATAAGGACGTGTACAAAAGAAATGCTAGAGTGTTTTTGTTTCTCAGTAGTAAAATTTACTGTAGGATGAACCTAGCTAAGTTTATCCAGGATGTCCTTTATTTCCTACTCATTTTTCACAATCAAAAAGGTATCATCCATGTACCGACAGTAGAATTCAAGTTCATCAATAGCATCTTTCAAAGGCCCATTTTCTAGTTTCGCAAGGAAAATGTCTACTAGAATGGGTCCCAGTGGTGACCCCATTGCCACACTATCAATTTGTTTACATAGTTCTCTATTAAACAAAAAGATGACATAGTTAAGAACAGCACATTGTTTCCGTATAAATCTATTAAAGTTCTCAGTAGTAATGTAATTACATCCGGTTTTTCACTAATTGATGTCACTATGTATTTATCTTGATTTCATTAACACCATGAAACGATCTCTGGGAAAAATACTGGTTTGGAAATGATACGAAATACATGTATTTGGATGAATTCCCGTACACCTGTACATCCCATAGTCATATTATCAACACTTTTGCTAGAAACTGAGATTTATATCTTTAAATTTTTTGCTACTGCATGTGCCCACATTCTCTTATATTTAATTTTTCATAAATGTTCTATTTTTACCTTTAAGTTGATTATTCTGCTATTGTTATCCTGTCAACATAAGTTTCCCTAATTCTTTTTAAAGTCGTAATGAATGCATTTCCAACACTAGCGAAGTTCAACTTTCTGCATATATAGTCAGTGAGGTAAACAAAACCCCACTGGCGATTTCCTTTGACTCAGTTATTTCGAGTCCCGGACTTAAATTTGGATATTGTTGATAATCATCAACATATCTGTCCTAAATCCCATAGAAATTTACGTTTGCTAGGAGATTTCTACCTAGATTATTTTCTAACAAATTTGAAACCCTTGTTATTGATTGTTTGGCCAGGTCATATAGATCAGTCTGTTAGCCAAGAGGATTCACTCCTGTACCCCCTGTATTCTCTTAACTACCTTGACTTATAATTGTATATTTGCCTGATAAGGTAACAATTATTTAGCTAATTAGATAATACTTGAGGTATAACCGGTTGTACAACACATACAATGTACTACTGTATCGGACTGTTTCTAGTGGAAGTCAAAACTTGGTTTTGCTACAACTTACTACCTTTTCGGCGTTTCTCTTTTTGTGTATAACACTTAAGTAAAGCTTAGATGTTTCTTAGTGTAGATTGGCACGAGATTCCTGATCTTCGTTTGCAGTCATACACTAATTTAAGATACGACTTATATGCTGGAATATTATCTTAAAGACTTTCAATATCTAATCATGCTTTGGCTTGGAAATACACTTCATTTTATGCTATTTCCAAAAGAAACTATAGAATGTTATTGATAGCGTATAAGATTTCAGTTATTCTGCAGAAATAATGAAGCGTTCGCTTTCACTATTGAGGTAAATTGTATCAGTTTTGAATACATTGCTCATTTGTCGCTAATATTTTAATTCAGCCGTTTTATTTGCTTTACAGATTCTGTCCTATCCTTGAGAGGCCTGTTGTTCCTTTCTAAAACAGTGATTAACAGTAACTAGTAAAAATCATTGACTTTACATACAATGATTCGTGTTAACATGTGCGACTGCTTACCAATTAGTGAGGATATTCTAATATGCGAACTACTTAAATCTATAAGATTTAGTAGTATGGAAATGAGTTTGCTTGATGATGCACTGGTAAGTACCATTTTAATTTGAATATATTTTCGCAGAAAACTGTTAGCTTGTTCAAATTTTTACTTATATCTGGATTGCGTTTGCAGAACTGGACAATCTGTCCCTTTTTCATGAGATTTTGAAATTAGGTTCATCATGTACGTAGAGAGATAACAGGATGTATTTTATTGTATTCACTGTCGGGTGTAAATCAATTCGAATTATAACTTTATGTCGAAACTAAGTGTTCTTTGATAAGCGCTTGAAAAATTTGTATTTATGTTACTCACATCACTCATTAAACAGTCGACATCTGACTTTTATTTTACCATATCTCTTCATTTACTATTTCAATTACACAGTGAGGCTGAACTGTACATGCTTTAGGCCATAGCTTGTTGTCTGTAATTAAATCAGGTCTAACGACAGATAATGCTTTATAAGAACTGGACTTTACATAAAGTTATCCCAGCTTATTCAGAATACGTAGCAATATACCCGAGATCGTCATCCAGAATTTGTCATAATGTAACAACAGAAGACAAGACACGGAAGCTAAGGTATATTTCTCATTAACCAAATAGGTTTATATATGAAAATATATATAGTTTATATTCGTTAACCAGTCACTGAGCGTGTGACTTTGGTTTACATTAAACGACTTTGAATATAATGTTGAAATATACATAGTATTCTGTTGCTAACGCAATATTGAACTGTGGGAATATGTGAGAATCATATTCTGTTGAAACATATTGTCTGTATCACACCACCACAGTACTAGTTGAAAATGTGATGGATCCTTGTGCATTGGAAAAAAATACTTGAATTTCAGAATAACGCGGAAAACCCACCGTATATTTAAAATTACGAGCGCATATTGTACTCATAAAGTCAAAATAATTTGTACGCACAAAAATGTATATGACCATTTCTATAACTTTTTAAACCAATGCAGCAATTTTGACATTATCCATAGCTTCGAATCATGTCGATTAGAAGACCATTGAAACAAAGCAAAACAACATGTATCCTTTTTTTCAGTTTCTGACTCTTTATAAAAGCACACTCACAAATATGATATAAACTTGAGAAATACACACTGAGGTTATAAGGTAGGCATATTTGCATCTCTTAAACAGTAATAAAGTTTCGTTAGAACATCGAGGAATTCATCTAAAAGTTAATTAGAAGCATGACTTTGGTTCATATTTAACAAACATACAAATGTTTGTTAACAAATGATTGAACACAACATGTGTTTCACCGTGGAGGAAAATCTTATACCATTTAGTGGTCGTTTTCATTTATAAAAGATTTAATGAAGTGGGATTGTTTTGAACTTAGACGTAGGACAACAGGAATTTGTCTATATCCCAGAAAAGCTGGACTGTATACAGGCAACTGTCTTAAGCAACTGTTATTGATGGCAGCCGGCGAATGGGAAGTAATGAGACTTTTATAATGTATAAGAAGATAAACAGTAATTGTATCCGCTAAATGGTGATAAATTTCGAACCATGCTAGCTGAATTTCTTGCATACATAGTCCTACCACATAAGGAAGAAGCTTGAAGTAGGCACTGGTGGAGATGTGGCTGTTTGACTTTAGAAATTAAATTTCTGCTAGTTGGCCGCATCTACTCCAGAGTGGAAGACCAAGTAATATCAACTCACACAGTTAGTGTGGCTCGCGGCCTAGTACATAAAAGATTGAGAAACTGAGTTCTAACTCACTAAAGCAACCCTTGTTTGTTTAAGCAAATGACTTGTAAGTGTAGATACCTATAGCAAATAACCCCTCAGGTACTCATATTATCCGAAACCTAAATTAAACTAATGTCGGAGTTTTATAATCTTCCTGTCGGTTTTATAGGCACGTTATTCATCCGTATTTGAACAACAAAATGTAACTAACCAGTCTCATATTTAAGCCTTGGTCAACGCCTAATTCCTGGTTAGCTTTTAGATGAATTTCTAGAAGTGTTAATCAAACGTTGAGACTGTTGCAGACCTCTAGAGCTGGTAGAAAAAGCTATACCTAAAACTGTCAGAATTCAAAAATTATTGATCATTCGCTGGCTACTTAGAGGCTGAAGTTAAACGAGAATACGGTAGTACTCTTCTAAAGAATCACAAACTGAGAAAAGACAAGTGTTCAAGTCTCTTAACTCTTCAGTAATCAATACTGACTTGTGATTAATTCTATCCAATATTTTACTTTATTCCCAATCCTTATTCAGCAAAAGCAACTGAAGAAGATGAGGAAGAAGTTCCCTCCTGTTATTGACCTATTTAAGTAATATGTATTTATCAGTTATGGTGAAGTTAAACTTTAAGCACCACTAACTACCAGTGGAGTGCGACCGCACCAATGACCTTGAAACGCCCACTGAGCAAGTTAGTGAAACCTGACAAATAATGTTGTCATCATCACTAAAATATGCTCATCGAAGTGTTATGCTATTAAATGGGATATCAGGCAAGTTTCAGGTTAGGTTTAGGAAAGGTTAAGTTACTCTTTAAGCCAAGGACAAGGTAGGGTTAGGTTAACCTGATAAAGGCGACATTAGGGTTGGTTCGAGTTAGATTACAGTTAGTTTAGGGATATTTTCACGTAAGGGTTAGGTTCAGGAAAGATTAGGGTTATTGTTAGGGTTAGAAGACCTAAATAATTACATGGATAGAATGTGGTTAAATTACTCTGTTGATATAAGAATAGTACTTGTGCACTGTGGCAGAGTATAATTCCATTGTGGGTAACATTTATTTCGATAAAGTCTCACAGTGTTATACAGTAATATTTACTGATGACGTTTCGACCACATTTTATAGCTCAGGAAATATTACTATATTACACTATGAGACTTTATCAAAATAAATTTTACCCACAATGGAATTATACTCTGTTGATACTCCAACCTAAAATTCAGAGCTATTTTCATCATACGTGACAGCAAAGTATCCTCTGTAACACTTTTCTACAGTTTTAATGCATTTTTCCCCATAAATATTTGTATTCCATACCCAAAAATGCCTCCTTCAGGTGATTGGTGCGTTCGAGGTCATTCGCTGATTGGTAGTTAGTGGTGTTTAAAGTTTAACTTTGCCTCAGTTATTTGTTGTACAATTGGTTTTTTATACGAGTAGACTCAAATTCAGTAATAAGGATTTTCAGTACTCATTAGCATGTATTAAAAATCATTAAATTCAGCTCAAAAAAGTCTGATTATACACACTTTATTAACAAAATTCGGCAATGAAGCAGAGAATACTCTATAATGTGCCAAATAATTAACAGCCTGGGACTAATATTTCACTGACACTCTCTTCAGAAGTTATTCACCTACTTAAACGATGGAAATTCGTCTGATTTATTTTCAATTTTGTTTCTTATCCCTTGTTCCTTAAGTTAAACATTTTTCTTCTTACAGATGTTTACTGAAGATCTAAAAGAAGTACCAAAAGATCAGATAGAAGAAAATTTATTTAAATCATTATTAAAATGTGATAATTTTCAAACTTTAAAAAATTGGATATTCACACAAAAACCGATTATTCTATCCCAATTAAAACACAAATGGGCAGAGCAACATTATCTTAATAATTCTTGCGATTGTAATTACCTGAAAAAAGCTCAAGTATGTTGTACTAATTATAAAAAAAATAATTAAATTTCATGCAATTATTTAAAAAGGCTAGTTGGGAGCGTAAAATGTTACGAAGTTTAAATTCAATGTGTCAAGAACTCGGAATAGAGTTGGGAAGAAAGGTAAACTGAATATTGGATGACTATAAAAGCCTAACATTTTTAAATGTTTTGTTTTTCTATTGAAAGAGACCAAAATGTCAAATTGATGCTATCCTTCAAAATTGGACAGAATTATCAGTATATTTCAACAGTAAAGTCATATAATTTTCTTTTAATAAAGTTTTGGAAAAAAAAATAGAACAATCAACTATTAAACCAGTTTTCGGTCCAAAAGATCTCTTAGATGTTCTAACAAACATCAAGCACCCACAGATGAAGTCTTCTTCATCCAACTTGAGTTCTAAAGAGTAAACTCCAGAGTATATTTTAAATCGCTTAATCACCATGTTTTCAATTGTTTTCTTTTTAGTTTTCATTCAGACATAGTTGTATCATGGGGTTTGATTAACTTACCTTTGAATATTAAAAGTCTGTCTGAATTGGTGAGTTAAAATTCATAATATTTTATAAATTTTGTAGAGAAGATTTTATAAGGCTTTGAATCTTCAAAGTCCTCAAATTGGTGTTGATGATATAGTATCATCTTCATTTTTACTATCCCGTGAACATGAAGCAGAGGAAAGTACGATTTAGTTTTTCCTCTCTTAATTGTATCTTTCCTTTCAAATTATAGTTATAAATCTTGATTCTTCAGAACGTGCACAGAAATTTTTACAATGTGGTTGTCCATTGGGTTATCGCGCAAAGCTGTGGGAGATATGTTTAAATGCAAGAGTAACGAATGAAGTAAGTGTGGATTTGTAGGTCTTTTAAATGAAACATATCCAGTGGTGAAATACACTATGACTTAATATACAATTCAATGATAAGGTTTTAAATTTGGGATTTATTTGTTTATTGAAAATATCTTATCATGGGTGTCACTTAAAACTCTGATATACATATGTAACGGTAGAGGACAAGAGACTTGGTAAAGGAGTGTTTATCGGAATTTCGTATCGCTATATAGCGAAATTATGTACATCTTGTCTAAAAATCGTCATTTGCATAGATATTCCCTGTTGTTCTACTTTTGCCCTTCGCATTGTGTTTCTTTGTCTTCTGTTCGTGTTTTTTCCTATATTTTGCCACTACGCTGAATAAATTGCTCTATATGACGTTAAATCTATCTCTCCGCTATTTGATATTTCTATACCAATGGACGTCTATTTATATACTACTGATAAATCTTATCAGTAGCATACTCCACACCGATAAATAATTTTGTAGGAAAAACGATGTAACCGGATACTTTTTTATATGTAACTATATGAATAAATATTAAGTATAAATCAGTCATGGTGATTCGTCAGTAAGACGATAACATAGCTATAATTTTTGCATTTAATCATAATAATAATTCTGGTAACATCGATGGTGAACAATGGAGGAATATGTAGTAATGAAAAGCATTAAAACAATGTGGTTATGAAACAAAAGTTGAAGTGTTAGTGTTTTTAAGGTAGATTTCATCATGAACCGATATAGGTTACCGGGCTACTGCAAACTAGGGAGCATTGGACAACTGCGTGGTCCTAGTTTGGAACCGTATGATAGTGCACACCCTTAGAAAATCACCATGGATCGAACCCAGGACCTTCAAGTTACGACGAGGGCAGATTGTCATCCAGCCACTGACTAGTAACCAAACGGGCCGCGAATTCTGACTTCCCTTAGTTTGAGATATAGTCCCAGTGTCATCGGAGAGTATTTGTACCCACTCCTGGCCTTGGTTGACCCCGAAGATCGCAACTTCTAAACAGAACTCCAAGAAATCAATCCGTTGGTTAGACACTAAGGAGAGATGGGTTGATTCTTAATTATTGTATATATAGCATCCGGTTAGTGAGTGACTATGACACAAACTCTCTGGAGTTTGAGTGAGAATTCATGACTGATGAGGCTCGCTGAGCTCAATATGTGTGGGTAGGACACACATTAAAAAGTTTACCGGTTGACTTTTATCAGAGCCTAGTGTTGATTAACTATTTCCAAATCCATTCAATAATTAACTTAATTGCAATTTTTTTACTGTGACTAATTCTTAACATATTTTATATGCTTTTGCTTTTCTTACAGGATCGTATTTACTATGATCGACTAAAATCATTTGTTGCTGAAGATGAATACATGACAGATCAATTAATTTGTAAGGTAAACAATAATGTTGATTGTGGTTTAACCAATAATTGCTTGTTATCCCTTTAGGAAGTACAACTTACAGCCTCTAACGATGATATGCACTTTGTATTCTGTGATTATACATATCAGGTATGTTGTAATAGTGGATTATTATTATTTTTTATCAATATATTATTTCAATTGTTTTTGACAAACTGGAGAACTTAGTAGACATCTATCTTACGTAGAGGAAATTCACACATGTAAATCTAAGTGATTAGATTTACTAGAGGTCTTCTAAAGCTCAAAAGTTTCACCATTATGAGTAAATCATATTATTATTATTGTTTCCTTTAATTCCTAGAGGGACATAGGGCTTCAGCCGTGCGTCTCCATTGCGTTCAGTTCTCTGCTAGAGTATTCACCTGGTTCCAAGTCTGTCCACACGCTTTCATCTCCTCTTCACATGACCACCTCCGTCACCCTTGGACGACCAACTCGCCGCTTCCCTTTTGGGTTCCACTCAAGGGCTTGTCTTGTGATGTCACTTGATGTTTTCCTAAGAGTATGGCCAATCCATCTCCATTTCTTCCTGCATATTTGTTTCACAATCGCTTCCTGGTTGGTTCGCTCCCAGAGATCTCTGTTGCTGATCTTTTCTGGCCATCTGATCTTGAGTATTGAGCGAAGATAACTGTTAATGAAGGTCTGTAGTTTGTTTGAGATGCTCTTTATGACGCGCCAGGTCTCTGATCCGTATAGTAGCATTGACTTTACATTGGATTTGAAAATCCGGATGTTATTTTTGATGCTGAGTGCTGTTGATCTCCACACAGACTTGAGAGTAGTGAAAGCTTGTCTTGCTTTCATAAGTATTGATGAAATTATTTGTGTGGTAATAGGTAAAGGACGAAAGTCTATCGATAAAGCTGTCAAGCTTCCTCGACTGAGATGACCAAAACGCCTCTTAAGCACACATGCCAAACCACTACGTTCTTTAACAATTCACGTAATCTTAAGTCAGATAACATTGTGAACTACTTATGGATAGTCAAACCAAAAGATGACACCAATCCATTCAGTCATTGGCTGTTAGTCTTAGTCAAGCAGGAAGGTAAGTGTAAAATAAACAGCATAAAACCAGCCAGTTGCAGTAATAAGTAATAAATTTTAATCCAATACAAACAAAGATTGATATAATTGGGTTTATTTGAAATCTTCCTTTCACTGATAATGTTTACACTTACTGAAACCAAATTACACTCATCTGGTAAATCTCAAGTATAATGATTCTACTACTAGCTATCAGCCAACTTTTCTTGCTGAAATAACAGTTATTGAATTATCCATACTAGAAAGTGCTGAATAAAGCAAACAACGAACGAGGTTTATATAATTGAAATTGTATTAATAATATATGTGGGGACATCTCCAGCCAATATTTCATGGGGAAAGACAATTTCCAACCAAGAACTTGTAGTTTTTTTCAAAGAAGACAATCATTTTGGATTTATACTGTGATATATGGCCAGTGATCATTTTCTTATCGAAATGTGATTTCTATCTGAATGCAGTAGTACAGCTAAAATCAGTTTAATTTTTGATAGTCATTTTACATACTTAATTTATCAATATTTATTCCTTCAGTTTCAAGTAGAATATAAGACTTCCACTGCACATATCCATTGCAATCAATCCTCGATCTTCACTTTCAGCCGGCTACATAGCTGCACAATAAGTCTTAATTTTCTCTAATATATGATCTCGATGTCAAACTGGAACGCCTAAACCATTGCTTTCCATTAGTGGCGGGAGGGTTGGCATATGCTATCATGTGAACGTCTGATCTATTTCTCTTTGCATATTTGCTGAGCAATAGGTTCTTGGTTGGCTAGCTGTTTAGGTTCGTCGTTGCTTATATCCTTTCCATCCTCAAAATGAGGAGATTTTCCTATTCCAGAGAAGTCCACTTTTCTGTGCTTTAGAGTTGAATTACTAATGGGGTTGCTTTTACAGAATTAGTTCAGTTACCTCACGCTGAAGCTTTCCTCTTTTCCCAGCTAGTAAACTAGGCGAGGTGAAGCTATTTATTAAAATGATAAAATTATAATATTTGTTAAAAAGAATTTATTTAACGAATACATAGATTACTTTGAAAATATAATCAAATGACAAAAATTGCTTATGGTAAAAATTTGAAAGAGAAAAAAACCCAAACTCGCAAAACACTTACGATATGTTTTTTAATCCGATTTTAGGTCCTTCTCCCATTCACTAGAGATCACACAGTATTATCTCATTTTGACTGTACGTTTGCATCTCCACCTAGAGTTGTTAATAAAAATTCTACTGAGTCGTGTATTTATCCTCCATCGGGAGTTATACCATTTCATGGTTTCTCTATGTACAGTAAGTGCTGTAATATAAAAATACGTTTAATGTTACATTTATGTAAGCTTACGCCTTCCGTTCATATATACATGTTAATGGGAATATTTTACCTCGAACAAGAGAAATGTATCTGACCAAATAACTCCTCCAATTTAAAGTAAACGACTTGTAACTAGTGGTATATTTGACTTAAGCAGTAATCTTTAGACAACTGAGTTACGAGTTCGAATCTTTCCACACTTAAGTAGGTTTTAATAATCAGAATGAATAGCTCACTCAGAAAGAATATTATTTTGAAATCCCACAAAATAAGTCTTCGCAGAATACAAAATGTTTTGTCACAAACATTAATTACATAACTGCATAGTTTAACTCATTGGTTCAACAGCTTCGACATGTTTCATTCATTACTGAGGTGATTCATATATGCTTATGAAATTGGAGAACAGAATGAAGTAATTACCCAGTATTTTCTTACTTCGAACAAGTACAGGACTAGTTGAGGAAATGGTTGCCGCACTTTTGTAAAAGCTCTTAATATACTACAGTATACTGTTATGAACAATTTAGTTTATTTCACTTACATTATCATTGTTTTCTCAAGTATCGGTATTGTAGGGAATTTTCCTTTTGATTGACTGGAGGATTTCATCATGAGCTGGCATCAGTTAGAGAACCACTGGACAACCCGGGAGTACTGGATAGCTGTTTCGTCCTGGTTTGGGACTCTCCATCAGGACGCACCCACTGGGGTTTGAACCCAGGACCTTCTAATTACAAGGCCGGCGAGCTCGTAGACTGTTAAGCCACTGGGACCCGATCCAGTGGCCCACCGGTTAAAACCCCGGTGGGTGCGTACAGGACGAAACAGCTGTCCAGTACTCCCTGCAGGTTTTCCAATGGTTCTCCAATTGATGTCAGCTCATGATGAAATCCTCCAACTAACCATTGTATTTAAAAGCTTGCTGATGTGTATATAAATTTTAGTGATTCGGTTTCTAACCTCTTTATAATTTTTATTTCAGTGTTGCCTTTATGTTATTTATACGATGATCCAGTTACTTTGTACATAATATTTCGTCAGTTGTATATGCGTTACTTTTATAGACTGCATACAATATCAGATGAAAATAGTGTAAGTTTATATTATTTAATAGTATTTTCTTTTTCAAAAATTCATTTCAACTATTTAAACACTTAATTAGATTAATTGTGAAATGACTAATAAATGGTAAAAAGGTCTAAATTGATATAGGACTCATACTAACAGACTACAGATTATAGTTCTTGATCAATGTCATCAATCATTATGTAGTATTTAATGATTCGAACAGTAATATATCTATTGATTTGAATTTAGTTTTAGGGAGCATGATTAGTGATGTGTACTATGGTGCTGATCGTTTCTAGAAGACAAAATTGTTTAACTAATGTTAAATTTAGTGTGGAAATCACTTTTAAGTTTCTAATGTATTTCTTTTGTCTGTCATCTAGGGTATATTATGTTTATGTTTACTGTTTGAACGCTTACTGCAAATCAAAGAACCTGAGGTTTTCTTCCACTTAAAATCATTTGGTGCCCAACCGTAAGTTGTATTTTTATTTTATAGAATTACTTTTTATATTAGGAAATTGTTAGTACGATGTTATTTTATAATTGCAACCATTTTGAGAATGTTTCTACATTTATACAGAGGTACGAAAAAGGTTACGTTAATGGATCTTTTCTTTTTTGGCGTTTATTTCAGCTATACAGAGTATTGCCATACTGAGTGCATAAACAGTCATCATTTTTTTTCTCCTTCGAACTGTTAGGTTATGAGATTATGGTGTAACAACAGAAGGCAAGACAAGGAAGCCAAAGTATATTTCTCATGCACAATTTATATTCTTTAAGCAATCATTGAGCGTGTGACCTCGATTTACATCAAACGACATGAAATAGGATCTCCAAATATACCTAGTATTCTATTGCCAATGCAGTACTGAACTGTGGGAAAGTATTCTGACCCTAATATCAAATAGAATTATTGTATGCAGTATTGAACTGTGGGAATATGTGAGAATAATATTCCGTCGACATACATTGTCTGTATTACACCACCACAATAGTATTAACTAGCGTACCATTAAACTGTGATTACATTAACTTCATAAAAAGGTCTACTTTTAATAGACTAAATTTCTACGATTAATAATTCTGCCTATAAATCAAGTTGTACAGAATGTGGAAATTATTAATTGGATGAGTAGGTTAAGACATGTAGTATGCAATGGAATTAAGTCTACATATGACATATAAATGTTAGAACAAAATAAAGTAGGAAGCCATTCATCACGTTCCTGACAGCCGGTGTGAGACAAGGAGATGAGTTTAAACAACTCTATAACTGGAGTGTATAATGAAAGTTACTGAAATGTTTAAAGACTAAACGTCAATACATACAATCGCTGATACCACAATTTTCACTATTTAGCTACCCCTCTAAGCATTTCTCCCTTAACTTATTGGTTTTTGAACACTTCCTGAAGTCAACTTTTACATGTATAGAGTATCAAAATTATCTCTATCTTTTCATCTTCCTTCCTCTTGATTTCTTATGGGTTCATCTATATAAACCAACCATGCTGCTAATCAAGACATATACCAGAATGTTTAAGACCACTAAATTAAAGCATAATGAAGAATTACAAATGTTGTTATAACTCTATAGCCAATTTGTTATAACTTAACTGAACTGAATAAACCATTGCTACTTTTTTTATGTCTGCGCCTGTTAATTACTATAACGGTAATGAACTCGACTGGTAAGCTAATACGTCTATATGTCCGTTGCACCATCCTATTCACTGAGCCCATGCAAATATCAAAAGATGAAGACTGGCCTGTGACCATAAGATATTGTATTGTATGTTATACTACACTATATAGTGTAAGAAACAATACATGATATTTATACAATTTCTTAACCATAATAAAGTCGGCTCACGGCCGTGGGAATGCATTGTTGTTGTTGGTTGGATATGTCTATTCTGCTTGGTTGGTGATCAGACAAAGATCAAGGTGAGACTAAAAGAAGATGAACTGGTCATACGCTGCACCACAATATGCGTGAGAAATGATACATTTACACAGTAACTCCATCACATGATAAATCACACAAATTCGTGAGAAAGGTTGATGTACTATTTTATTCTGGGTCCTATCAACAAAATAATCCAACCTCTTCCCAAAAGTTAGTTCAGAAATATAATAAGTGTAGTATGTCACACCTGATAGTGAAGCAGTGAAACAGCCTGTAATCTTAGAAAAAGTCATCGGTTTAAACTGATATGCTACACTGCACAAATAGCATGATAGAATATAATCATCTGAACTAGGAATATAACAGGAAATGTAAGAAGAATATTATAATAACGAGGAATATTTTTCAAGTATTGGTTTGTAGGGATTTGGTTGATTGGTTACAGGATTTTATCATGAGCTGACATTGGTTAGAGAACCATTGGAAAACCTGCGGAGAGTACTGGACAGCTGTTTCGTCCTAGTTTGGGACTCTTCATCAGAACGCACACACCGGGGTTCGAACCCAGGACCTTATGGTTACAAGGCGAGCTTGTATGCCATTAAGCCACTGGGACCCGATCCAATGGCCCATGAATCCTAACTTCTGCCAATTCACGATATAGCGCAACCGCTAGCCAATGTCTTCGGCGACTATTTGTCCTCATACCCGACCTGCTGCACCCTATTTAATTTTGAAAGACTGTTAAGAATGAATTCATATGAATTATCCTTATCATAATTTAGTCACCACTCCATAACATTTATAAAAATCTGTTGTTGTACACGACATATACCTATCTGTCCCTAATCAACGATGATGTCTTGATCCCCTCACAACAACGTTTTATTCAATGTAATTTAAATTCAGGTAACAGTTTGCACTGTATAAGCGATGCCTTGTTATGCTTATAATCTTGTCTCAGTCGCTTCAGTTTATGTTGATTCGTATATAGAACTCGAGACGTCTTTGTTGTTCAGTTTGCGGTAGTGACAAAAAATGCTGATAAACTTGAAATGAATTATCGAAGTAAAACTTTGCATAAGTTTGAAATAGTTCAAGTTGACGCACTTAGTAAAAGCACGCATAAAAGTAGAGGAAAGAAATACGGTGATGAAAATATACAATAACAATAGAACTTGTGCAATGTGGTAGAGTGTGATCCCATGGTGGATAAAATTTATTTTGATAAAGTTTCACAGTAATATTTACAGATGATGACGTTTCGAGCACAATTTATTGCTCATAATCATTTCAAAGTACTCATACAACTTTCCAAAATCGTCTATATAATTCCACTGTTTCTTATGTCTCGATTTGATTGGTAGTAGTATTTTCCATATTTCTGGTATTAGTGATGAGTCATTTCTATTGCACGTATTGGGTGTAGATTCTATGAACAAAGCTTCAGTAGTCAATCTCTCTCTCTCGTGGGTCGTATTACAATATCTAGCTGTGAAAGTAGTGTGAATTACGTATATTGTAGCAGTCAAGGTGCTTTGTTAAATATATCTGCAGTATCCTGACTTTAGAGATCTACAACAATTATAACATATACATGTATTATTATTATTGTTCCCTTGGGTTCCTAGTGGAACATAGGGCTTCAACTGCACGTCTCCACTTGCTTCTGTCTTGTGCTGTACTTTTCACTTGCGTCCATGTTATTCCATACTGTTTCATCTCCTCCTCGCACGATCTCCTCCATGTCACCCTTGGACGTCCCACTCGCCGCTTCCCTTTCGGGTTCCACTCGAGGGCTTGACGCGCGATGTCACTCAACGGCCTCCTCAGCGAGTGCCCAATCCATCTCCACTTCCTCCTGCATATTTGTTGGGCGATTGGTTCCTGTTTCGTTTGTTCCCATAGCTTCTTGTTTGTGATTCTTTCCGGCCATCTAATCTTCAGTATGGAGCGAAGACAGTTGTTGATAAAGGTCTGCAACCTGTTGAAAATATTCTTGGTGACCCGCCAAGTTTCTGATCCGTAAAGCAAAATTGACTTGACGTTTGTATTGAAAATCCGAATTTTGTTGTTGATGGTGAGTGACGAAGATTTCCAAATTGGTTTCAGGTTGATGAATGTGTTTCTCGCCTTCCCGATTCTCGATTTGACATCGTCGTCCGTTCCTCCTGTGGTTGAGACAATGCTCCCCAGATAAGTGAAAGAAGTAACCTCTTTCAAATCCTTCCCGTTGATGGTGATTGGTGCTGGATGTTGCTGCTGCTGTTGTTGGTTGGTTATTTTCATAACCTCCGTCTTGTCTATGTTCACCTGCAGTCCTGTCTTTGCTGCTTCTTCGACCAGTTTGTCGGTTTTCGCTTGTAAGTCTTCGATTTTGTTTGACATCAAACATAAATCATCCGCAAAATCCAGGTCTTCTAGGTTCTTCACGTCGGTCCAGGATATCCCTGTCTCCTCGTTTCCCACTGTCTGGCGCATAATCCAGTCCACCACAATTAGGAATATCATTGGTGATAATAAGCACCCTTGTCTGACTCCTGTGTTTACTCGAAACGCCTCGCTGAGTTTTCCGTTGTGGATCACTTGACATGTGCCGTTGTCGTACAGTTGTTGAATAAGGTTGATGAATATTTGGGGTACGCCGTAGTACTCGAGTAGTTTCCAAATTACTTCGCGGTCAACGCTGTCGAAGGCCTTCTCAAAGTCTATGAAGTTGAGGTAGAGATTTGATTGCCATTCCATGCTTTGTTCGATGATAATGCGTAGAGTTGCAATTTGGTCAGAACATGATTTGCCTTTCCTGAATCCAGCTTGTTCTGGTCGGAGTTCTGTATCCAGTGCGTCCTTGATTCTCTCCAGGATGATGCGACTCAGGATTTTACTTGTCGTCGACAGGAGCATGATTCCTCGCCAGTTCTTGCAGAGTCCCAGGTCGCCCTTCTTTGGTAGTTTCACCAGGTAACCTTTCCTCCAGTCAGTAGGCACCTTTCCCTCTTTCCAGATCTTTTGCAATAATGGAGTAAGCATATCTGCCGTCGTTTCTGGGTCCGCTTTCAGTGCTTCCGGGGGTACTCCATCTGGTCCAGCTGCTTTTCCAGCTTTCAGAAGCTTGATTGCATTCATGACTTCAGTTTTCGTTGGAGGATTGGTGTCAACTTGCAGTTGTGTACGTGCTGTTGTTGGTATTACTGGACGGGTTGTAGGTGGTGGTCGATTCAAGAGTCCTTTGAAGTGGTCCGCCCATTGTTTAATCTGTCTTTCTTCCTTGGTAATTGGGTTCCCTTGGCTGTCTTTTATAGGTTTCACTTGTGTTGATCTCTTCCCGGATAGAGACTTGGTTATCTGATATAGTGTCCTCAGATCCCTTTTGCCTGCTGCCTTCTCAGCTTCAGTGGCCAGGTTGTCGTGGAATTGTCTTTTGTCCTTCCTGGCACTCTTCTTCACTTCTTTGTCCAGTGCTGTGTAAGTTGAGTTCAGCGTCTCTTTCTCTTGTCCATCTTTGCATTGAATCATTTTTTCTTTCACCTTTCTCCTCTCCTCTATTAGTTTCCAAGTATCTGTTGAGAGCCATTCCTTGTCTTGTTTCTTCTTTCTTCCTAAAACCGTTGAGCACGTTTCGTTGAAAATTACCTTCAGAGAGTTCCAATGGTCTTCCACGGATGATTCCTTAGTGATGTCACGTAGTGTTTCCTGCTTTGCTCTGACAGTTGCAGTGAAAGTGTCCTTTGTGGTTGTGTCTTTCAGTTTTTCCGTGTTGAACTTGCATTGTGGCCTATCCCCAGGTATCCTCGAGGCTTTCAGCTTCACCTTGAATGTCCCTTGTACTAGATAGTGGTCTGAACCCACATCTGCTCCTCTCCTCGACCTTGTGTCCAGTAGGCTCCGTCTCCACTTCCTTGAGATTGAAATGAAGTCTATCTGGTTTTTGGTGTATCCATCTGGTGAAATCCATGTCGCCTTGTGTATATCCCTGTGTTTGAACACACTGCCACCAATCACCGAATATTTGAAGGCGCAGAAGTCTGAGAAGAGTTCACCATTGTCGTTCATTTCACCGAGGGCCTCGTGACCCATGGTGAGTTCTCTTCCTGTATTGTCTCCTCCCAGTTTCGCATTCATGTCGCCCATCAGGATTTTGATATCGCTCTTTGGGACGTTGTCCATTACTGTTTGTAGTTGACTGTAGAAATCCTCCTTCTTCTCATGTTCTGAGGTGTTTGTAGGCGCGTAGCACTGAATGATTGTAACCTTCTTTCCTTTTGAGTTGAACCTGGCTGTCATTATCCTGGAGGAGATTGGTTCCCACTGCATTAGAGCTTTAGCCGCTGTTGGTGACATCATGATGGCTACTCCCTCGGTGTGCTCGTGATTGTCCTCTGGGTGACCGGAGTAGATTATTGTCTCTCCAGTTGATAGTTGGCTCCTTCCACATCCGTTCCATCTGCTCTCACAGATTCCCAACACTTCTATTTTATATCTCCTCATTTCTGCGGCTACCTGAGCAGCCTTCCCAGCTTCGTACATTGTACGAACATTCCACGTCCCCATCCTTATTTTCGCTTTCATCGAAAGAAGGCACATCGGCTGACTGGCTTCCCGAAGGCTTTCACCAGCCCGCGTCATTTCACTTCCCCGATTCCAGCGAAAAATAAGGTCACTATTTGTAATTTTAGGATTTTGAATATATTTGTGCGTTGAAGTTTTAGTAGCAATTTGGTTAAGTTTTGGGGGTGGAGTTGCTAGCACCACGCCCCAACCCTCCCTCTTTATCCGGGCTTGGGACCGGCTAGAATACTAGTGACCTAGTAATCTAGGCGAGGTTAACATATACATGTAATGTGCTCATATTCTGGTGGACAATAAAAAGCCTTACTCACTTAGAAGATATTGCCAGTTGGTGGGTGTTGCACAAGCCTGTCGCCTTGACTGAAATTCCGTGCAATTGCATAGTATTATAAATGACGATTCACTTAGAAACTTCACTCGTTGACATTCGTAAAAATGCAGATTAATTTCTTGAGAACATGTTGCACTCAGACGATGAGTAGAACAGCTTAAGCATACCCATTTCTGCTAAATATATTCTGAAAGTTTTGCAGTATTTATTTTATAGATTAGTCGCCTAGCTAGATTAAATTTTCAACCAGCTGCAAACAGTTTGTATTTGGTGAAGTAATCTGTACAAAAACTTTGTTGTCATTCATTGAATGGTGCTTTTGTTTCTTTTCATAGTTTACGTTTTGTATTCAAATGGTTGATCCGGGGATTCAGTGGTTTCTTAGCACCTGAGCAAGTACTTTTGCTGTGGGATCGTATACTTGGTTTTGATTCACTGGAAATTTTGGCAGGTACTTATCTTCGATTTTTATATGATAAATTAGCATTCTCATATTAATATTATAGATACAATTATTACTGAGATATTGTAAGAGATAGGTATTGATAACTTTAAATGAAAGATAACAGTCTTATATACCACCCTAGTACTTTTTCTACTGTTACGTCGTCCTACCTAATGACTCAACTAAATATAAGAGAGTGGAGCAATATCCAAAGGATCCGAATGAAGGCAAATTCCCTCCCCCACTGCATCCCAGTGCTTTGGATGTACCATATAATGGATGTAACTCACAGGGAATATATGAAAATGAGTATGCACAACATAATATGCATTAATCATTATCATGGTCTACAGTTCCTTTCGTGAGCTAGCTACCCAAGGGCAGAATTCCAATGAATTCACACACACATACAAGAAATCTACTTTAATATCAATTAATTTGTTCCCCAGCGTTTGAAATAGACTGACGAATGAAGGGGATGGTTGGATAGGACTTATGTCAATCTAAAGACTTCATAGAATAAATTAGAGGTATCTAAACACCACAAATACATTTCACTTATTAACTGAATGCGACTATATTGTGAAAACCCATTAGGAGTTGAGGTCTAACCTAAAGCTGTAAGTGACATTGTATATCGGCTTTTTAGTGATGATCCGGGGTCCGATTCCCTGTAGATGCACTTATAAACTTCGTTTAGTAGGTAGTAAGCCCAGTAAATAAGGTTAATTGCCAGTCAGGTTAGTAACGTCATCCTATAAAAAGCATTACCACCACTGGAACTTCAAAGCTCAAGCTTGAAGTCCTATGTTCCACTTGGAACGCTAAGGAATGAAGAAGGATTGATATTATTACCTGAAAGGAATACATGTACATCACTGAAATTCATTAATACTGTTTACTCTCCTGACTTGTCTCTAATCAGTAATCTTCAAAACACTAACAACGTGCTTTATTATTCTAGAACAATTGACTTAATACTAAAATATCAGTTAGAGAACTATTGAAAACCAGCTGGGAGTGCTAGACAGCTGTTTCATCCTAATTCGGGAATCATCGGCAGTACGCACCCACCGGAAGGGGTTCGAGCCCAGGACCATTAGGTTACAAAGCAAGCCCGTATACCACTGGGGCCCGAATCAATGGCCAAAACATGAATTCTAACTTCCACCAATTCGTGATTTAGCGCGACCACCAACCAATGTCATCGGTGGGACATCTATCCTCACACTTGACTCGATGGACCTCACTGGTCACGACTTCTCATAATTGTCAAAAGTAGGTTTGTTTTTTGGAATCTAATCTAAAAAAAGTTTCTCAAACATCTTGATATTTATGAAAGTGTAGAGGATACTAGGGGCCACAGATTTCGTCAGAATTTTTCCTAAGACAGCATCAAATATTTGCTACATAGATCATCATTTCTGTATACATTTTTGTGAACAATGAACCATAAGTTTGATCTTAATAATAAAGTTATTATTTTACATTAAACTATTCCCTGGGCATTGACTTCATGTTTATCTTTTTTTGTATTTTGAATATTTATTTTACTCTAGTTCTGGCTGTGGCTATATTTTCTTATCGCCGTGCCAATTTGCTTTCTGTGAAAACAACTAATGAAGTTGAAGTGAGAATTTTATTTTTGTTTTTCTGTTCTATTATATAAACATTTCTACCAGAGACAAATCATATTTAGACTCGACCATCACACACTCACTACACGTTGATTGTATAATATTTGCAGTCAGAATAAAAATTTACAGTATGTGAATTGATGCAATCCATTAGTTAGTTATGCAGGCTGAGATTTTAAAACACAGTAAAGTTTAAAAATAAGAGTGAAATAAGGGCAGACTACTTATGAACTCAAATAGTCTTTTAGCAAATGAAAACTTTGGCTATTGAAGATACAGAAGTCTATCACTTTGACTAGAAACATTTTAAGCAGTATATTTGGTGATAGAGTAAAACTTCATCAACGTGAGCACCTTGAAAATCAAGATTTATTGACAAGGTTAGATGAAGAAAAACTGACCTAATTAGTCTAAAAGAAACGGCTGACAAAAAGCACCACTAATTTCAATCAGAATTTTAAAAAATACATTCGAAATTCGAAGTGACAAGGCTGCAGACCTTTATCAACAACTGTCTTCGCTCTATACTGAAGATCAGATGGTCGGAAAGAATCACCAACAAGAAACTATGGGAACAAACAAAACAAGAACCAATCACTCAACAAATATGCAGGAGAAAGTGGAGATGGATTGGACACTCGCTGAGGAGGCCGTTGGGTGACATCGCGCGTCAGGCCAGTGCTCGAGTGGAACCCGAAAGGGGAGCGGCGAGTGGGACGTCCAAGGGTGACAAGGAGGAGATCCTGTGAACAGGAACTGAAACAGTATGGATTAACATGGATGCAGGTGAAAAGTACAGCAGAAGACAGAAGCAAGTGGAGACGTGCAGTTGAAGCCCTATGTTCCACTAGGAACCCAAGGGAATAATAATAATATGTAAACCCGGTACAGTCTAATAACTGATAGGCAAAATGTGCATACAATATGTACGCCTTTATGTTTGAAAAATTGTACCATGTTTCTACAAATACACAGCTGATAATTAAAAAGTAATGAAGAGTAATTGGAAATTCAATTGGTTGATGGTGACTAGCAGTGGAATCCAGGATGCGGACTTCATCCCATTTGGGACTCGTCAGTTGGATGTACCTGCTTTCCCACACCGAGGCTAGGAACCAGTGGCCGTAGTCTCAAGCGCCAAAGCGTTATCCACTAGAGCACTTGGATCAAGACAGCTACTTCTTGTGCGACGGGTCTTATTAATGATTTAATTCAATTTAGATTTTTCCATCACCATCAACAAAGTGACTTCAAGTTACATGACCAGACATCGTTGGAGGATCTGCACAAGGAGCTGACATGTCAACCTGAGAACGAGCACTTCGTTTCAATCAACCGACGGAGAAATCTAAATTCAATTAAACAGTCAGAAATTATTTAAAACTACGCTTACTTTCTAATGGAACACCGATATATTGTCAGTTACAGAAAACTGTTGTAGTTCAGATAGATTAATTAACATCATTGAAAGTGAGTCAATGACTTCTGCAACCACTTAAAACGTATCCGTCCTACAAGCAGTTTAATCACACTAGATATCTTCCGACAAAATGGCGAATTAGATTTTGGAATGAACATCGTGTCAATTCTTGATAGTTCTGTTCATTAGTCCAAAACCACAAGAAGCCCATCCAGACTCATCATTGTTTTTCACACTTAGTTTAAGAGTTTCTGACGCTCCTCTCCGAAACAGTGACTAATCGAGTGTCTGCATAATCTTTAACTAATCTATTATTAATATATGATTAAAAAACACTGTATAATAAACTCATCTGTAATGTACAAATATCCGAATGTTTACACCTTGCGATATATGCTCCCAGTACACCTTTCAGAATGTAACATATGCTAAGAAAATGTTTAACTCCAATTTGTCTGCGTTATTGTGCGCATGATAACTTTTCGAATGTTTCACACACGAAACATGTCAGCTACCGTACATACATAGCTCGTCACTTTTACAATGCTTGTATAAGAATATACTGCAGCCTACAACTGACCTTATTACAGCAGATGATTTGCTATCAGTTTTTACCTTATTTCCCAAATTGTTAGTAAAAAAATAAGTGAAAATAGACATAACCAGATGTATTTTTTAACGACTAAGTTGAAGATATACAGGAAATTTGGAAACACACTATGCACGACTGAACTGTAATTGATGATTCAATTCATAACGAAGACTTAGTTTGACATTCGATCTTAGTGAAATACTAGGATAATTTCTGCTATCTTGGGAAATGAAGCATGGATATTATTTTTAATTTACACAATACAAATCCTCGTCTTGAAAGACACTGAAGTTCGGACTCTGAGGACAGTACATTCAACACAGCATTCGACAGTAGATATTACAATACTTAAATATGGCATAAAAGTTGTCACATGGACAACGTCATGATTAAGATTCACCTTTCATCACATAAGGCACGATTCTTTCATCATCAATTAGCAAAAACCTCAGTTTAGAGTATATCAATTGAATTTTACTACCAATACTGAGCAAGCTAACACTTGTCAACAACCCTCCTATCGATTAAAACTGTACTTCTACTGGAAAGCAACAGTACCAAAAACAGTGATCTTTTGCAACATCAATTATACATAATGAAGAAAGATGTGTGGAATCTGTTTTAAAACGCAGGGATTATGAGGAATGATTGAAGCTTCATATAACTGTTGTTTTTCTTTGTGTGTGTTATAGAACTGATTGAATAATATCCACACCAGACGTAATGCTGTGACAAAATATCAATTCATTATGTTAATCTTTTTGTTTTTAGGCAATCTTGGCAGACCTAACACCACTAAGAGTGATCAGCTTGCTCCAAATGGTTATTTTCACAAGCTAAATGAGACAATATTGCCAAATTGTAACGACATAATATGTAAAATTTGTACTTTTCCTGTTATAATGAATTGCTGTATTTGAATTTCTCTTGCAACACTTGAATTTATAAGTTGTTATCGATCATAAAAGTTTCTCCACGAAAACAGCAATAAGTATCACAAGCTACTTAAGTGAATGCTAGAAGGGAATTTCATGACCTAATAAAATTGCTAAGAGTTATTTTACTTTTAAAATGAGATGCAAAGGTTCACGAATATTCATTTGTGTAATCCAGAGAATAGATGATAATCAGTCTTCTTCATATAAGCTTACCTTACTTCTCTAATTGATGGTAAAATTGTTCCATGAAACCAGAAGCTTACGAAGACAGATCAACCCTAAACGAAAACACGACGGTATACAGACTGGTAATCAGATAGGTAATAAACAGAGAGAATATAGGTGGAAGAAAAACGAACCCCCAAATAATGCGTGGGAAATTGAAGTACAACACTGATCATTATACATGTCAACCATACAACTCAAAGACCTGTTTCGTAATACAACAAAATTAGGAACTGAGTAAAATAATTTAGTTTTGGTTAGAACTCAGTAACCGCAACAAACAGTTCATGTATCAGGATACGAGTAACACATTGCTTATGTGCTAGAGATACTACCCAAATGACCAGGCTGAAGTGGGTGAGGCGGAATTCGAATCTGAGGTCCACTCGCTGAGAGTGCTTAGGTGAATGAGCGCAATCGCCACAGCAGAGAATAACTATGTATACAGGAATAACTATTTAGCTCTTTCAGCCAGATAAATGAGAGAGGAGGAACAATAATCAAGTCACAATTAGTACAGAATGTATAGAAATTTAATGAGTAACGTATGCACCGATACTCGTATAAAGAATTTTGAAACGTATCACCCAGATTTATTTCTTATTTTTAAATCGCGAGAAACTAAATGAAGCGACTAACAGTTCCTTATATAAGTAAATAGACAGATATGTAAGTATTTCACGTTCGGTTTAACCACTACACCAACGTAGTCCTAGTTCTTGAGTAACACTCTCAATGTAGGTAGATGTGGCTCAGCATGTGTAGTGCATGTCCTACCAACTTCAGTTAATGAACATTCGCAATCTAATTGATTAAATTGGTTTCGTTACCTAAATGCGCCTAGTCTTCCCACTACTAACTACTACACGCAAGCAATAAAAAGCCATTTACGATAAGAGGAACCTGCAATTTTTGTCTTGATTTTAATGACCGTGTAACAATCTTTAATCATTACGGGAAGGGTCGCTGCATGACATACTATCCCTCAGACAAATAGATGGATATTTCGCGACGGAAAGTGGAAAACTCCAACAGAGGTTTTGTTATTCATGCTGAGACTTCACCACTAAAACAAAAATCATAACTTATTAAATGCAGGAGCTATAAACATAGAAATACTTTCTTTTATTTGCAAAATACTTATAATTACAGGTTAGCTAGCGGTATTCAACATTACATTTCATATTTTTTAAATTCCATTCCGTCCGGAGGTTTCATTTCGACTTTGCCCGCACCAACTTCATTCCAGTTTGTGCTCAGTACTGTACCAGCTGATTCCGTCTGAAATAAAATGGATACCTTGTAGTCAAAGCCGATAAGATTAGTAAAATCCTGCTTTACTTGAACCAACACTCAACAAAAAATTATAAAAATGACTAGTTTAATATAGCAGTCTGACTATTTAGTGACAAAGTTCGATCCCGCCAAACTGTTTAGAAACTAAATTTCACTTTGTATGCCAAAAAGATTGGCTGACAGTAACAAAGTAAAACTTTAGGTTCAGGTTGATTTGAACGTGTGATGATAACAAAGTGTAGTAGCCTAAACTGGGCCGCTTATTTCAAAGAACGACTATCACTATTGCCACATTCTTTTGTTGTGAAACAAATCAAGTAAACGAGCAAGATTCACATGCGTTGGAAACGATATTTGTCCAGATTTTATAGAGCACACAAGGACATCTGTCTTGTTTTTTTATTTCCCCAGCTTTCAGTTGGGTATGTAGATATGTGCGGTTAAGACTCTTGCCCACCATGCAAATGGTCCCCTGCCGACGCACACCTGATACCAATGGTCGGCCTGCAAAATTTTGGCTACCGATATCACATGCTGAAAATTCCATACTTGTACCAAAAATAGTGTGTGGAATCAAGCTATAATAAAAAATAAAATTTAAAAAAGTACAGCAAGTCACTCAATTTTTTACAAGGGGAACTTTCCTACATCTCCTCAGTCGGTGGTCTAGTGAATGTAGCTAACTAATCCTTTATTGTAATATCCTCAAATGAATTGTTTGCACTGAAAAAATGACTTGGCGTTTGGTCCTTATGGACTTTTTTTGAAGTCGAGATAGCCCCATACAGTTGAGATAAGTAAGGACGGTAAGATTCTACAACAATCCGACGTATCCCTGCTGATAAATTTCCTAAAGTGTAAGACTGTTATTTAAGAAACTGCCTTTAGAGAAGCCAACTACATCTCTGACCCAAATAAAGACCGCTATTAGGATTAGGAAAAGCGTGATACTGGATAAATACACTGGCCATTAACGACAAATTAGGCAAACTAAGTGACCAAATGGTCAACAGGTGTAAAACTACACACCCTTTAAGTTACCCAGTAAATATGTTGACAAATTAGCTGGCATAATAATTGGTGAATCCGATCAATAGTTGATTAAAACTCAGTAAATCTGAACAGATATTTCGTGTATCAATCTGCCAGCGTAAGGGTTGCTGATACTAACCAGTTTTCCAGACTGAATTAGGTCGGGTGGCATTAGAAACCGGGACTCTGGTTGGAAGTTAAGTGCCTAACCCGGTGAGCCACATCTCACTAGACTGACAACACTTATCATGAGGTGGTGGCTAGGCAAGCTGTACTGCCAGACGGATTGAATGGAAGTCGGCAATGCTCAAAACCAACCTTGCATGATAACATAACCGAAGGTTGTCCTGAAGAATTATTTAGCGAAAATAGCACATCAGCAAAATGTTAGTTGTGCAGAATCTTATAGTTGAGAATTGCTATCTCGAAAAATATTTTATGTTCACTCATAACATACTACTTGATCTTCAGATACGAACTGTAATAAGTTGATACTATGACATATGCAAACAGAATGCGTTCACTTAAAACAGTGGGAGTAGATTTTCACGGAATAAGGGCGTTTTATAACAATTCATTAATCAGTTTTGTGCAGCATGAGAAGCTTACAGGTCATCGAAAAGAGGTAATTAAACTTTTGTTTACTGCAATATATGCAAATGTAAAACACAAGTGACTGTCAGACAACGAAGATAACAATCAATAGAACGAGTCTGTCACACTGTAAACTTTCATTCTTCCGCTTAAATCCGTAAATCAACGATAAATACACCGAAAATAATTTAAGCATATTTAAGTTTTCAATCTGATGAACTGCCACTTACAAAACTTTTAATCATTGCTTTTCTTGTCTCATCAGAAGCGTTTGCATAAATGTTCTTGAACATCTTATTTAAGGGGTCCTCTTCATCTTCGATCTCGGATGCTTCTTTTTCGATTTTATTCCAATCATGTGAAAACTTGCTCGAAGATGGATAAGAATGAACAATTTTGGTAACATCCTGAGACTTGGCTAAAACAAAAACATGTAAAACCGGAGTTTACTTCTCAAATAATACGCGAAAACGAAATCTAAGTTTGAATACAAGTAGGAAAATAACACAGCAAAAGAACGATTCAGCCGAATAAGCATATTCACACCCCAAGCATACCTTAAACCTTACATACTAAAAAACTAGTGATATTTTCGCCTCCTTATATAAAGATGAATGGATCACGCAGCTAACATAATTTGACTTTTATATTTTCTTACTTGCGGATAAATCACCGACTTTACCTTACACAATAATCCAAAGCGGCTGATTAAGTTACGATTTCATAATTAAATAGTGCAAAATGACTAAATCAAACAAGTTTCAGACACACTGCTATTTATGCAGTCCTTCTTGGGACTAAACTTACGAGTTTCAGAGTTGTTGACACTGTTTTTCGACTCGAGATAACTCCACCTAACTTCAGTCGCCTTTCTCAGTTGTACTTCAATCTTCATTGCTGTGACACGATATGATGACTTTTCCGGCACAACAGGGTGAGACAGCCTAAACGTCTTGAGTAATTCATCACCGCTAGTAGTTATAAGGATTAAAGAAACCTGTATTGAGACTTTCATTTCATTGTTATCAATCTTACCGATTGCTCTTGTATGTCCACTCTGACATCAGACTGCTTTAGGTTTTTTCTAAGATAATTTATGCATACATTACTTTCTGACTGGTACCAGTCAAATCTTTCGAATGGAAATCACTCTAAATCAAAATTCAACTAACCTATCACCGGTATCAACCATATGTTCCTAAGGAGCGCAGAATGTTGACGAGATTGCCAAATCTTGTTGCCAATTGAAGATTGAGCAAAACAAGTGACGCTTTATATTTTAAAATGAAAATGCCTGAAGAACTTTGTTGCTAATATTTACCCCACTTTTTCGATCCTGTCACTTCGTGATTACGAGAAAGAGTGAGGTCCAATTATCTGGGCTAATTAAAGTTATATATTGGATCTTGATTCTGTCTTTAGCCAACCACCGGATTTTCAACTCCAATGTGAAGTCAGTGCTACCATACGGATCAGAGACCTGGCGCGTCATAAAGAGTATCTCAAACAAACTACAGACCTTCATTAACAGTTGTCTTCGCTCAATACTCAAGATCAGATGACCAGAAAAGATCAGCAACAAAGATCTCTGGGAGCGAACCAACCAGGAACCGATTGTGAAACAAATAGGCAGGAAGAAATGGAGATGGATTGGCTGGCCATACTCTGAGGAAACCATCAAGTGACATCACTAGACAAGCCATTGCTCGAGTGGAACCCGAAAGTGAGGCGGCGATTTGGTCGTCAGTGCAAGGG